GAGAATTCGGGGTGGGCTGGGAAACCCGCCCCGTTAGCTGCCCCAAACTAACCATGGTTGGAATAGTGCGATATTCGATCGACTGATTGGGTTTAGTTTTGAGAGTCTCGGGGTTTTGGGCCAAAACCCACCCCAACCCACCGGGGCCTTGGGGCAGGAAGGGTCATTGCTCACCCCGCCCCAAAGCCCGCTGGGGCGGGGCATCGCCTGCCAGAGCCCGCCCCACCCCGCCCCGAGTGACACTCTAATGACAATCTGTCACGGTGCCGGGCTGCCATCTATGCACGTGACCCGCACTCAAGCACTCGGACTATCGTACACGGCGCGAATATATTGCCCTCTTTCGTTTCAATAAATTCCTCCATCTAAGACCTCGTCTAATCGCAGATCATTGATACCTCCGATTCCCCGAATCCCCACTTCAATGTTAGTACCCATCGGGTCACGTGTCTGACCGCCCTCGCTTTCTGCCCGGTAGTCATAGTTAGCCCAGCCGATAGACCATCGGTCCGATCAACTACTCTGGCACACTAAAACGAGATATCTCTGTCTGACGCTGATCCTGTTGCAGCTCTTCGAACTGCATTTTGTCTATGAACCTGTAGATAGCCTGACTGTAGCTTAACCTGTTCGTCAATTCCTAATATATATCTGTACCCGACCCTGCACCCTGACACTCAGTATGTCCATTGTAGCGTGTGGGCTGGCTTGGCGGGCTGGGTGATCTTTTGGGAGACGAAGAAAGATGCGAAGGGGCTTCTCTGATTATGGTGACTTGTATGGGGTCCTGGGTTGCCTGGCAGGTGTCTTAAGGGTTATGATTGGGGTTCTTGCAGCTTCAGCATAACCGTTGTGCTCAGCAGGTGGAGGTTGATGATTCTCTTCCTCGTTGGTGGGGTCCCCAGTTGCTAGGTTCTTGCTGAAATTGAGGACCAGGGTCCTGATGTCCTTGCCCAAGGAAGCAGCTCCTTGTAGGCTCCTCTTCTCCCAATTGGTGATTTTCTGGCTGACCACAGAGACAAGTCCCAAGACTTCACCTCCTGTATTCTTTATCTGCATGGTGCACGATGCCACTGCTGATGCACTGTGGCTTTGGAGTTCCAAGCCCACTTGGCTTCGGGCGTATTCTGGTTCGGGTGCCCAGGCCGTAGCGAGTTCTCAGGGATAGAGGCTGGTTCTATAGCATTCTTTGGCGTCTCTGGTCTCGGCCGTTTGGGCGGTCGCTTCGGGGTGGTGGACTCCCGGGGGGAAGCGGTCGGGGATTCATGGGCGCCCGAGGCTTACCCCATATTGAGATTGGGCACTGGATTGGCGATAGCAATGGCTGTACTCGGTGGCTGGCGTGGGATTCGTGAGTATCTGCTCACGAATTTGGCGCTGCAGAGTGTGCCTCCGAATCCAATCCTATCCAAAGCTAACCATTGTTGGGCTAGTGTATCACGTGTTTACCTAAGTAGGTTTAGTGTGGTTGGAGCGGATTCGGTTTTTGTTCATTCAACCCGAATCCTCAGTGGTGTAACCCACTCCAACCCGCTCCAAATGCAACTTTATGTGTTGCCATGTAATCCTATACTGAGAAAGGAAGATGATCTGCCTTAGACCTGGCTTTGGGCCACTCTAGGATCACTTCGGCGCGGCTCCCTGATCGCCCTGCTCCGGATACGCTCCGGGCTGCTCAGGGAGCCAAAAGCGGCGAGAAGTCGGACCGAAACGGAAAGGGAAGGTTCCCAGACTTCCACAGAAAACTATCACAATAGCTAGTCATTAGCACCACGAGCCTAGCTCATAACATTCCTCAGTAAAAGTCCGAGCCCATTGATTTCAAATAATAACCGGCCACACTTTATTTTTTATCTACTCTGCGGAAATCTCCGTCTTTTTGCTACTGCATGGCCAGCTCACAATGCATGGTGATGCAAATAAGTCGGATCAACTCTCCTTCGACGTTCCTCTTTTCGGGTCTTTTCTTGCTTTTGTGATAGAAGCGGCGCGGGAATTATCGGCGTAACATGATTCAACCTTGATTTCATGTCGAGAAGCTGCAAGACAAGATGTTCAGCCCTGAGTCTCTGTCTATCTCGCTCTAAAATGTTGGGTGATATCGTCGGTGTAACTCGATCATAAAAGATAAGATGGCCTTTTCCGATGGGACGAATGATTCTCAGTGGGCTCGGTTCATCGGAAAGATTGAACCTGTTTTCCAGTTCACTGTTGGGGAACCTTGACCGCTAGTCTTCACTAGGCTTGATTGGAAAAGGGAAGCTGCAGGGACGGATTTCCAAGTTGTTGTCCATGACAGATAGATCAAGGCATGCCAAATGAAAGACACTCGTTGGATGGAGTCTTTGGCAACGCTTGCTGTTTTGTGGAGAGCTGAATGCAGGCTACGGGGTTATTGCTCGATCCAAAGTTAATTTTGTAGAGAGGATTCAATAGGGCCTGATCGGTCTTGATAGCCAGATCCGCTCCGACCACCTCTCTTGATATGATTTGCTTGCGATGGTCACCGCAATGTGTTTTCGAGTGATGGTGGTTCAATGACCATCACTTTGAAATAGGTTAACCCAGTGGGCGTGAGGATGGGGCACCCACTGAGTCCCCCCCCGTCAAAAGGACGATCTGCAGCACTAATGGCTGCGAACCTGAAATTGGTTCCACTTCAGCTATGCCTGAGCGCCAACTGCTAATGCGGTCGAGTTGCATTCGGACCTAGTCAATATCATTGTAGGAATGTTTAATGCTCTAGTAAGCAGCTAAATGCAGTGCATGGAAGATAGTCCTGACAACAGGAAAAAGATATACTTCTATGTCATTTACCTCAATCTTCAACGAATATAGTACCTACCTGTGTACCTGAATATTGAGGGCCTACAGCCATTATACCATGGCCACAGCAGAATCTTCAGCTCGCCTAGTCGGTGGCGATTCTGAAGACTCAAACTCATCTTCCGATGCGTCCAAACGATACGCTGCTGGTCACTCATGCAACGCGGGTCCCAATCTTCTGGCAACATGGGAGATCAACATGAACCGGTGGACCCAGTCTTGGCCCCCCGTTCGAACCCTGAACGAACACCTTCCAGGCCTATGTTTTGCGCCGATCACTTCCCACATATGTGTTCATGGTATAGATTGCCAAAATCCTGTCTATGATGCTAGCCACAATCACCAGAGTGATTTACTGAAAGGAGCAAGAGCCACATTGCTAGGTATACAAGAATTTGGGTACTCGCCTTGATTGAATGAGCTGAGAATGCCTATATAAACCCCTTCAATCCTCGAGGAATCGGGAATCATTCACTCATCACTTCTATCCTCCAAAGCCTTCTCTCTATTCTCCTCCCTCTTCTCTACCTTCAAAATGCGTTTCACTACAGTTTTCACATCCGTGCTGGCCCTCGCCGCCGGTGCCAACGCTGCCGTCAGCGCTTCGGACATGAAGAACAATATCGACCAGATTACCGATGTGTCTGCTGACACCAATGACATCGCTAAGTCCCTCTCCGTGACGAACATGTTCCAGAAGGCTCCTGTACGTTAAACATTTACATCTCTCCCGTGCAGGGATTATTCGATGTATGATCTAACTGGCTTGCAGGAAGTGATCGAAAGCTTCAAGCGCATCATTGTGATGGTCACCAAGGACATCTCCGCTATGAACGACAAGCGCTCTCTGCAGGCCCGCCAGGAGTGCCTGAACGTCAAGGATATTGAAGGATGTCTCGAGGGCCTTGGCGAGATCATCGAGGACCCCGGCGAGATCCTTGGTAGCAAGCGCGACGTTCCGGACCTCGGCAAAACCCTTGGTCGCAAGCGCCAGTCTCCTGACTACAACGACATGGAGCAGAACCAGATCTGCGGAGCTTTCCGTGGTGTAAGTTTTCCTTTCATGACCATCCAATTTGAGCGGCGCGGTACTAACATCCCAATAGTTCGTCCAAGTCCACCAGGAACTGCTGAAGACCATTATTGGCAAGCACGGCCTGCTGAGCCTGACTCCCTTCACCCAGCCCATTGCTGCTGTTCTCCGCACTCTGGAGGTTGTTGTTGACACCATTGCTTTCAGCATCATCGACACCGTTCCTACCTGTGCTGAGGGTGCTACCAACGACAAGAGCAGCCTGGACGACACCCTGACGGATGCCTTAGACACCTACAACTAAGCGTAAAAGCATGGAATGCGCTCTTTTGGCATCAATTAATGCTTTCAATTCTTAATCTTCTGTCATACTCTTTCTAACGTTACAACTTTGAGATATGCTAATGACGACTATCACTTGAGATTAATTGAATAATACTATGAACTCTTCTACTACAGTCAGCTCTCGCTTATGGCACCAAATTTCCGTGGATGGACCCACTCCCCCTTTTTACCGTATATGGAGTCCCTCAATTGACCAACTGTATTTTCCCTGAGGAGTCGGAAGTTTCTGTTGAGAACCCCAGTGGCACCCCCAATGTGCCACTGACGGGGATCCTTTGCCGGCAGATACTCACTTTGCGGTGATAGGATCTCCTCAAATGTAGGCATGATTTGCACGTCGCATATGTCCGTAGAATCATTGTCATGGCGTCCACCTGGCGGTTGTGCCTAACCGCAAATGACATTTCAGGTGGTTAGTTTCTTTTGACGGGTCGGCGTGCCCCGTCAACTGATGGTAGCGAACTGTCAATGTCAAGATGGTGAAATATACGTTCCAGGTAGGTCCTGGCGATTTGGAGAAGGTCCACAGTGTCTTCCGAATGAAATCTTTAAATATTTCCGCAAATCTCATTGCCACGGGTTCGAAAGGCTCATGGGTAAAGGCAAGGGAATTAAGTTTGATAATCTGCCAGTAAACGACGAGTGACAACTCGAAGTGATTAAGGGTTTCGGTCGTCGGCTGTTCTCTATTCGAAAACACATTGATGAGAAAGCCAAGAAGGGCAATGCCTCGCCTTTCAGTGTTGCCAAAAAGGACATTGTAGATTTTCCCAACTGCCTGCTCCAATACCAGGGATTCGAGGACGTTTGGGAATGTGATGATCTCAAGAAAGGGCAGCATCCGGTTTTGAAAGCGATAGGTTGGACCACAGCCGCTATGTGATCATTGTCATATTCGACAAGCTCTTGTATCCGCTTGAGTCCTCCTTCAGTTGACAATGCTCAAACTTCCTGAAGGACACCATCCCCTTCATCAATGAGCCTCCTTGCTTCTTTGAAAAATGGGCCCAGATGGTTTCTCAGTGGACGGATATTAACCAGTTTCAACGGTATGTCGTTCTTCCAGGCGCGAAGGACTCGCTCACTGCCGGTGAGTTCGGGTCTTCTTCGTTCGGTTAGCTCTGTTCGATCGTCGTGCGAGAATCTGCAGTTTGAAACTCTGCATCTTCTGCTAACGATGTAACGACACATCCTTCCAAGACAGTTAAGTCAGTATGGCTGGATCAGGGTATTTATTATTATTGTTTAATCAAGTATATTGTCCATATCGAGCCTTAGAGCTATGACAGACTATAATTCATAGACTCGATGCTTGCAGCTATTCTGCAGTCTTTTGTCCCTATGAGTTACTGAGGCAGTCTGGCCTCCCCTTCTATAATCTTTCTGATCCTTTTCCTCGCCCCAGACCGCCTGTATGCGAAGGGCTTTCGAGCAGTGTGCTCTCCTTGCGTTTTGGAGCAGGGTGGGTATGGCCTAGGCTGAATATCAGCTTAGGCTACCCTCCCTGCTACCCCTCTCCTGTTCTAGCTGCCTCCTCCAATGCTTCCAGCGCCCACTCGTCATCTCTTCGGGCCCTTTCCGCCATCCGCTGTAGGTGCGCCCGGGGTTGAGCTACACTGGTGCTGCATGAATGAATGTAAGACGATAAACTGTACTTTGGTGCCAAAATCCACTATGGCACAGTTGTTCTACAGTCACTATGCCCAGTCAATGGCAGGATTAACCAAACATTGCCTGTATTGATCAAAGTGAGGTTTGAAATCAGTGTTGTGGCATGAGAGCATGAGAGCATAGTGTCATGGGGCGTAATAGACCAGAAATTTGACAATAGAGCACCAATCATTCATCACTTGGCAGTGAGGTTTGGTTCCAGATTTTACAGAACCGCCTCCGCGGGAATTTGACCGGTGTCTATGGCAAGAATAGCCAACAAAACCACAGGTGAGGCATTTATGCCATTGGATTTGTTTCTCCCGGACGCTAAATCATTGTCATCTGGGTGTTCCAACCGCATACGCTGCACATGGGATCAGCATGGTTAGGGTGAAAGTGCGACGCAGGACAGGCACCCATGGAAAGGGGCAATGAATGGGGTTGATTGTAAGCTGTAATCAGCTTTGGGAGTCTGTCAAGCCTGGAGTCAATATCTTTCCTTTGATAAGGGAGTTGAAAGGGCGGATACCAATAATGAAGAGCGGCCGGAAAAGCAAGACCTCATGTAAATTTATTTTTAGTAGAAGATAGGGGGCAGAGAATATGAGCCAATTCACTGCATAAAAAAAAAGAGACCGAATCAGCTTGAAACGCCGGTCAACGTAAACGAGGAAAAGGAAATTCACAGGTCCTCAGTTTACAAGTGCCATATTCAGGTTTTGAATCGGACGCAAACATATCAATTGATTATTAGACATAACTATATAATGTCTATTTAAAGGCAGGAGCTCGAATATGTGTTTGAATTTGTCGATGCAGCTGACATCTCACTATTTTTAATCAAGATATACACATATTCTCTGATAACATTATTCTAGCTCTAATATCCTACAATACAGGGTAGAAGGCCTGTCAACCAGGTAGCAATGCAATGCTTAAGAGGTTGCAATATGAAACAGTATAATAGGGCAGAACTAATCCTAGAGGCAATGAAATTAGATACATAAATTGTGTGATCCTTTAGACCCCTCCTTCTGATGGACAAGGACTCGGTGCCCTAATTATGGGGTTTTGATGCCTGACCTGGCCGGGACCCAAGATACATGATAGGATTGATAGTTTCCATGGTTTTTCCTTTCCACTAGCTTAGCTTTTCCTACTTGATGAGCGAAACTTAGGAAAGCTAATGTATTTTGGTGAGTATAATACTCAATTGCCTAATTACACAATCTTTGTATATGTAATGAAGCGGATTGGGCGGGATTCGTGGGTTAACACATGGCGTTACAGCGGAATTATATATTTACTATACAAGGAACTGTATATGCATTCTCGTCAAACACTATCCTTCTTAGATAATCCAGCTAAATCCCTTCAACTCTATTTAAGATAGCATCAAAATAATAATCTAAGCCTAAATTATATTCACTTATAAAAATAAAGAGAAACGGTTGTTTTTCTTTGGGATTCTATGAACTTGGAACTCTTTTTCCCTCCCAAGTTAAAGGCTACAGCAGCCTACAGACAGAGTTTTGTGGAGGATTATGGATGACAGCCCCAATGGCGGGGTCGAGAGAATATTTGCAATGACCAGGAAATTCAAGGATCAAGCTGTGACAGCCGAATGCAGCCATACTACTATGCTAGAAGCAGCTATATGCTGCAAGCTGGCACACAATCCATGGAATAGATATGAGCCTCTCTTTCTGTAAATAAATTTCTCTTCTTCTTTTTCTTTCCTCTCTGTCACGGCGCTCTACTAGGATAATGGAACATCCAACTCATGGGTTCTACCTAGGTAGCTATCGACGAGAATAATCAACATGAGGAAGAAACAAAGGAGGTGATGCCATATTCATCAACAAAGCAAACAACTGCATCTTGTGTGATAACTGTGACAGTCTCGAACAATATAAATTCATTGGTAGACTCTCTGTCGAAATACTAACATGGAGAAGGAAAGAAAGAAGCTCGGCCTGCCAGCGCTGCGCTATCTAGTGTGTGAAGGGGGTTCCTGCCCTATATTCAAACAGACCAAAGTATACAAACATCTTGCGTTGTTGGTGAATGCCCGTACTCCGTGACAATAGCCAGCCAACGTGACCTGGCCGTCACACTCTCCAGCTTCGATATTCTCGTCAAACACTAGTTTAGATAGGAATATCAGTTTATTATTATCTACTAGTCCGAGCCCGTGACACAAGCGACTTAGGAGGTAGAAAGTTCTGGGTCAATGGATTATGATATGGCCCACGTAGTATCTCCTATCTCACATAGCATCCCATATCTAATGTAGTATTTCTTATCTCTCCTAATTGAATAGTCTGTGAGGGTCGGGGAGGGTCACCCATGGGTGACCCTCCCCGACCCTCACATCCTGTAGAATCCTGCAGAAGTCCAATATTTAGCAGTCCAAATCACTAAATTTGGCCTTTTGATAATATATCTGGTATTATCCAAAGGTGAAAGGTAAAAATTTAGTGGCAAGGGAGATGAACAGGCCATGGACAACTAAATCTGAAAGTAACTCCACGAAGATATCCTTCTTAGATCTATATTCAGTTATCCTACAGGCACATAAGCATAAGCACAATCCCTGTTCCTAGATTTTTTAACAATTTATCTCTGGGTTATTGGGCTCTGCTTGTCTCTCACCTAGACTGCACACTAATCTGTTAACTCGCCCGCTGCAATCTTCGCATCCAACTCAGCGATTCTGTGGTCGAGTTCCTCACATATTTCGTCCGCTGCCACAGCAATGACAGTCCCATCAGGATCTTTTATGTAGTGGCCATCATTAAAAGGGTACAAACTGGCAGCTGGGTTTGCCAATTGGATTTTGGCAGCTTCAGCAAGGGTAGTAAAGACACTGACACCCTCAGGGATTGGGTCCTTGTAGCGAGTAATTGACATTTCTGAATTCCTCTCAGAGCAAAGATTGGGAACAAAATGAGTGATGGGCAATATAAAAATGTAAAGAGCAGCAATTAAAGTGTCACGGAGTATGGGCATTCACCAACAACGCAAGATGTTTGTAAACTTTGGCCTGTTTGAATATAGGGCAGGAACCCCCTTCGCACACTAGATAGCGCAGCGCTGGCAGGCCCAGCTTCTTTCTTTTCCTTCTCCATGTTAGTATTTCGATAGAGAGTCTACCAATAAATTTATATTGTTCGAGACTGTCACATAAAGAACAGTAATCTATCAATGCCCTTTTATAATGCAGCATTTCATATGGATGTGATGTGATGTCAGCCCAGTAGCCTTCTGATTGACTACATCTTAAATAATATGGCTTCTGATAAGATTTTTTGATTGTCATCCACTGTGCTAGTAACTAGCGAAGATCACAGTTTTCTGATAGCGGGGTCAAATCCTTGGGCCCCAGTCATCATGGGAGTGGCGGGCGAGACCTATCAGAAATCTGTGGATAAGAGCTGTAATTCCACACAGACCGTCTAACGACTTTGATGGAGTGCATAGAGGAATGTGGCAATTCACAGAACTTAATGTGATAGGCTATGCCTAGGTCAGTGCTCTGAGCAGGTCCTCGTTAACACGTGACAACTTGGTTAGATGCCCAACTCACATCGAGCATATCTTCACGCGGACTCTTATATATTAGTCTTTGATATTTGATTGGCGTTCTTCTTTCTTTCTCTATCGGATCCTTTTTGTATATAGCTAAATAATAGCTTCCGCGGTCTAGCCCCTTACACTTAATTCAGTTAAAGAGACAAGTACCAGTTATGGAAGATGGGGGAAACGAGATCCTGATCTATTTTGAGTAGATCTGAGTAAATCCCCCAAGTTTCTGAAGTGCACGAACATCAGTTCTTCTTATTGCTAATTTCCCCTCATCCATCCATTAGAAATACTACGCATAATCCACTTCCTATTATGAAATCTGATTACTCGAAATTGAAGTCTGAGATGACCTTCGTTTTGCTTCTATCATCTACTAGCCACCATTAAAAAGGTCCCTAATCCGACGTCGATACTGTGCTGAGCTCTTCGTTACGAGTAGCACCGTCTCCACTCCAATAGAAGTAATCTACCGTGTTGCGATGAGTCCGACAGTAAGGGCAACTCGTCTTGTTCTCATAACTCTCATAGCAGCTGATTAAACATTAAGATCAGCATCTCTTTTCTAGTCAACCTAACTCCAAGAGCTCTGCTACAGCAAACTATGCATGTCCCTTTGAAACATGAAACCGGGTGTAAAGCGGAAAGGAATTGGAACAGGAAGAAAAAAAAATCACTTACTATCCGCATAACCAGTGCACGTGGCCCTGATCGAAGAGCTGGGTGTCGATTGTATCGCCAGTTACACCAGGGCAGTATATATACATGTCGTATTTGGCGGCATCTACCCAAACTTGTGCTTAGCTCAGGTTTCGTTAGAAACAACTGCTGCTCACAGACAAACTACAGCCACAACCATGTCCCTGGGACTGTAGCATTGTCGCGGAGGATATAGACAGATCAGGGTTTGAATAAACACAGCCATGGGATATTTCAGAATCCAACGAGAGACTTGCATTGGCATATATAACATCCAGGGGCCATCTTGGTTTTTGGCTTACTATAAAAGTCGTTGATCGTGTAGAGGAACAGCGTAAACGATATTGGATTGCCGAAGAAGCAAACGACGTGGAATGTAGGAGAGGTGTACGCCCAGCTCTATAAATAAAGCCAGATTGACTGTCTGCAACCCGGGCATGTTGCCTGGAGCGAGGCGCAATGAGTAGTCGGATAACGCTGTTCATATGACCTTGCCCCGCAGCCCCCGCTCACCGTTATAAGGCTGATTGGAGAACAATATGCCACGGCGTCAGCCATTGCAGAAGCGAAGTCTACAAATTATATCCTTGTCTGCCAATCTGACATGCATTAAGGCAGGTTTGGATGACCTGATCTCGCGTGGTCCATCCAACTACGAGCCTAATCACAGTTCTGTATAGGAAATAATCTACTGATACGTCTTACTGGGTTCCGATGTCAACTCTACATTAAACTCCGATAATTTTCTCCGTCTCATACAGCTCACATTCAGCTTACTTCCGGCATCCCCCCAGTTTTTCCATTTCTGCATAGTTTTCAAGCTAGCATCTGTTTTTCATACCCCCTAGGTGAGAATCGTCACCCCGGTCTTTAGAGTTCTCGATCATATCACCCGCACTCACCCTAGGGTGCCGCTTTGGTGCTGATGTTCTATTGAGAATTGGCCGTGTAGAGTTGGGCTGGACTTGACCGGGAGTGGCACCGGGGCCGGCACCGGGTGTTGGTGAGCAGGATGGGTGTTCCACTGGCTGGGCCCGGCTTCTTGCAAGAGTTCGCCTTCTCTGAAATATCGATGGACATTTAGATGCATGTTACAATGCCGTAGTTTCTGTTGCTCCCACTTCATCAATTTTTAGACCATTCCGAGGCTGACACCCAAGTCTGACTTGGGCCCATCTCCATCGTGTCCCGCGGTTATTATTCTCAGGCGAAACCCACAGGCGCGCTTAGGCCTGTCCGTCCGCAGCCGCAATCCCGTTCGGGTTGTTCAAGACAGGATCTTCGGAGTACACGGGTCGGCTGGGGACTGGATTGGGATGTTGGTTTAAGTCATGACGGCCAAGCTGATGTGAACACTGGAACCTGTGCAGATCCAGAAGCGAGCTACGCCGGAGGCAGCAGGCAGGGGGCGGTTCCAGAATGTTGCACAAGGCAACTGCTATTGCTTAGAGGAATGCAGCCCCAGCAAGTTCAGACACTAATATTAAACAATATTGTTATTAAGGCGCTTGTTCAACAAATGAATGCATCCTGATCGACTGCGTTCTATGGTCTACTGCGTTCTCTGTAACCGCCATATCTAGTTGTTGTTGTCCTTCTTGGGGCGCCAGCCTTCGTCGATGTCGCCATCGTGGAAGAGCGCCCCTCGCCCGAGATCTCCTTGGAATAGCTCTTCCGCATTGTGAGCCACATCCTCAACAGCAACAAGTCGTAGATGGCTCTTTCCATCCACCGCGTCGCTCCAGTCAGGAAGATCCTCGAATGAACCAGGGAACCCCTCCAGGTCTTCGTCCGTGCGCGCGAGCGTGTTGATGTACCGGAACCAGATCAAGTTGCGAGTACGCCGGTTCTTGCCCCCTTGCATGTTCCCCATGCAACTCGTATCACCAGCACTCCCCGTATCCTGTAATCCGACTATCGAGACGACGTCTCGACTGACGTACTGCGTGAAATATTCCTTTGGCGTCATGCGCTTGCCTCCCGTGCCGGGGAACTCATCGAAGCCGTATCTCCAGGTATTGTAAGAATCGCAGGATTTTTTCGAAGTGTCGGTGTCTGGGAAAATAGGACGGTGTTCGGTGAAATACATGCACGACGATGGGTCGCCGTGGATATACCGAACGTGGACATTGTCAGGGGGATCGTTACCCAGAGCCGAGTACCGCTGGGCAAGCTGACCACCGCCACCATGGCCAACGACGGTGACATTCTTCAGATTCGGATACTTCTCCTTGTCTGAATGAAGCTTGACGAGGCCGTCCAAGACGTCGAAAGAGGTGAGGCTTGTATTTGCGGGATGAGTAGCCTGGCCACCTGGTTGCCATGCGTTCAATTCGTCCCACGCCAGCTGGTTTTCCTTGTACTGGCCAGAGTTGAATTTCGTCGAGAAAAACTGCGGGGCGAGCACTGCCATCTTGCGGTCCGTTCCCGGGAAGTTGTCGTCTCTGGCCTTGTTGATGGCGCTGTTCAGCGTCTTCCAGTAGCTGTTTCCATCCCGTAGCCTCCCGTGGAGAACAATAAAGAGATGCTCGATAGACTTCGCGTCCAAGTCCTTTGAGATGAAACCCGCGATTTCCTCGTCGCCCTTCTCGTTGACATTGAATGACGTGAACTCAGCGCCATCCGGTACTCCGATGTCGCCGTGGTCCTGTTGTCCAACCAGTTAGCTGGTCCTGTGAGGTAGCAGCCAATGGGTCCGGACCTACCTCTCCTTCCTCGCTTTTATCGTGTTTGGTCATAGCCTCGGCTTCTGCAGCATAAATGTCCTGTTCGTTCGACACATGGACTTCTCCATAACGGGACTGGTTGTATCGGAATGCAGAACAGTAGGGCATTAGGACTGCCAAGAGGGCTGCCCAAACCAGCACCCGGAATGCCAGGGTGACGGCCATGGTGCAATTCGGCAAGATCTTCGGGTCAGACTTCCAGAGACGTTAGCTCCTGTCTTTTGTCGATGAAAAGAACTCGGGGGTTGCTGGTATTGCCCAGTGCTTACCTTCCTGGTTTTGCTGAATGTGGTCGGTAACGATCAGACTAGGTCCAGGTCGGAGAGGGGAGACGACCAGATACTTAAGGTATTTAAGATATTGGGCTTGGCAACCCGGGTGGAAATTTAAGGTTGGTCCCTGGCGATCGCTGACGTCGGTACATGACTCGACCTCGGGTCGCGAGCTTGACCAGAAAGGGAAAGCACTTGGAGCATGATCTTCAAATATTATGTCGACCCACGATAAGAAAAAGAACCACATGACGCCTGAAGCTCCCACAGCTGTGGAGTTTATTAATGAATATCAGCGGCACGAAACTTCTAAAGACTGAACGTCATTACGCACGAATCCCCCTCAGGTCCACCCTCGGGCCCAACTTGTTAGGCGAAGGAGGATAAAAACAGGTTGCGTTGGCCCAGAGGTCTAACAAGGTCCCTTCCCTGGCCTCCGCTCCTAATGGGAGGCAGGCCTCCTGCTCAACCGTAATGCTCGGGGGCCAAGAGTCCCGTTCCCATCTCTCGTACTTGTATTATCCAGCATCCCATGTGGTATGAAAAGGCATAACGCCCGTTAAATTGACGTATCAAGACCAAAGCTGACGGCGCGTCTAAGCTGATAAGCTGATAGGCATGGAGGTGATGTGCTTTTGTTTGGGCCTGGGCCTGGGCCATGACGACTTGGAAGAGGTATATCTATCGTCTTGTAGATCATGTGGAGTTGCCGATATCGCTGCTACGGCTGTGTTTAATGCTGGATATGTGGGGGATGCGCAATTCTCAGGGGTCAGGCTCAATCCTCCGGAGTCGGAATGGCACGAAAACAACCGGCGGAACGACCACTGGAGGTGGGCCCGTGGACAGGCGGGAACCCGTTGCCGTGCATTCGGTCCCGCGCTGGTGACTCGGCGGTCCCACTCGTTAGTTAAGTATGCTCACCTTCGCTTCGCTTATGAACACTTGCACCCAGCTGTGATGGGGCTGTGATGGCATCCCCAGACCCGAATGGGGCCCCAACGGACGGAGATTACGGCAGGACACCAACGACATTTCTATCAAAAGTCCGGGTCGCATTTTCTCGTCCAAACATAGATAGCGTTTTATAGCCGTACGTCATATCGTACAAGTTTAACCCACTCCACAAATTCATAGAAAATAGGGTTGCGATATACGCGCGTAGGGGCTTGAATTAACTTTCGCGCGGGGGAGCTTGAAGGGCCGAACTAACCTTCGCGTAGGGGCTTTAAACGACAGAGCTGCGGCGGTCAATGTCGTTGGTCTCGGCCCCGGCTGCGCCCAGCGCCCTCTGTCGCTTGCCAACTGTTTGCAACTGTGTTAACTACACACGGGTGTGATGACGTGAGACTCTCATTCTGATGGGTGACGTGTCGAGCGGACGATCGAATCCGCCGTGGGCGATGTGCGGTGTCGATGCGGCTTGATGAAACCGAGTATGTCCGTATGGCGCTTTATGTCCTAGCAGAGTCAGTGAATTCCCAATCGCTCCTAGTCGAGATCGACTCCATTGGCCCTCTTTGTCGAAACCCCATCCGCGACGGGCAGGTTCTACCACCGGGACGACCGACTCCCGACTGCTTACAGGCGGCGGAACAGTTCCCGCATAGCCATGGAATAAAACACGCTGGGACTGGTATGATAAATCCGAATCCGAATCTGAATCCGATGTTACCAACACTATCACTGATCACTTGTCAAGGGAAGATTTGATTGTGGCTATGTGCAGATGCCAAGATAAGTCGGTGTTTTGAAGCTATAAAAAGACAGCCAATGATCAGCTGCTGTGGCATGCCATTAGATGGAGGGGTTTCAAAGAATTGAGATTGCGCGGTGCTGCGCGCGATGTTGGATGATGGCTCACCCTCCATGCTTGTGGTGGTGTGAATTGGATTTTGGTATCTGTAGTTTGATGTAGCATAGACAAGTCGAAGTAAACGCAGCGGTGTCTATGGGTGCCTGTCCTCTCAATCTGATGTCGGCACAGTTTCCATATCGTATGTAAAAGGGACACATTCGTCACTAGATCTGAACTGGTATGGGCCCTGCATCTTGATTCTAATGCTGTACAACGTAATTAGACAAGAATAAACTTGAGGGTTATTGATCTGCCATGACGAGAAGATATCCTCGCCGAAATCCCAACCCGATAATCAATCTGTTAAGAGCCAATCGAGCCGAAAGCTGCTTGAAGTTCACCAATTTTCGGTGTTTTTACCGAGGAAAGATCGCGGAGCAGCTTCTGACAATCACAGGCCTGTCAACGGCGGCGATGGCAAAGACTTCACGGGGTGCCTTCGGAGAAGTCATCACTGTGAACAGCATGGATTAGGTGGGGGCTTTGGAAATGAGTATGCGAGCGAGCATGTGCAAGTTTTTCTAAGAGCCCGCGGGATGCACTGAAACGAATGACGAATTTTGGGGTTCTGTTCCTGGGCAAAAAGACGTGTATCATATGGAGACAAGTCCTTACTCAGGCCCATTTTTTGAGGTACACAAGGGCTTACATCTCCCACGTAATTGGCACTAGCCATGTCCTCCCTACCCGGACAACCGCTAGATATACTGGGGGTCGCTGGGTCGGCAAGCATTTGAAAACATGCACCTATCTAGGGGTTACCTCCGACGAAGCCAGAGGAAGCGTAGGAAGTCTTTTTGGATGGGCTGCACGTGCAGAGAAATCTGATGCATGCGCGATCTGGCGATTTGCGGGCCAGTAAATATATGGACGACAATTTTGAGTGGATTGAGAAGACTCGGAGATAATAACTTTGAACCATTCTATATGTAGCTGTATGAGGTTAGTATGGGAAGAAGTTTTTGTCGTATGCCTCGAGGCGGTCTCTTGTATTACGCAAAGCCTAACCTATATATAAGAAAAAAATAGAGACCAGAAAGTCCAATTGCGTAACCATCCCACATTTAACAGCCTTCTTGACCTTCTCACAGCTTGCTTGGAATAAAGTATGGAATACCCTTCATCTCATACAAGTCTTTGTGCTGAGCCTTGATAATGTCGGCACCCTAGATTTCGTTCGTTCGTTAGTCGTGCCATACCTTGAAAAGAAATGGGTCTGATCTTACCTTTTCGCCAATCATGTACACTGAGTTTTGAATACGGCAGTCAGGAATGACGGGCATAACAGAAGCATCAATGACGCGAAGATTCCTGACACCGTGAACACGGAGCTTGGAATCAACAACACCTTGGTGAGCGCTCTTCGACAGACGTGCTGTGCCACAAGGGTCTGAAACATAATTAGTATCCGCAGCGGATGAATAGTAGATTGTTAGATACTTACGGAACCCAGTCTGACTCCGCTCCAAAACAGCTTTGTTCATAGCCTCGTCGGAATGGATAGGCATCTCCCAGGGATACTCCCCGACGACAATGTCCTTGAATCCCTGGCCATTTAGAAGAACATCATAGGTCCATCGGATACCCTCGCGCATAGCCAAGATATCCAAGTCGTTGGCAAAAAAGTTCAAATTGATGTTGGGGTCTACAAGCGGATCCGCGCTGTTGAGCGTGACCTCGCCTCCTTCAGACACGGGACGCAGAAGGTCCACAATGACCGTCATGTAGCTACCCTCCTTCGGCACAGGGTAGTGCCACTGGAACGCAGTGCTGAACATGCCCACAAAGTCCAACTCGAAATGCGGTTGGCCACCTGGTCCAAAGGGATCAAGGCCATTATTTGCTGCTTTGGCTTCGCGGTAGGTCGGATATTTGTTCAGACGCTCATCAATTCGGGGGAAGCCCACGAGTTCCAAAAGGCCGGATGCTGCTGGGCCGGTCTTGTCTCGTCGGTAGGCGGCAACTGCGGCTTCGTTGGAAGGGCCCGCTCGCAAAAGGTGGTCGTCAAGCGTGTAGCCATCTTTCAATCGTAGGGCAAAAGGGACGATAGGATGGTCAAGCAAGTGCTTACCAACATGCGGAGAGTCAAAGACAGTCTTGATTCCGTGTTGGGCCAATTCTGCTGCGGGGCCGATGCCGCTAAGCAAAAGCAACTTTGGAGTCTCAAAAACGCCCTGGGAAACGATAACTTCCCGGTCTGCATAGAAGTCGTGTTCGGTGCCGGTTGATGGATTGACAACAGAGACACCTACACATGTATTGCTCGCGCCATCGATCAATAAGCGCCTGGTATTGCAGGATGAAAGAATGGTAACGTTCGGCCTGTTTTGCAGATAGAGGAAGCTACCCTGGCGCTCTCCTTTATAAATCGTATCCACACAGTGAGTGAGGCCATGCATCTCACCCGAATAAATATCCTCTGAGAGAGGCTCACCCTTCGACACCCAGGCACTTGTCAGTGCTTCACGGAAAGGTTGAAGCTCCGGGACAAGCTCCGCATGGGCAATCTGAACAGGACCACCAGTCCCGATCTTGTCGAGGTCGGACGGGTACAGTTTCTCATCATCGTGATAGGTCGCACATTTCCGGAGATAATCGACGCAATTGTCCCAGATCCATTCATCGCCACCAAACTCAGCCCAGTCATCAAAGGTGGCTTTGGATCCAGGGATCCAGGTGAAGTAGTTAGCACAGGAGCTACCACCTAGAATCTTGCCGCGGGTGTTTGGTTTCTCGGTGCGTTCGTAGTCATCTCGCTTGATCATGGTGCTCTTATAGGCCCAGTCATACTTGCTGCCTCGGATTCCAAAGGACTTGGATGGGGTGGTGATGTCTTCGATTTGGTGCGGGTTTGCAGTGCCGGCCTCGATGACTAGGACGCGGACGTTGGGATTTTCAGCCAAACGGCCAGCAACGGCGTTTCCAGCAGTGCCGCCGCCGGCAATGATAAAGTCAAAATGGGAATTATTTGCAGTGGTAGTCATTGTACCGAGAGAAGAATTCGGATATCTAGTATGATGAAACTGAATGATGGATGTAGTGTTGTCCTCGAGAAGTCCCTTGATTTATATAAATACTTCTTTTTTCCAATGGTATGAACAGTCGTATAGAGTCCATTTCCATCTATGCTTGCTGCTTGTGAGGAGGTAGCCGATTTCCGTGCGCATTTCATTCTCTCCTCACCGTTGAGTTACTGTTCCATACATCCAATGGAATAATGACAGTCTTACTCATACTACTAAGTTCCATGACAGGCGAGATCGCCCCACAAAAAGAACAAACCTCGAACACTCCGCGAAAATCCCGAGCTAGAACGTCGGTACGGTAAACAATCGGAATTAGCTCGGAGTGCAATTTGTCCCTCGCTGAGAGGTCAATTAGTATTCCCTTTTTCAGAATGGCTGCATTTATAATCTACGGCGTGTATCGTGAGAGGAATTCTTTTTAAAAAATTGTGGATCTTCGTGCTATGTATGGGTGTTTGCTCTTCCCTAATGCACCCACAAAATGAACGAGTGAGTAGTCTTCCATGCTTCCAAAATGCTATTCCCCTCACGGAATGATAATGAATAATCATAGATGAGGGGAATACCCAAGCGGGAGAAGATTGTTCTCCGCATACGTATTTGATATCATCAAGAGTGGTTACGCGATACCGGCATGTATGTCCGAATTCATCCTGACATCTCAACCTTCTTGGAGGAACCACTGGTACGCCGCTTAGAGAAGAATGTTTTCTAATACAAATGGTTGTAGTATCGGGACACCGGCACATGTCGAAAAGATAATGGCTTTTGAGGGCTGACATATCTGAGTATCGATATGAGGAGACAAGAAATCTATATATAAATAACGTATATCTAGGATAAAGTGAGAAATATTTATGATCCCTATCCTTTCAGTACTTCAGGTTTTATCATTTAAACTTAGCCGCAGCAATCATCAAAGCCATGAAGCCCGCTCCTACCTTTACCTTGGGCGAGGGTAAGGGAATATCCTACTGCTAGCACATCTATCACTAACCTTGCCCTTCCCTTTCTCAGGACAGCCCCTTTCAGACCCTGCAGTCAGCACAACCCTCCCAACCTTTGGGGGAGGTGGTCTGGTTCCACTCCAAGATACGCTACTACTCGAGACTTTAGCCCATTTCAATCGTGAACGGATTCCAGAAAGGTAATTTCATGACTTGGAACTTAGTCTAATAAACTCCCTCGATTAACCTATGTAGAGTCGTCCATGCCAAAGCAGCCGGTGCTTGGGGTGAATTCGAAGTCACTAATGATATTTCCCACTTGACCGGGGCCAAATTCCTTCAGGGCATTGGAAAGAAGACACCGGTTCTATGCCGGATCAGTACAACTGGAGGTGAAAAAGGAAGCCCAGATACTGTTCGAGATATCCGGGGGTTCTCTGTCAAGTTTTATACTGAGGAAGGCAATCATGACATTGTGGGAAACCATGTGGTATGCTGGGAAACGGAATTCCTTTCATGGGAAAGAATCTGACGATGACTTTAACAGCCTGTCTTCTTCGTCCGCGATCCTGTCAAGTTTCCTTCGGTAAACCGCAGTCACAAAAAGCATCCGCAGTCTAATACTCCCGATGGAAACATGGTAAGCACTGGTCTCAGTTTTTCATTTTCATTTTCATTCTCATTTTCATTCAGCTAAAAGATAACATCAGTTTTGGGATTTCCACGTCCACAACCCAGAAAGCGTCCATGCTCTAGTTCACCTCTTTGGATCTCGTGGCATCCCAGCGTCAGTTCGCCGCATCACAGGCTTTGGTGTGCATACTTTCAAACTAGTTGCCCCCGACGGGTCCTTCAAGTACTGCAAGTTCCACCTCCGTCCGCTACAGGGAGTAGACAATGTGTCCTCCAATGAGGCCACGCGCCTTGCCGGTGTGAATCCGGATTTCCATACACAGGAGCTGTTTCATGGAATTTCCCGAGGGGATTATCCATCGTGGGGTTTGTATATCCAGGTTATGGACCCGGAGCAGGCTGAGAGACATGGGTTGGCGATGTTTGATATTACCAAGATTTGGCGCCATAAAGACTTTCCGTTGATTCCTGTTGGGAAGATGACGTTGAATAAGAATGTAAGTCTCTTTCCTGATTTGATTGATCCTTGCCTCTTTGACCCATTTGAGCCGATATTAATAAATAATAGCCGACCAACTACTTTGCGGAAATCGAACAAGCAGCCTTTTCACCGTCCAACATGGTTCCTGGCATAACCTCCTCCCCAGATCCGAGTAAGTATTGGCTACTCTGAAGTAGTGGAAGGCCATCTAACACCATGCAGTGCTCCAAGCACGCATGTTCGCATACCCAGACGCCCAAAGATACCGCCTCGGCGCAAACTACCAGCATCTACCCCCCAACAAACCAATTGCTCCAGTGAACGCTCCCTACCAACGTGACGGCGCGGCCACAATAACTTCCAACTACGGGGTAGCGCCGAGTTACGTTCGCAACGGATCCATGCCCCATGGCATTAGGAGGGAGTCTGTATCGACTGCACAAGCGGTGAGACATAATGAGTGGCTTCGAGGGGGAGCCTCTCTGGGATTGAATGAGATTCCGGATACTGAGGATGACTATTTACAACCGAGAGAGTTGTGGAGGAGGGTATTCGATGATGCGGAACGAAGGCTGTGGGTTTCGAATGTTGCGGGGAGTTTGGAGGGAGTTTCGGATGACTTGAAAAGGGGTGTTATTGAGATGTTTGGAAGGGTGGATTCGGAGATGGGGAGTATGCTTGTGGCGGAGGTCAAGGAGACTGCTAGATTGTAAGACGTGTAATGCTTGTCTATAATGGACAGTCAAATAACCCTAGATTTCACTGATAATGCAAATAACAATGTCTACTTGTGGGGTAACCCACGTGAGTGGTGTTAGACCATTGAACCTGATATGCCCCATTGTGGTCACAATTAACTGGCCACTGTGCTGTGTCAATCTTCTCCTAGCAAGAAGTTGAGTTAATCCGCGGAAGAAACTTCTGCAACAGGCCCGTGGTGAACCCCGGCGGAATTGACACCAGAAATGGGTTCTGCACTGTAAAATTTCATTTAGCGACGACCCCATCTTAGGACGTTGGCTCCCCTCTCTGTATCTCCATGATGATTTATTACATGCTGCCGTGCTGTTATTTCTGTGTTATAGTAGTAATTGCTTTGTCTAGCTAAGGTGGCCTCGATTAGTTTCCGGGTCCCCACAATTGTACCACCGCGATCACGACCTTTTGGGCTGAAACTTTCCCCGCTAAACTTGTCGGCCATTTCAAAGAGGCCTGAAATTTTATGCGGCGACGTCGGAGTCTTGATTGTGGTGGAAGTTAGGAAGATCTGCTGAAGCGGGGCAATCAATCCCCGAGGATACTCAATAGGGTTACAAGCAGCAAGAACCGGCTTCATAGTGTTTCCAGCTTGTCTTCGTAGCAACAAGCTGGTAATATGTCTCAGGCGAGGCCCAGCCCTGGTCCGCAATTGTCATTGACTGGCGAAGGCTGGCCTGCGACGACTGTTGTAAACAGATGATGGCTACACCGGAACATACCGCTGAGGTTATGGGATGATTAAGACACTGGTAATTGACTGAATTATACGTGCAGCTAGATATCAGTCCTCATTGGTTGTATATCTCCCGCCAAAGTCGTAGTGGCTTTTGCTGTTCCAGATGCCGTAGTGGCTAGTGCCTGTCGGTCGAATTTTGAGGACACCGACAACTGTCCAAGCGAGGATTGTAAATCCTGCGTACAGGGTGACTAGAAGAAGTATATAGGACATGGAGGCGATTTCTGTCGTAGATGGTTTCTCAGTATGCTCATCTGTGGATGGAACATGGCTTTCTGACCTATTATGTAGATTATGGTCTTCTACTGGTAAATGTTACAGGCTCATGGTGTGTATTGCGTTATTGAAATGCGAATATGGGACGTGTCAAGTATCTCTTCTGTGAGAACAGAGACTCAGCTGGTTCTGGACAAGGATGACAAGTATTCTTATACCGTACCACACTACGTGCAGAGAGAATGCGTGAGTCCATCTAGCAGGTGATATCATATACCACAACTGACATTCATCAGAACATCAAATGAATCCTGTAATATCCTGTTCTAGGAATGGATGAAGAAACAGATATTCCCACATCTACAGAGGGCTCGGACCGCATGTTTGGGACAATCACATTCAACTAGGCTCACCTTTCAGATCCTCCCCAGGCTTTGCAGAGGAGTTTTCGTCGTCGATCTCTAGCTATGACAAGACAGGATATACTTCTACAATCCCCACCGCGTATGCTTTGAATGGGTCTTCTGCAGCACCCACTACAACGGTCTCATCAACTCCTACAGTGGGCACAGACTACCCTGACTCGTATACTATCTGGGATGATGATAATTGGACTTCGATTTCTCTTGCACAGAGTGTATATAACTTTTGGTTTTCTCTATTGGAACTCTCTGGATGTCGGCTGTATCAACTTTCCTTCCCGGGATCGAATGTCTGCCTTCCCACGACTTGTGAAATATACACTTTTCAAGGTAATGATAACTGCTATGAGATTATCTCAAAGCACACCATCAGGGTCACAGTACTGAGCTCCAATCGGAATATCTGGATATCAATATTTTGTTCCAACCTGAATGACTACACAGGAACACAAATTTGCATTGGGTAAGCTAATAATCCTGGAATAGCTGTCTTCTAACACAAACAGAACTCCCTCCTACCTGGCCAACACATCCATGAGCGATACCAATCCAGTAGGCTTAACTCCAACCGAAAGGCCCCCTAGCCCATCAATATTATGAATAGAACCAACACTCACTGCCGAAAATACCATCGAGTCGGCACGAAGATGAGTGCAGCTCACTCACATCCAAATATGGCATCTCCCTTTCTAACTTCTACTTCCTCAGCCCCGAGATTATCGGCGACTTCCAGAATCTCCAGCTCAACGGATGATACTGCGTAGCGCCAGTCGGCGATATCCCCACTTAATTCAACTACGGAGGCACATGTGACACATGGGGTCCCTGTAAAAAGGCCTTTGTCCCCTCTACCTGCTACTAAGACGCATCTTCCCTTCCTTCTGCTTACTTTTTGGGAGGGAAATTCACCTTTGCTACGACCAGTGCTAGCTCTGCAACGGCCGGCACCACTTCATGTACGAGACGAGCTGGTCCCTCGATTGCACCGGGCTCTGTAAGGAATCTTTCGGGTTACGCACATTTTGCAAAGTCACCGGATAATGCAACAGACGTACATCCATTCGTGTTCTAATGTTGCCCTACTACACAAGTGTAGTGTCGGTAATCTTTCACAGTGGAACCCGTCTCTCTCGTCGGATAATTGTTCCTGGAAGCTTTCTGGTCCCACGCAGAGCGGGATCCCTTCTACCCGTGACAAACGGGTAATAAAAACGGATGGAGTGTATTGTCAGATATGGCAGATAATGCTGGTATTTCACTCGAACAGTTGGTCAATCGGAATCTGGCCATGGCCCATAGATAATGATTACAGAGGGTTGAGCCGGAATATGCCTACCGTATCTTTCGTGATTATGGACAGGGTATGAAAAATTGACTGTCTGTGCGACATATTTCCTTGTGCGGTAGCTGAACACAGGAAATTACTCCGCGAGAGAGATCCCCTGTCCCCCGCTAGTCTTCTGCACGATTTAGATCAAGCCACTATATACAATATGATATAAAAGTGCTAGGTACTAGGCTCGACTATTCGTCTCCACAGGGCTCTATAATGCAATTGTCTCATGAGTATGTGGTTTATTCACTTACCTCGTTTATACGGCTGTTAGCTAATAAAAGAGGCTAGGAAATAGACAGTAGCCTTCCCAACACGTTTGAAACTTAATCCCTTGCCCTAATCTTGTCTACCCAGACTCATTGACAGCACCGTCCCGGTTCTGTTTTTTCAAAATAAGTCAGTCACTGTTGTCCACCATATTCCATAACACGCAATTACCTTCAAGTTAGAGCAATTCTTGCAATTGGTACAGTTTATCATATTGGAGCAATTGTGGCAATTTGTACAATTGGTCATGTTCGCGCATTGCTTAGAGTTTTCGCAATTGATGCAGTTACTGCAAAATGAACAGTTGGTACAGTCATTACAATTGGAGCACTGGAGTTACTTGTGAGTGTTTTTCACTGGAGTCATATGGTGTAGAAGCATACATTGTTGCATCCTGTGAAGTGATGAAGTGACTTTTAGCATTGTCAAATGTTAACCCCAATCGCAAACTTGTAGGCTTACCTTTGCAATTTTGACAATTGCTGTTGTTTGTGTTCCCATCATGATCTCTGTAGAAGATTGGTCAGTGGTTGGGTCCAGTTATTGAGAAGGAACATAACGAATACCAGTGAATAGGAAAAGGGCTTTGAACTCACGGAGCTTGTGAACCATGCACCATATTGTCTATCTAGAAAGATCAAATTTGTTGAAATTGTAAGTGCTTTCTCCTTCAACATGCAGTGTTAAACAAAAAGAATCTGGTTGAATGAGCTATATAAACAATATATATAGTTGTATAACCATGTGTCATTGTGATGTAATCAATATACAGATAGTTTGCCTGTTTCAGGCTGATTTCTATTTGAGGTTTGAGTTTTTGTTTTCTTAGGTAGTGACTTGTATTCCCTTTACTCCATAAAAACTGCTTCTTAGAATTTACGAAGAATACGCGTATAAGATCATGACCTCGGTATTTCTCTCGGAATATAGAGGTTGGTTCCTTACCAAACAATACCAACTGATGCCTGATTAATGCCTCGCTGATATCATATGGCGCAAGCAGCTTATTTACTCTGCCATTATTACTGCTTTGGAAACCGCACGATAACTTAGTATACTCTATAAGGTAGTCAACGATCTTATATAGGATCCTAGATAGCACTCTTTTGCAAGAATCAGAGACCTCAACCTTATACGCTCGATACGTACTTTCGACCCTGACTAAGCTGTGATTCCGACAATTTCCTGCGACTTTTGGATTCTGATGAAGACCGGATGAATATCGAGCCGATCTAGTGAGCTCCGGAGAGGTTTTATCGTACGGCGATGAAGCTTTTAGTTAGTTCTTAGCAAGCACTTCACAACAGAATCAGTACTACGTACATTCTCTACTGCGCAATACTGTCGTTTTCGTTCTCGGCTGTCATATAGGCCTCGTACAGTTATCCGGAGAATCGGCATCGCTGCCCCGAAGCTTCCCCGTTTCAGATTCCAAGAGAGTAAGTCCTCGGACCGCATAATGTTCCGTAACCGTGTAACAATCTCTGGTGACTAAGCTAACAGGGGTTGACTAACTTAGTTATTAACCAACTAACCTTCGGCATCGGACTAAGCTAAACTGTGCTTAGGAGTCATCCAGACCGTCGCTCCATTGATACTTATTGCGGTCTCCCTTCCTTGTCTTTCAAGGGTTTATATTGGCATATCCTTTAAGTTCTTGGAATAATCAATTGATCTGCGCATTTTTGCTATCACGACCATGTCGTCTATCATATACAACAGAGCGAAGCTTGAAGAATATCTAGAGCATATTGGCTACGCTGCAAATAGGGCTTGCGGGAGAGCAGGGAAGCTAGACCAGCTAGAATGTGACATGCAAGAGAATTCCCTGACTGTCTTGTCGGAACTCCAGAGGAAGCACCTTGGTACGATTCCATTTGGAAACACGGCGCTTCATTATTCACAGCACCGTACCCTCTCTCTGCAGCCGGATGCCCTTTTTCATAAACTCATCCAAAGAAAGCTCGATGGCTACTGCATGGAGAGTACAGGGTTATTCTACAATGTCCTGATGTCCCTTGACTTTGATGTGTATGCGACGGGTGCTCGTGTCTCTCATGCAGTTAGTGGGAGTGGCCCAAAAGATTCATTTGCTGGCTTGTATGAGTTCACTGCACCTAAAACAATCCTTATATCTGACCGATTTCGTCTGTAGTGGACATATGGTTCTTATTGTGACGATACGGGCGGGGCACTTGGAGCAATATGTGGTATGTTTGGACGGGGCCTTGTTACGGTGGGAATGACTGACGGCGATGACAGGTTGATGTTGCATTCGGAACTCAATGCATGACAAAGCCCCTTAAGCTAGAGGAAGGTACAGCTGTTCAAGTGATAGACCCGGCCGAGGCAAGGTTGGTCAGGATGAGCATCCGTGAACTCTCTGATCGCCAGAAAGTCTGGGTTTACGAGACCCGTTCTCGTCCTCAAGTAGATTGGTCACCGGCATATTGTTTCTCAGAGGTAGAATTTCTCCCTCAGGACTTCGAGATCATGAGCTTCTTTACCAGTCAACATCACTCGAGCTGGTTCACCCAAAAATTGGTATGTGTGAAGATGCTCCTCGACGATGACCATCAGACGATAGTTGGTCAGTACGTGCTATCAGGGAGCGAGGTGAAGAAGCGGGTTCATGGAGATGTCAAAGTGGTTAAAGAACTGAGGACAGAAGCGGACAGGGTTGAAGCATTACAGGAGTTTTTCGGCATAATCCTGACGAAGGAAGAAATCGATGGGATCAGCGGCACGGTCGCACAGTTACCTGTGCAATGTTCCTAGGTCTCTCTTCTACTTTGTTTCCTTTCGTGACATAATACCCTGGTGATTTCCAATTAGGCAGTTAGGTTACTGTTGGATTTTAGACATCTCTAAATCACATTTCTCTCCTCGCCTCTGGAACATTATCTGGAATTTGAGAACTCTATCCATGCGAAGGGCGTCTCGGGAAATAGCGCGCACCATTTCATAGTCTATTCCTGCTCACACTGAGCAGTCTGGTGAGCATCTTACATCCCAAGTTTTAGTTATCTCTTTGGCTTTTGCACACTCAAGCATCATACCATGCTTCTAGTTAAAGGAGAATATAAGTCTTTAATCCATCCCGTGACTAGGATTAATATTGAGTGCGGGCTTTCTGGATCCAACTTCGACTGGCGGTGCTCGGTTGTTTCTAGTATTGCTGGAGACCAGCAATGGTATCGGAGGTCACTCCAACATATCTTGCTCGCATTGAACCTAAAATATGCCAGCACCTTGCCTTAAGACGCAGACAAGGTCAGTTCTGCCAAGCCACTGAGCGCACAGGAACTTACAGCCGTTTGGTATCCAACTTCCCAGCCACAGACACTTTAATTTGGAAGAGAAAGCAGACACATAATGGAAGCGCTGCTTACTTTATGCAGACATGGTAGGATTGTCAACCACAGAACCACAACTGGGTAGTATCAAACCGCTGATCACTGCACGAATAGTAACATGGAACCACAAATGGACTCAGCAGTCAAAGCAAACGGGGAAAGCAACGACGGAAGCCCTTGTTTATTATATTCCTATGCTCAAAAGCGACTCGGGTATCAAATATATTGGACTATATCCCTGTACACAACTCATCCAAATCAACTCGTCTTCCGTCTCCTAACAAAATAATGCAAATTCAACGCCGCCGCAAGCACCCACGCCGCTCCTGCCAATGCACAAATCGCCGTTAAGCCATGGATATATCGCGGCTTGTCGCTTGTGCGGAAGATCTGGGAGCCGGAGATACCAGCGCAATTGGCAGCCATGACGATTACACTGTTCACTCGTAAGATTAGCAGGTGCTAGAATTTGGGATGGGGAAGGTAAGGGACATACGCCATAGCGACACTCCGTTCCTGAGGACGTTCGCAGTAGACAGACAGCCAGCCGACGTTTAGGATGCTGGTCTCATTAGCTTCAACTTAGATTAAGGCCAAAGTGGGGCAACGCACTGCATGCTGATGTAGGCTACATTAGCCACACAAATAACGCCGTATCTATGCCACTGCGACGAATCCCACGGCGTCATCCGCAAACACGGATATGCAATAACATTCCACGTAATAGCTAGCAACACGAATGGACCGCGATGGCCAAGCCAGTCAGATAGATACGCCAATACCAATGTCCAGACCATACTGCAATACACCGGTACCGAAGCTAGCGCATTCGCATCCACGCTGTCAAAACCGAACGATTTGATCATACTAGGCGTGTAGTGCGTCAAACCCTGGTACGCGGACATGGCGACGAGCGAGACCATAAAATGCTGAATGACGTTTGGTTTCCGCATTGTATCCCAGATATCGCGGCCGGTGATTTTGATATGGCCCTGTGCTTTTAGCGGATCGTCAAGGATGACACGGTCACGGATGATTTGTGATTCGCGCTCGGTGAAGTAGGTCCAGCGGCCCATGCTGAGTAGTGGTTTGCCGTCTCCGGCCTTGGGAGGAATGAGGAGGGTGAAAATGACACCGGCGAAAATGGTGATGAGTCCTTCAACTGGATGTTGTTAGCCAAGTTCAATGGCTCGGGGAAAAGGACATACCCAACCACACCCATCGCCAACCCGCTAACCCCCCCTTCCCATCAAGGGTCAACAAACCAGCGGATATCAAACTCGCAGTAGCCCCAGCGAACATTTGCCCGAAAAAGAAAAGCGTGGTCCGGAAACTCGTCTCGTCGCGTTTATACCACGTTGACATATAATAAAGCGCGCCAGGTATAAAGCCACCCTCCAGCATTCCCAAAAGCAACCTCGTGGCCAAATACGCCGGGTACGACTGCACAAACGCCTGGAACGTCGCGACCAGTCCCCACGCGAACAATTGTAGCGATAACCATCTCCGCGGACCCAGCCATTGAAGGACGATATTCGATGGTATTTCCGTCACGACGATTCCGGCTGAGAGCAATTGCGATCCAACGTTAACCTGATTTGTCGTGATGCCTAGATCATCGGTGATTGTCGATGTCAGGACGGCGCTGATGTTCATGCGATCAAGCTGGAGGGAGAAGAACGCGATTCCGAGGATAGGAAGGAGGATGCAGTCGATTCTGGATTGTTAGATTCCGATTGCGATTGCGATCGAGAAATCGAGTAGAGTGATCTTACTTCCGCCGTAATGGTCCCTCCTCTGCATCCCAGTCCTTGACAATCCCGTTCGGCGCATCGGAGACCTCATTGTTAACGTTCTTTTCGCTCGCGGCGATGCCATTGTCATGGTCACTGTCCGACTCGAATGCCATAGTCGCGCGCAGCGCACAATGTCCCTCGTCTCAATCTCACACACGGAGCGAAGTCCTTTGCGACACCCACAAATCTTATAACTACCGGACCAGGTGAACTTATCGCTCCGACCCGACAGCTGATCTGCTTACGCAGCTTTAGCGCAGGACTTCCCCCCCTAGAGATCCCGAGGTCTTACGAATAACTGGGAACGCAAGGCGTAATCGGCGTTAGTGGCCAGTCGAGCGAATCACGGCTTCATTATGGAGCGCGCTAAACTGTGATAGGAAATGCTTGATCAATGCAAACTAACCGCGTTTGTTCTAGTGTCAATACTTAAATATTTAGTGGATTTTAGGTCCACGATTCCCAGCTCAAGCCATCGCGGTAAAGCAAGTCCGCTTGTGGTCCCTCCGCATCGACGATGTAGCCGTTTTCGCATCGGTCGAAGGCGACGTTTGGTATTGCTTGATAGAGAGTGTTGTATTGGGGTTCGAGGGCGGCACGTAGGTTCTGGACAGAACCGTCGGGGTGGAGGACGCTCCATGGTTTGACGCAATTGCGACCTTCGCATGATTTGAGAACAAGTAAGAGCGAGTCGAGTCGAGACACAACATGCTCCAGTGGGTATCCGAGGATATGTTGCGAGCGATCGTCCGAATATAAATTGTTCATTTCGTAAGGGTCAGTCTGAGAAGTTAGCAATGGACATGCAACTTATCCCAGACCACATACCGTCAAGTCATATAATTCATGCTCATTAGTGCAGAAAACAGAGTAGTACAGGTCATATCCGTCACCGATAATCCGCACGGACTTGTAGGTGTTATGGGAAACGTTGAATTGGCCGCCGGGACCTAGTTCTATAAGCACTGAACATTGGCTTCTCGGGAAAAACCTACCAAGTCCGCCCTTCTCTCCCTCCAAAAACGCCTTGCCCCAGTATTCCACAGTGACATGCTCATGCGTAGTTTCAATTGAATTGTGAACGGGCATCGGGGCTCCATCAAAGTCCTTGCGCAATGGAATGCCAGCTAGGTCGAAGAACGTCGGCGCTAGATCGATATGAGTGGTAACTGCGTCTTGCACCACTCCTTCTGGAACACCAGGTCCGCGGATGAAGAAAGGAACACGGATGTCCTCATCGAACCCAGTCGACTTTCCCGGCGGCAGGCGGTGCTGACCGATATGGAAACCGTTGTCGGACGTGTAGATGATGTAGGTGTTGTCGAGTTGGTTACTCTCTTCAAGACGGGTGACCAGCGACTCGACCAGCTCGTCCACTCCCTGTAGAGAACGCAGGCGTTGACGATAGAAATGATCGTTGTAATCAATGACCGACTGGCCCTGCAGAGGCAGGTCGCGAATCCAGCTGACCCCACTTGGCTCGTCCGGGTTGAAGCTTCCAGTGCGTGGCACCTTGGCATCTGGAAATAGATCCTTATGCCTGTCAAGCGGGATTGCCTCTGTCATTGCCGCTCCGCCAAACGTCGACGAATTCACGTTTGTATGCGGTGCAATTGGCGAGACCGCCAGGAAGAACGGCTTCTCTCCCTCAAGAGCATCTTCCAGCAGGCCTAATGCCTTTTCCGTGATCACTTCGGTTGTGTGCCGACCTTCGTAACTAACCGGAGGATCGTGGTTCCGCTGGTAGGTAGAGTTGAGATAGTCATAAGTAAACGGATCAAGCAAAAAGTCCGATCCGGTAAAGCCAGCTACATGGGGCTTGTCGTAATTAGAAACCGTATGCGCATTGAACAACTTCCCGGTATAGTATGTGTTGTACCCGGCTTCTTGCAGCCAAACGGGAAGAAAGTTATCATTGAATCCGCGCTCCACGAACTTCGGATACCCGCCTATACCAGTTAGCAGTCGAACCACTTGCTAATAAGCAATTGAGACATACCATACGGCGGTCGCACATCCGTCACATTAGTATTATGCGCCTGTCTTCCCGTCCACAAACTAACTCTTGACGGACAACACAACGCCGTTGTGACAAAATGATTCCGAAAAAAGGTCCCCTTCTCTTTAATATACTTTTTCGTCAACGGTGTATAATCCGTAGACCCCAATGCCAGATCCTGGTCGTCGGAGATAATGAAGAGGATATTGGGTTGTTTGGCGGTCTTGTTGCCCGGGTCAATGAGGGGGGTTTGGAGGTCAGGTACATTGGCTTCTGCGAGCACGGAGAGGCTCGCTGCTGCTATAAGAAAGGATTTAGCGAATTTCATGGTGAATCTTGGAATATTGAGGAGAGGGGAATGGATTCGTCGTGAGAAGTGCAATATATCAGCTCGGATGATGCAATTGATCGGCGGTTGCTAATTGGCTGTCGTTTGTGCAATTTATTCACTGTATAATGTATGCACTATTCCGCGTAGAATAGAATCTAAAGATGTTGTATGGATAATGCCATGGAGCGCGGGCGAAATGTTTGACTACTTTGGCCCGTTTGAAAATAGGGCAGGGACTCCCTTCGACTAGATAGCGATATCCCCATACACTTGCACAACGGATATCCACCGCAAATACAGAAGCCCCAGGAAGCCCTAAGCATAACATAGCACAGCCGTTCCTTAAAATACGAAATACCAACCCGAGTCATTCATCATTACCCGGCATAAGTTGACAGGGCCTAATCGTTGGCTTTCTAAATATAAGGCGGTGTGATGGTTCAAATCTTGCCTAAGCATAACACCAGGCTTTTAGCCACATGCACTCGGCCACCTGAGTATAGTCCTAGCTGAGCAAGCCTACTTAGTTTCTATTATCAAAGAGAGGGCGTGCAGATGACATGGGTGAGTGAGCTGATCTATCACCTGAGCTATCATGTGCCATATACACCTGGACAATAACCACTAACATTCGTCTAGGCTGCTATATACACAGCAATCAAATTCTGAACGTCTGCGTATTCTCCAACAAAAACGCATACGTCTCATTCCGGAAATCATCATTCAACAACTCCCCCTTATCCTTGAAAAACTGCATCAACTCCACTCCCTCGTTTGTCCACTGCGGCCATTCTGGAAACTCCTCCCCACGTCGTTTATTCGGGTCGAGCTCGTGCACGAAACTGAAATAATACGAGTGTATCGACCTCGACGCGTAATTTGGCAAGATTCCATAGAATACCTGGAGGATGTCGCTGCCGTGGAACGTACCCAGGATCGGGGTGCCGTAGTCGTATGAGGCGAGGTAGGACCATGTGGGGACGTCAGGCTTGAGCTCTTTGGCGTATTTGAGGAAGATGCGGCGGGTGATGGTAAAGGTCAGGTCTCCGAGAATGGCGGCTAGACGCTTAAACTGCGGGTACCAGTTGTTGAAGATGCCGGTGCGGAAAGGAGAGCCGTTTTCAGCGATGTCTTCGTAGGTGTCGATGAGTGTTTGTAGCTGGTCGCGCGAGGCGTGGAAGAAGAAAAGGTTGGAGAAGTATTCGATCAGATCGTCTGTTGTGGTTATGTTGGATTGGAAGAGGGCGAATGCCGTGCCTTCATCTTCTTGATCGCCGACGATAAACGGTACTGAAGCATATTTCCCTGACTGCACAGCGAAATCGGGTGACTGCGTGAAAACCTTACCGTCGGGACGAGGCAGATACGACAGTGACACGGAATGATAGCTCAGGATCCCAGGGACCGAGTTCGCAGCGTTGAGAAAGTCCGTGTATTCCAACCCGCGCAGACACTCCAATGTGTCTTCGGCTGTATTACACCCAGCGTACGCCACAACGGTGTCGTATATATCCTGCCCCTTGTCACAATCCACCGGATCTGCAGGTACCACACTCCCGGAGTTCATAATGGCACCCCGGAACAACGGCGACCCATTGTATTCGATATCCCCGTCGTACAACATCATCTGGTCAAACACGGAGATCGATCCCGCCGACTCACCCCAGATCGTCACCTTATCCGGGTCCCCTCCAAACGCAGCAATATTATCAGCAACCCATTCCAGCGCGAGTCGTTGGTCAAGCAGGCCCAGGTTTGCCGCGCCGTCCGCAAGGATCTCGGCACCAGGCATAAACCCAAATCCGCCAACACGGTAGTTCATCGCGACGAAAACAATTGGCATATCCAGATCAATTGAGTCCTGCACAAGCGATGCCCCATCATACATAGTCGACGATCCTAACTCAAACCCTCCACCGAAAATCCATACTAGCACAGGTAGTTTTTCCTCTGCTGTCGTTCCCGCGGGACGACGAATATTCAATGTGAGACAATCCTCCCCAGCATTAGTAATTTTTTGGAAAAGCGGGATGTTTGCTAGCTCCCCGATGACAGACCCAGGGAACTCAGATGTATCCGTCGTAAAGAAGAACTGCGGACATGCCTGCGCAATACCCGTAGCATCGACATCCCCCAGATCGCTCTCGATAGGTTGCGGCGGTCTCAGTCGTAGAGATCCAGTCGGCGGCTGCGCAAACGGAATCCCATTAAACGACTCAACCTTTAGCCCAGCCTTACCCGTAATAGTAGCCTGGGGAGACGAAATAGTAACGGTAGGTGCGCCCAGAATAGCCGGTACTGCCAGGACGGCTGGCAGCAGGGCCAGAATAGAAATAAAACGAAGCATTTTTGCGGATGTGGTGCGGATGCGCACATAGAACTTGTCTCATTTAATACCGAGAGCGGACATGTCACATTTATACTCCAGTCAAGATTGAAATTGTTCGGGAACTGCCTGATAGGCAGGCACGACCGCGACCCATGTGCCTTTGTCCCTGCATTCCTGTCTTCCTGCCTGCAACCCAAGACATAGTGGCTGAATGTGTCATATGGACAAAACAAACGCCAAGATGACTCGTAGGATGTCATATTATAGCCTAATTTGGAATCCTTACTGTAACGGGAAGGTTATACACGTGAACCGAGGTCTGTCTGTACATTTTTCTATGTGGAAGGAGTAGATCAGATCCCCGCATTCTCCTCCCCGCGGGGAAGTATGTTAAAGATGATAGGCGCGGTTATTAGCACAATGTAGGAAAACAGGGTTGACAGTTGCGTTTCTTGAAGTAAATCAAGTTGTCTATTTGGGTAAACACTGCGTACAAAACCTCGGATCATGCACATCCGGAGAACAAGGATACTCTGAGTACTGCGTGCAGAGCACGGAGCAAATGTGATAGGAGCCTGCGTACGTCCGAGACACCCGCATGGCCTTGTCCTCGATATTGCTGATACGTTACACGGAGAATATACCCAATTTATTGAAATGCATCGCTAGTCTATTGACAAACAAACCAACGCCATCTATGCAAAAGCAATATACAATAATCGAAAATGCACAAGCGGAACAAACAAAGAAACCTATGACTCCGCCCACCCATTCCACCGCTCGAACTCCCCTGTATCCAAGTCAAACAGATCTAACATCCTCCCCACGCTCTGGTCAACCAAGTCTTCCACCCCAGCAGCTCGGATATAGAACGCCGGCACAGGCGGGAAAATGACAGCCCCACTCTGCGTTGCCGTCAACATATTTCTCAGATGGATGTCGCTCAGTGGTGTCTCGCGCGTAACAAGCACCAGCCGTCTCCGTTCTTTAAGCATCACGTCTGCTGTTCGAGAGATCAAGTCGTCACAAAAGCCCGAGGTAATTGCAGCCAGCGTCTTCATGCTGCATGGCACCACGATCATTCCGTCTGTTTTGAAAGAGCCGCTGGAGATAGGTGCAGCCATGTCATTTATGTTGTGGACGTGGTCGGCTAGGGCACGGACGTTGGATGGATGGTAGTCTGTTTCGTATTTGATGGTTGCTTCGGCCCATTTGCTCATGACCAGGTGGGTTTCAACATTGAGGCGGCGGAGGGCTATGAGAACTTTGATGCCAAGGGTCGCGCCGGTGGCTCCTGTCATGGCTACCACGATGCGACGGCGGCGGGTATTGTTGGAAGCATTGAAGATAGTGTGGGTTGTGGGCCGCATTTCGGCGTCGGGGGATTCACGCATTGAATGTGGTGTGACAGTGCCGTTATTGTTGGTATTGCCAGAGAATATCGAATTCAGCATGGTCTGAAATGCTGATTATTGTTTGTTGACAGAACGATTTGGGTGTTTATTGCTTCGAGTCGAGGCGCGTTTCACTAATCCTTGTGCAAATCCTATGAGATCCACTATGCTGCAAAAGATGGAATCGTGTCACATCCTGACAGACGGCTTTGCTTCTTATATGATCCACCTTTTTCCAGACTGCGAGTGGGATATCAGTCATTCCAGAAAATATTGACTTGACGTTGATATGTCCGAGACCCGAGATCCCGAAACCGAGACCGGGTCCCGAACTGTGCCAAACCTGATTGCAATGTCGTAATTTGCCATGTTAATTTTACATGCCAAAACAGGGATAACATTTTTGAGACGATGATATTCTGCAAAGTTCTGCACGTCAGATCTTTAATGGCACAGAGTACATTCATGGTCTACTAACTTCGTGGTTTTCTTACCTGTGTTTCGTCCCGACGACCCGGACCGACCGGATACCTATTGCCGATTACAGAAATTGGCTCTCCTGCGATATATCAAAAAGCGGAACTGTAAAATCAGACTGAGTCAATTATGACCGAGCCTCCAGACCGGCCGAACTCACCGTTCATGATGGAATCGATGTACGTAACAGGTGATACGTCGGATACGTTCAGTCCCTCAGGGAAAATGTTTGATATGTTCCTGATCTTATTAGCAGTCCCCAGAGTAACAAAATATGCTAGACGTACCCAAAACCAGGGAAGAGATTGTTCACATCGAGCGTGGTCTCGGCGCCATGCGGCATTGTCTGCTCCGTCTGCTGATCCAAAGCGCTCCCCACCGTATTACGGAGGGTGACTAATGCCCGAATATGTTGCTCCGAGAGCCACTGTGCGTTATCGGACGCTGATTCTGAGTCACCGCTAGCCGGCTCTGCTGCTGAAAACACTTCAATCACTCTCTGTTGTAGATCCCGACATTCCGGGTCGTGTCGCGTTTCTTCCCAGATACACAGCAACAGCGTCGAGCTCAGTACTGTATGCACCATCGACCATGTGCGAAGGGGGACGGTACTCAGTGCTTGGAAATCAAGGAATGCTTTGGAGGCCTCCTGTAGGCTGGCTTTAGCACGGGTGCGGAGTAGCTCATGTCCATAGAATGCATCCCGCGACTGGGTCCGCTTGACCGCTGGACGACAGAGGACTGAGACCCCGAAGCAGAGGTGCATCTTCAGTGCCAGATGCTCGAGGTTCTGATGGAAGGTCTTGCAGTACTCGCGCGAGCACAAATGTGGCTCTGCTCGACTGTAGACATTGTCCAATGTTGTCAACGCATCAAGTGACCGGCTAGTTTCCTGCATTTCTGTTTCGTCTGACCTGATAATATCCAGAGCCATCCGGCAGAGGTAGTGCATGATATCGGTGTATGATAGATTTGTGCGAGAGAATATAGAGGTATCTGTTGCCCAGCCGGACACAGTGACGATGGGTGGCCGGTCATAGCAAAGACAGAGAAGGCTATCTTGCCACACAATTGCAAGCCTGTTTGGTCAAAATAAAACAAATTAAAGATAAGGTCAGCACCCACCATAGTGATTTGGCCCTGGACCGAACATATTCAGGTAAATGCGCCATGCTTTTACTTGTATGCAACCCCAGAGTTTGTGCCAATCTAACCGTCGTCCCCAACAATGCCCAAGCAGCATCTGACTGTCCGTTGTTCTGCAGCGTATTACCCAGTATTAACAGAGCCTGGATGATATCCAACGACGGTCGAAAGAGAAAGTTAGCCAGACGTAGAGCGTGGAATGACCGTCGGGCTGTCAAGCATTAGCAGGAGTTCACAATATAGACCGCTAGACATACCTAGTTCTTGACATGCTTCGGAGCGCTGCTGGGTCTCCAGATTAGAATAGTGTGCCCCAGCAGCCAACGTAGCCAGCAGCAAACTGATATGGCCAACGGACCCGCCTGTTGACCAACGCTCAGAGATGCGATTTGGGTCCCGGAACTCTCCGGTAGCGTGAGCATTTAGATACGAGCAGAGATCCGATTCAAAGCGATCCACGTCCACAAGAATGGGATTGAATGGATATGCACATAAGCGATAGAAATGGAAGAATCTATCCACATTAGCTCGCTGAATGCTGATCGTATCATAGTACACTCACTTAAGAACTTCCTTCCGCTGAGGCAAGATCTGTAGCAACGAGGACCACTGTTCCTGCGGCGTCCTTGAGTCCATAAAAGGATAAGTGTTGTACGTATTCTGCAAGCCAAGCACCGACCCGACCTCCCGGGCCATTAGACCGTTGGCATCCTGCGTGCGCTGACGAAGAATAGAGATGACGGAGTTATCCCCAGAGAATATATACTCCTTCTCACCTCCGTCCGCGATATTGGCTCGATTCTCTTGCGGTTGAACTTGAACCTGAGTCTGTCCTTGGTTCTGATTTCGAGGACTTGGCAAAGACGTCTGCGATCCTAATCTTGGCACTGGTTCCGGTCTCCAATTCAACTGCGGACTAGCAATCTGCTCATTCCCAACGGACGCAGACCTATTCCGTGAATGAGACACATCATAAGCGCAGATTTCCGGATGTCCTCGTCTCTGACATGTCCGACATGGCTGCGTGCCGTCGCATTTGACCTTGCGTTGGCGGCAGGGGTAGCAGGCTCTGGACTCGCGTTGCTTCCGCCTCTGCTGCAACACGCGGTCTATTTCCTGTTTGTCAATGTTGTTTGCCATGACATCGTTGGATTTGATTGAGGTTGTTCTGAGTTCTTTACATTTTGGAGTTGAGTTGATGTCAAGTCAATTAGTCAGCGGTTTCTAGAATACACAAGAGCCAATCAGGTTTAAGCTCCTTTACAGGGACATTTTACATTTATTACTGTCCAATAACTAATAATTGATTTTTCTATATTTATATAAAAATTCATTTTATATTGATTTAATTACCACGGAAGCCCATCTTTTCCCAGTTCGCCAACACCTTCGACTTGACCTCCTCCGGGAACGAGCTCTCAAAATCAGCAGTCTCCCAGTTCTTGCCGGTGGTATATTCGACGGGCATCAATGCATCCGAGACCACTTTACCGCCCTGGACCGGCGAACCATTACCCTTGCCCATATACGGAATCAATGGGAATCCTCGGACATTCTCATAGTGTGTCTCGTCCATACCAGGCCGGCAACGGGTGGAGAAAGCCCACATAACATCGTTGCCATCGTAGACGTCGATATCGTCGCCAACGAGCACGAGCCGGTGGATGGTGTATCCAGCTTTTTCGTTGAAGATAAGATCACCAACCTTCTTTCGGAATTCAGTGCTGTTAGTCTTCATGCTGCGGAGCTTGGCGGTGTCCACGCGTAGAGCCACCCATGTGACTTGGGATTCGAAAGGTGCGAAGGCGTCGGTTATGGGGAGGTCGTGTTGCTGGCAGATTTTGCGGATTTCTGCGGCGGCGAGGGAGCCAATCAGGGTGTGCTATATCCATTAGCTAGATTATATACCCGGAGAGAAGTTAAATACTTACCGTTTCATCAGTCAACCGTCCACAAGAGGACATGGGAAGGATAGGGTTGTTGCGGTATGTGATCCGGTTCACCTTGTACTTGGGGCAGACGTGGACATCACCCGGGAAGATGTATCCGTGCATTTCACCAAACGGGCCCTCTGGACCACTCTCGGTAATGGACAATGTGCCTTCGAGAACGATCTCTGATGTCGCGGGCACATACAAATTGTTGGTGTCACACTTGACAAGCTCCAACGATGAACCGGTCATCGCTCCGACGTAGCCCGCCTCGGTCACACCGTCGGGGATAGGCATGCTCGAAGCCATAATAGCAGCAGGGGGCACACCAAAGGCCAACGCCCACGGAACATCCTTTCCTTCTTTCTTCCACATTTGATGAATTTGCCATATATGCTGAGGGGGAATGACGAGTCCAGTCAGATGCTTTTCGTCGGAAACCATGGCCCGGGCAATGGACCAGTTAGTCCATTTGCCGTCGGGAGTCTTAATAATGTGCATTCCGTAGGTTTGAATGTATTTTCCACCGTCAGACTGATGGACCATTGGAACCGGAAGAGCTGTCAGATCAATCTGCGACTCCTCAAGATGGTTTTCTTTGCAAGGTCCGGTAGGGAGAATTGTGGGCTCAATCGGAGGCATCTCGCTAGCAACAAGCATCTTGTCAAGGATCTCCCTCATAGTCGCAGTGGGTGGAAGACCAAGGTGTCGGGCCAAACGGCCGTAGCGGTCTTTCGAACTGTTTCTCAACGAACCGGGAGCTCCGAGAATGCGGAAGAGACCGTGTTGCATACCAATAACATTGTTGAACAGGGGTGCCTTGTCGTTAGTCTCACAGACTCGACGAGTGATGGCTGCGGCTTCGAGGTCGGCATCGATGGGGGTGTCGATTTCGACGAGGTCGTTGTCGGCCTTTAGGGCCTCGACGAAGGAGCGGAAACAAAGGTGAGCTTGTGTTTGAGACATGTTTATAGATATTGATGTTAGAGTAGATTAATGCAATCTAGAGTCTCAAGCCTACAGGAGATCTGCTTTGGTCTTTTATAGTCTGACTCAGGATCCGGCATTCTGACAATAGCCATTGTTGGCAACCGTTGGGGAGGGTTCGGAACTCGCTTTTCGGGGCCTCGGAGTGGCCATTCTTCTGGTTCTGGTGTGGGCCGTGGGATATTCGGCACTCGGCATGCCGTGACTTCATTTTCCTCATCAGGAGATCAGAGCTAAACTTCAACATTAAAAAAGTCTGCCGTAATCCGAAACTCAATTACCGAGCATGATCGGTGCTATTGAGCACATCTGCCTTCATGTTCATGATGTCTACATCGCCTAAATCATCTTCCTTCCCCATATGCCTTGTTGTCATGTTATCCAGGCCACTATTAGCCTGGCTTCTAGTTATACGTAATACGTACAGAGTCAATTTAGAAATGACATGAAGAGCTTATCGAAACTGTCCTTTGATAAAACGGGAGCTGCCATTGTAGGGCTACCATCGGCCCTTGACTTGTACCTTGGTAGCAATCCGGACCCTTCCATACTTACAGATGACGGGAGTATACAACAGCCTACAGCTCGAAAAAGAGCAGCCTACTCGCTAGAGAAAGACTAAACCTTTATGAGTCTTCCTTCAGTTATAGATTCTCTCTTTTTTTTTTTTTTTTTTTTTTTTTTTTTTTTTTTCCTACAGCCACCCGTTACTGATCCATCCATCACATCAAACTAATACTTACAAACAACTATCTGCTACTAATATAGAAACAACATGATTGCCTTTAAATTCTTTCCTAAGTGCAAATTTCTATTCTCCAAGGACACGATGAAGGCCAGAGTGATTCAACACGAGTCCATCGAGCTTACTGACATGGGAAGCCACTCCCCCCTTTGCGAAGACAACATGATAGCAGAGAGTATATTTTGCAAGGGAGTGGAGGACAATTCGCTGCGTTGTGAAATTGAGAAAATCCTTGTCAACCATGGGATCTCATTCCAGGAGGTCACTTTCGAGATGGGAGATGAGTCTTGCTATGAGAACAGAGTATCTGCCCCCTATGTGCGAGTGAAGTGTGCCACCGGTCGTGTGCCGCATTCAACCTGGTTCGAAGTAAAGGGACAGATCGCTGATGTGCTTCTGAAAAGAGATTTGGGGATATTTAAGATCGATATAAAGTCCGACATGCCTGACAGGCCTGTTGAGCCTGTTAGGTGTCTTAAAAACAAGCCTTCCGCGTCTAGATTGGGTTGGTTTCGTTTATTGGGATGACTTGCGTTGTCGGATACGGAGTTTGTGTATTAAATTCTTAGACAGTTAAATCAATATCTTTTTTTTTTTTACTACAACACAGTTTAAAGCTGCAGCAAGACATCATTGGTAATGAATTAAGTAGAGGCAGTAGTGTAGGATCGCAAAGAATAAGCCATCCTCTTCCTACTTTTCTATGTTTTCTCTGCCTATGTGGGACGTATAGCGACATCGATCCATCGCTGCCTGCTGCGCCGATGCCTCAAAATTGCTTCATGTTGACCATCAGAGAGTGCATAGTCAAAAGGGAGCAATGTCTATGCCTCCAACGTCCTGTACTAAACAGCAAATTTGTGGTATGACAGGAAGCCTTGCTTTTCTTTCCTGATTAATAATGTGTAGGAGTGATGTAAGAAATCTCAATCGACTATTTCAAGCCACCCCATATCGAGAAATGCTGCAGTATCTATACACGGGGGATTACACAGTTGGATCCGATGATGTAATGAATGCAATGGACTATACTACCTCGTCGACCCGTTGAGCTCCGTGCAATCCGTAGATAGTGAAGAATCCGAAGCCGACGAAGGCCTGTCCTTGGGGAGTGTCTTGCCGTTTTCCATGTGAGAATATGGCCTCGGAGACTACCTTCGGATTGACGTTCTCAAGGTTACGACAAAACAGCAGTTCCAGACCACACTTGACCAGGTGAGTGCAGGGGAAGCATTGGTTGAGGTCATTAATGAGGTCTACAACTCTACTCTGGAGTCTGACAAGGGACTGCGAGATATTGATTACACCGTCATTCTTGGTAGGAGACTTAGTAGGGGTGTATTGAGAAAGGTATCAGATCTCATTCCGATCTGATTCGGAGTTAGGTATAATGGAATATAGACTAAATCTGACTTATACTGACTCAAATCCAAAATATTTTCCTCTTTGGGTTTAGTGCCTTACATTATTCCTGATTTAGCAATGGGTCTCTTCTGGTTGGTCCAGCATCAGACGGCCCATCTCAATATTACGTGCGGAATGAAAGATGAATTATTGGTTGTATGTGCGCAACAATCTATGATGCGGCTACAGTGCTCGCTTATATGTGTCAATACTTACCACAAAGAAACTCATTTGCAGAGTACAGCGGTGGAATTTCTGATCTGGAATGTATATCTATTTATCATGCTCTACTGGCAACAAAACTTGTCTATTATCAACCCTAGAACTCTTTTTGGAACACGATGGGAGCAAGTACTACGGAGAGTTACAAAATAGCTGACTCTATTTGGGTTTGCTGACTGTAACCTGTGATTCATGTAGTACGACGCTGGAGTCAAATAGGAGTCTGCGCAACATTATGGTTCAGAACGTGATAGACAATAGCAAGGGTTTCAACAAGGTAACAGGAGCACATGTAACTACACTATAGGAACTTTTGTGAATGGGTAGAATGGGAAATGCAAGTTCAAATAACTGTTCTTAGAAGCTTTCAAAAACACAAGTTATTCCTCCGAGGTGCGTGCTAGACTTCAGTTTCGGTACGTAGTGCTGATGCTTCCTCGAATTCGACTCGTAGAATCACATGCAATATTTTGTTCAATCCAGCCACTGAAAATACGGATCTCGTGCCACACGTGTATTGACTATCCTCAGCTATATATAGGAATCCGATTACAACAAGATGTCTACTCCCACGTAAATAACCCAATCTTTCGAACCTGTCATGATTTATTAACAAGGGAAGATGGTTTCGCAACCATCTACGGCCCAGTGGTTTTAGAACCATGTGTGGTGAAAAGATATTCCTGGTCCATCTAGACGTTATCTGTTCTGGTTGTTCTCATTTTGCACGTGCCAATAGATCCAGGGCACGTTCATTCCAGCTTCGTGTAGCCTTTTCAACCAACGGAAACAGGAGGTCCTGACACAAGAAATCACATTCAATGGCTTTGATCCTCCCTAGATCGAAAAGCCACTGGAATACTTGTGCACGGGGGACTATACTATTAGCGATAGCGGTGTGAAAACCCTGATGAACCACACCAAATCATCTCCCCAGAGAGCAGCAGTGAGCGCTACATTTTCCGAATCCTGCGAGAACTCATATGACGGAAATGACATGGAAGATGGCGATGCATTCGTCTTCCACGCAGAGATGTACAGTCTCACCGACTATTTTCAACTCAAAGGCCTTCAAATTTTGGCTAAAGAGAGCTTTTATTCCATGTTCAAGACAGTAACAAGCAAAGGACTGACACTAGTGATTCGTGTGGGGTATGGCGTGACGCCAGAGTCGGGTCCTCTACAGCTTTGGGTGGTTTATAAAATATTCCGGAGTGAAAGAGTTGTGCTCAGGGAGATGTTGACCCAAGTACGCGAACTTGCGATTGATCTGTGTGGTGCAGCGTTGACTGCTGTTCGTCAGAACATTACGTTTACTGAGGATGGATATTGGTGAGGATATGGAGGTGATTATCAGGGCTGATAGCCGAGAAATCATGACATCGATCTGGTTACTGTAGGCTATCTTCGGATTAGAAGTCATTGCACACGATGCATACAGTGAGGTTTAGACGAAAAAAAAAAAAAAAATTCTCATATTCATTATCAAGTATATAACCTGTGCATAACCTACTGCACCTTATGTTCCTCCCCGGAAAACCCCCCGAACCACACCGCAGTGTGGACCTACACGCATCTAAGCTTCATCCTAGGCCTAGTCCGGTTGAAAGATTTCCCCATACAGTAGCAATATGTCATCCGAGGTCCGAGTTCCCCACACTCTCGGGGGCTCGGCCGGGGTAGTTTAAATAACCCCCAGGGTGCTGGATAGCGACATGTTCACACATCTAAGAAAGGAAGCAAAGTCACGATGTTCTATCAACCAGGTACAACAGCGCATAACCTTCCCCATGATCCGTTCAAGGTATATCCCTCACCCTCCTCCTCCACTATTAATCCTGATAACGGCAACAGGCTTGCGTCGTCCCCCGCCCAATCGGCTGGATCAGCACCAAATCCCACGACGGCCACGCCAACCTCGCCCCCTACTCCCAATTCAACAACTTAACCTTCGACCCTCCGTACGTCATGTTCTCCGCGAACCAAACGCCCTCCCATTCCCGTAAAGACACTGTTGTCAACGCAGAAACCACAGGCCATTTCGTCTGGAACCTAGCGACCTACGATCTCCGCAACGCTGTGAATATCTCCGCAGAGCAGGTCCCGTACGGGACGGACGAGTTTGTGCGCGCAGGGCTGGAGAAGGAAAATGCGAGTTTGATGGATGTACCCATGGTCAAGGACTCGCCGGTGAAGTTTGAGTGCGTGTATCATTCTACGCTGCGGTTACCTGCGAATCCGCCAATGGGGACTGTGGATGTTGTTATCGGGCGGGTTGTAGGTGTGCATGTGGATGAGGGGGTGTTGACAGATGGGAAGATTGATGTGCGCAAAACGAAGCCTATTGCTAGGTGTGGGTATTTCGAGTATGCGGTTGTGCAGGATACGTTTGAGATGGTTATTCCTGGAGCAAAGGAGATTCTTTATGGGTTGGAGGGGAGTGCGAAGAGGAATGCCGAGATTCCGAGGTTGTAACCACGTGCAGAGTAGTAAGTACAGTATGTACCAGTGTGCATTCTATCATAAGCGTAACATAAATGTACATAGTCTACAAGTCCTTCTTTTTGACAACCTGAAGATCCTGATTGAAATTCCCCCACTTAGCGAATGACAGGTCTGAGATATAGTTATCCCTCGGTCTCCATGGCCCCCGATCAGCTGCCTTGGGCAGGTCCTTCTCAGCAACGGTGACATACGTCGAGTTGAGATTCAACAACCGTCTATTTTCCAAGTGCGCATTTTCAGCCAGGCGCGGCGTCGCAGAGACAACACCGTTATCTTCCATCCACCGCATCAACCGGATGATAAAGTGCGCTGTCGCATCAGCACCGAGTGTCCACGATGCATTCGTGTACCCGATCACAAACGAGGTATTCGGAACATCCTGCAGCATCACGCCGTTCCAGAGGTACTTATCGCCAAGATGGACCGGTTCGCCGTCGACAGTGATGGATGCACCGCCGGCGATCTGCAGTCGCAGACCGGTAGCCGTGATTAGAATATCAAGATTTTCGAGACTATCGCCCGAGGCAAACTTCATCCCGTTCTCCGTGACATGGTCGATCGTATCCGTTTTGATATCTGCGCGGCCCTTGCGTAGCGCTTTGTAGAAGTCTCCGTCCGGTGACACGCACAAGCGCTGGTCCCACGGGTTATACCGCGGGTTGAAGTGCGGGTTCCATGGGATGTGCGCAGGAAGCTGGCTCTTGGTACGCATGCTCATGATGAGCCGTGCTAGCCATGGGAAGGACTGGCAGAACAGGAAGAAAATGCGGGACGTCCAGATCCATGAGATCCGCTGCATTTTACGCGACCATGACGAGGGCAGAATGTATGACCAGATGGACGTGTTACGATTTGGGAGGGAGAGGATGTATGTCGGAGAGCGCTGGACCATGGTGCAGAGGCGGGCTTTTTCGGCCAGATTGGGTAACAAAGTAACTGCCGTCGCGCCGGAGCCGACAATCGCAATGTTTTTATCGGTATAGTCCAGGTCTTCGGGCCAGAATTGAGGGTGGATGAGCTGGCCGCGGAAGTTGTCGAGACCCGGGATGGGCGAGTGCAGAGGTTGGTTGTAGTCATAGTAGCCTGTGCCCCAGACGATAAACCGCGCGTTCATGGTCTTGGTCTTGCCATCGTGCTCAACTGTCAGCGACCAGAGGTTTTCCTCGGAGGACCAGTCTGCGGCGAGGACTTTGTGTTGGAAGTGGATGTGCGGCGAAATCTTATATTCGTCTGCGGTGTCGCGCAGGTATTTTGCTATCGATTCGCCGGTGGCGATCGGGTTATCCTGATGCCACGGATGCCATGCGAACCCGAATGTAAACAAATCCGAGTCGGAGCGGATACCGGGGTAGCGAAAAAGGTCCCACGTCCCACCGAGATTATCGCGGGCTTCAAGAATAGCGTAGGAATGGTTAGGAAAGGCAGATTGAACGCGATATGCGGCGTTAATGCCGGAGATACCAGCACCGATTATGACAACGTCAGTGGTCTGTGTGTCTGCCATGTTGAAGAACATTTGCCAATGTAGTGTTCTGGAAAGAGGGAGATGCAAGTAATATACTTGAAAGATGCTCGCAAGGATTGCAGAAAATAGCAAAGATTGGCCAATCAAAGGCCGTTTGTCGATCCACGGTTCATGGGCAGCCGAGTTTCCTAATGCGGTATTCACGATGCTATTCAATTTCGAGATTCATATTCAGATCAGATGAGAGATCTGGCCTCGGACTGTTAACTGTTCCTAGACCGAGGTTCATTCTTTGGGAAGTTTTTGCGATGCTCGCAAGCCCGTATGTATTTGTACTTGTAGTCTGATGTCCTTCCCCCCTTGATCTGTACAACTCAACAGGTTACACTGTGCGACAATGACACAAATCACCCTCCGGCAGAAACTGGACCTGATCCCAGCCATCGCTTCAATCTGGCTGACTATTATCTTCGCCGCACTAACCGGCTTATTCCAACGCCGAGCTAAAACGTGGTATTTGCATATATGTTATGCAGTCTTGCGAAAGGTCACCCGGCGACTATCGCCGTTGCAGATGCAGTGCGTCCCTACAAACTATGAATAAGTCTACTATATACAAAGTACGCAATATGTTAACTAGTGTAGATGGGTGTCCCCCTCGACAAGCACATTGTACAACAAGTACATGGCCAAAACTAAACAACCACCACGCACTGTCTCACTAGGATCCGGTGCCTACGGACACTGGATCGGATCCCCTGGTGCCTCGCATGTGCTTATCTGGTACCACGGCGGCGGATTCGCACTCCCAGCAAACAGAGGATACTTCAAATTTTTCGCGCGACTGCTGGCAGACGCGAATAAATCGCAGCCAAACTCACTGTCCGTGTTCTGTCTGAGTTATACGCTCGCTCCGCACGCGCAGTATCCAACCCAACTCCGCCAAGCAGTCGACTGTCTACGCCATGTGCTAGAAACCCACACTCCAGAGAAGGTGTTATTAGGTGGCGATTCCGCCGGTGGCAACCTGGTCGGCGGGGTGCTCTCGCATCTCGCGCACACCCACCCCGAAATCAAGCCCATCAACCTCTCCGGTGCTCAAATCAAGGGCGCCATAATGCTAAGCCCCTGGACATCGCTGGACAGCGAATTCCCCGACCAAGATATTGATTCTCGGGGTGACATTGTCACCGAGTATGTAGCGGGCCCCTGGGCAGGGGGGTACCTCGGTTCGGCGGCGCGAGATTATTACACGGATCTGTCGCGGGCACCGACGGAGTGGTATGCAAGTTTTCCGGTAGAGCGGATGCTTGTTTGTGCGGGGGGCACGGAGATTATGCTTCCGTTGTTGGAGGATTTGGTGGGTAAGATGAAGGCGGGGAGGAAGGTGGAATTTGTCGTTGGGGAAAGAGAATGCCATGTTGCGCCGGTTTATCATTTGTATGTTGGGGAGGGGACAGAGACGGAGCAGGGGAAGGAGGTCAAGGTGTTTTTGAGGGAGTGCATCGGGAAGGCACAGTAGCGCGTCGGTCATAGTAACATTTATGCTTGTGATTTAGTACATAGGAAATAATACCAGCACATATGACATATTCAGTACATAAGATGATATTCACATACAGAATCGGAATAATCATACAAATTCATACATAACAATACATAACTAAATCATTGCCCACTTTGTTCCCATTTGCGCAGCTTCCGCAGAATCCCCGATCCAATCCCCCGAGCAGTCTCCTGCATCCACGACGGAAACGCTCTAACCAGCGAATAGTAAGACAACCGCGAAGGTAGGATCACCTGGCCACTGCTCTGTGTCAGGATCTGCTTGACGACTGCCGCAGACACGGTCTGGGGTGTCAACACCGGCTGATTGAATTGGTCACCGGCGTCGGTAAGCTGCTTGATCATGGCTGTGCGCACCCAGAGGGGGTGAATCACGCTGCGTGTGTTAGAACCGTATTTTGAATGGAATGTCTTAAAGAATGGTACCCACCTGGTCCGAACCTTGGGTGCATGGTACCAGAATTTCAACTCCTGTCTCAGCCCTTCATGGAACGCCAACGCACTGCTCTTGGTACAACAGTAATCCACCATCTCACCCAATGCCATAAAACTAGCCATACTAGCAATCGTAATCACATGGCCGTGGTTCTTCTTGATCATGTCCGGAAGGAACTCTCGGACAGTCATGAAGTGCGAGACCGTGTTGACTTCGAAGGTCTGCCGGATCTTGTCCTCGGGTTCCTCGAGGATGGTCCCGTCATGGCCTACACCGGCGTTGTTGACGAGGACCGTGGGTTCTCCGTGTTCCTGACGGATTTTGTCTCCTACGGTCTTGAGGCTGGATGAATTTGTGATGTCGCAGATGTAGAAGGACACGTTTTTGGCTGTTCCGTTAGCTACTTATCCACTTATACCAGAGGCATGGACATACGCAGTTTGAATTCAGGCTCCTTGATATCCACAATAACCACTCTAGCACCCGCCTGTGATAGATCCTCCATGACCTGACGGCCAATACCGCCAGTACCTCCGGTGAGAAGAACCAGCTCCTTCTCACCCTGCCAAGAGTCTGAATTCCAGTTGTTCAGACTCCATCTGGACAGCGTGCGATTGGTATACCTCAGGAAACCCAGGGCCAGAATCGCGGCCAGGGAGTTCTGGGCTAATGGCGATTGAAGTACCTGCTGGACTTGGGGGTGGGCTGTGAGTTCTTTGAATTGATCCATTTCGGTCTTTGTTAATATAATCCGTACTTGTGGTTAATTTCCATATATCGCACCGGATGATAGATCACTTATAAGTCTCCGGGATAAGATATCCTCGGCTCACATGGAGTTGATATGGGTTGGAGTATGGCTGGATTTGAGTTATCATTACCCGATGGGGAAATAGTTGCGAATTGATGATCTTAATGATGGGGTTGCGAGCCGAATATTTGGAGCCTCCGGGTAAACATGCATTGATCTCCGTCGATATATTAGCTGCCTGGAGTATAATTGTCTACTGAATATCTATTGTACGGGGCAATTCTCAGTTTATGTACTTGTTGAATATTGCAAAATGCTCCATCTGACCGGCCTGGCCATCATCCAAGGTTACACTGTCCAACACTTCTTCCCCGAATACCACTTCCGCACGACCGTCTTGACCTCTCTCTGCCTTAATGTCCTCCTCTACGCCTTATACCGACTCTTAATCTATCCCTACTTCCTTAACCCCCTCCGCCATCTCCCCACGATCCCCGGTCGTCCACATGTAAAAATCATCTTCGACAACCCCCGCGGCCGCATCCCCCTCGAATGGATCCGAACAGTCCCCAACGAGGGCCTCATCCACTTCCGCAATGTCTTTTCGCAGTCCATGCTGCTCGTTACGAATCACCAGGCGTTGCTGGATGTCATGTCCTCGCGCACGTATGATTTCGAAAAGCCATGGCGTGCGCGCGACTTTCTCGCGCGGATCATAGGGTTCGGGCTCATTCTGAGCGAGGGACAGGCGCATCGCAAGCAGCGCCGGGCACTGACTCCGGCTTTCAATATTAAGAATATTCGCGCGTTATACGGATTGATGTGGGAGAAGACGGGCCTGCTCTTGGATGAAATGGAGTCGGAACTCCAGTGCAATCCGTTCGAGGAGGTGTCGAGCATGGGCAAGATCGAATTGAGTATCTGGGCCAGTCGACTTACGCTGGATATCATCGGCCCGGCTGCTATGGGACGCGACTTTCGGTCGCTGCATAATCCTGAGAATAAGGTGGCCGATAGCTTTAGTGCGATTCTGGAACCGACGCGTGAGAAGATGGCTTTCCTGGCGGTCAACTTTGTGTTGCCGCAATGGTTTGCCAAGCGGCTGCCATGGTCCTTGAACAAGGTTATTGACAACGAGACTGGATTCCTGCGCGATCTTTGCAATGAAATTGTCCAGGAGAAAAGAGCGGCTATCGTGGCCTCTGGAGCGACGGCCAAGGAACTGGAAGCTGATATCCTGGGAACGATGATGATGGGCGGTGATTTCACTGATGACGAGTTGGTCGATCAGATGTTGACTTTCCTCGCTGCTGGCGTACGTCCTACACCCTCTCCATCTTAAAAGACTAGGTACTAACAAGACCAGCACGAAACAACAGCCAGCGCCCTGACCTGGGGCTGCTACCTCCTCACCCTCCACCCTCAATACCAGGACCGCCTCCGCGCCGAGATCCGCGTCCGCATCCCCTCCGGCAACGCCCCGATAACCTGGTCCGACCTCGAATCCATGCCTTTATTGAATGGCATCTGCCAAGAAGTCCTGCGCCTCTACCCAACTGTCCCCGTCACAATCCGCGAATCCGTCCGCGACACCATCGTCGCCAACAAACCCGTTCCAAAGGGCACGAGACTCATCCTCTGCCCGTATGCTATAAACCGGAGTCCGGAGTTCTGGGGCCCCACGGGGGACGATTTCTTGCCAGAGAGATGGATAGATACGGATCCTGAGAGTGGGAAACAGACGCCGAATCAGCATGGTGGGGCGGGGACGAATTTCGCGCAGATTACGTTTTTGCATGGGCAGCGGAGTTGTATTGGGAAGGATTTTGCGAGGGCGGAGCTGCGGTGTGCTATGGCGGGTGTTGTTGGGCGGTTTAGGTTTAGGATGCAGGATCCAAAACAGGAGATTCATATTGCTGGGGCTGTGACTACGAAGCCCGTGGAGGGGATGCATTTGGCTATGGAGAGGGTTGATGAGTGGTAGTCATGATTTATGAATATGAATGTACATGAACTTTTGAAAATACAATCAATGCATATGTCCATCTTCCTCCTCGGCCTCATTCCACCCCTCAAACCCATCCTCCCAAATATCCATCATAGCATCTTCCTTGTCGTCCCTCGACCCATCACCCTCCATAACACCCTCCCATTGCTTCATTTCCTCATCATCCAACAAACACTGATCGAACACCTCCGTGACCTTCTCCGTGTCAATCCCCTCCCCAATCATCACAATCTCCTGCCGTCTGTCTCCCCATCGTCCATCAAAGTCATTCTCAATGGACTTGCGGACGTCAGGATCCTCGGGCCAATTGGCAGGATCTTCCTCGGCAAACCACTTCCCGCCGCAGGAAATGGTCAGGATAGCGCCGGCTTGTGACCACTCACCTGATTGGAAGGGGCGGGATGCGAGCCAAAAGAAGCCTTTAGATCGGAGGAGGGGGGAGAAGGCGGGGTGGGTGCGTTTGTTTTGGAGGGCTTCGTCGGGGTCGATTACCATTTCGTTTTCTTCATCAGAGGCTCCTTCTTCGTTTCTATCTTCGCCTTCGTCCATTTTGTCCTCACCATTGTCGTCCTCATCCTCATCTTCGTCCTCCTCTTCTTCATCTTCTTCTTCGCCATCGCCATGTTGGAGAAGGATGAACTTGTTATGCAGCAAGTCCCATAGTTTCCGAGGATTAAATGGCCGTCTTGCCGAGTACACAAAGTTGTTGATCCCGTATCTACAACAATTAGCATCAACTCATCCCAATCACAAACAAAGAAAAAAGAAAAGGGGGGGACATACTCAAGTGTCTCCGGCTTCGGTGCCATTCTCTCTCCATTCCCCGTCTTCTGCAAAGTCATCTCATGCAAGCTCCTCAACCACCCAGCTCCACTAGCAGCCTTCAGAAAATCAAACCGTCCCGTCTTGATGATCTCCCTTACATCGACCTTCGAGTACTTACTCTCCAGCACCTTGGCATTAGGATTCAGTAGTGTAAGAAGGTGTTTTATCCTAGCCAGACGGGGAGGATCAATCATATCCGTTTTGTTGATGATAAGAACATCTGCAAACTCAATCTGGTCGACAAGGAGGTCTGAGATTGTGCGCTCGTCTTCAGGGACGATGGCGTCGCCATAGCGGTCAGAGAGGAAGTCTGCAGTGTCGAGGTTGGCGTAGATGTTGAATGCATCGAGGACGGTTACTGTTGTGTCGAGGCGGGCCATTGTATGCAACCCATTCTTCTTCCTAATCCCCACCACCATCAGCACACATCCAAACCCATGTCAATCGAGACCAAGAGAAGGGGGACGTACACATCAACCAAAACTGCCTTATCCTCTTCACTCAACTCCCCCAACTCCTCCTGATCAAACACAGCCCCGAACTCTGTTGTAAATGTCTCAGCAACCTGCATCGGCTCGCTAATCCCCGTACTCTCGATAACAACATATTGCACGTCGTTCTTTTGGGCCAACCGGGCGAGTTCGGCTAACAGGTCGCCGCGCAATGTGCAGCAGATGCAACCGTTTTGGAGTTGGATGAGCTTCTCTTTGGTGCGGGTTACGTGGTGGTGGGTTATCAGGGTTGCGTCTATGTTCAAACTACCCCAGACTTTAGACTAAGTTGGTATGGAGTGTGAAGGGGTGGGGGAGGGCGTACCGAGACATGTCATTGACAATGACAGCAATTCGAAGACCATGGTCTGGTGATTTGAGAATATGTTCGAGGAGTGTTGTTTTGCCGCTTCCCTGTTTTCGTTAGCCCTGCTCACCATCCTCGTCATCATATCAGAATGCTCACCAAAAACCCCGAAAGAAGCGTAACAGGCAAAGCCCTCTTCTCCCCGCTCTCCTTGCCCACAACCTGATGCACAGGCTGCTGGACGGGGTACGAGAGGGTATCTGTACCGGAGTTTATGACCATTTTGCTTGCTTGTTTCGAGTTCTTGGGTTCTTGAGGGATGTTACAGGAATTGGTTCTTTTGCCACGGTTTCCTCGTTATATACCGTGCTATAGAGAGATACCTTGGGGACTTCCTCCAAGGTATGCTGTCCCCAGTTTATCCAGGGATATGTATGTTTTCTATGGGTTGTTTATAGACTAGGGTTATCGTGCTTAGAATTTCAGAGATGTGATTGGTGAATCCAGTCTCCAAGGTACTACAGCAGGGTCCTCGCTGTCGACCCTGGTGTGCGAGGGCGAATCAGGGCGAAGCAATTATATGCTTGACTTCGTAATCAATTATACTCTGTACATTGTCATACTAATCTTAATGTGCCGTTGCTTACTCCGCGTGCCGTGGTGGTATCCACTCCGTGAAGTGCGTGCAGTTACAGCCTCTTCCCGGCCAACACCAGCGCGGTGATACAGGCCGAATTGCCCGACCACCACAGCAGCGACCGGAGGAAACTCAATGTCTCAGACTCGATGAAGACATAGGCGAGACCGTATGCGACGCGGGATAGTGTGTACCAGGCGCCGATGGTGTTGATTGTTTCGCTGGGAACGCCAGCCTGGACGGCCAGGAGGACTGTATGTTTTTTCAGCACTCGTTTAGAATGCTTGTTAGAGGGAAAGAACATACCGCCAGCGACGAAAAAGGGGAAACCCTCAACAGCGTTGGCATGCGCGGCCTCCTGTCTCTTCAACCGGTTCAGCGTCGTCCGGCTCAATTTACCAGCCTTCACGGCGGCCTCGCCGTATTTGCTCAGATCCTCACGGGGCGACACATTATGGTCGAGTCCGTGACGGATTTTGCCGCCGCGAGTGCTCATAAGACCGTAGGCGAGGACGAAGTTGGCGACGAGGTAGCCCGCCGCGTGGTTGGGGGGCTGTTGGCCGGATGCGGCGCGGAGGCCGAGGGTGCTCAGAATGGTCCTGTGCTGTTAGAATTGCCATCGTGACTTCTGATTATGATGTACTTACGACATGTTGTGCAATTGGGGGTGGTTGTGAATTCGGGTTTCATACAAGAGGTATTGATGAGGGGGATCGACTGTTTATACCCCGTACCTCGGTGATCGGCATTAATAACAAACCTGCTTTCAGTTGAACAATTCAAATCAATTCCCGGAAAATAGTCCATTCCATTCCGGGCCATCGGGCAAATTAAACAGCGTCCCAAAATCAAGTGCCTGCAGCGTCAGCATACTGAATACTCCATTGGGACACCTCGGGGTACATACTGAAAGATCGCTGAAATCCACCGGAAACACGTGAACCGGGTCGAATACAGATGGTGTCTGGAAATTAGCAACTTTGCTCCTGGGGAAGCAAGGTAAGCGTACCTTATCGCGGTCCTCTACAAAGTTCATCATCGCCTTACAAGCCGAGAGCACCTCTTCCGATGCCCGTCCAATCGCAGCATGCACATCTTCTCCATTCGATTTTGCCTTGACCGATGCAAACACCAAACAGAGGAAAATATACGCCTTGCCTCCTTTACCGTTAGGATAGACTCGCGATTGTAAGGCGTGGATCATCCGTTCAACGGCCTGCATCATCACGGCTTGCTGCGACCGCACGAGATCTGTTAATTGGCTACCGGACGCCTCCTCCATTTGCAGCTGTAATTCCGCGCAGAGAGTAATAGCCGCGTAGAAGAATTCATGTCGAAACATGCTGGGTGCCAGGTCCCTCATATGCGCATGAGGTGTACTCTCTTCAAGCATCGAGAGAATGTGCAGCGATGACTCGAGGCAGATTTTCCGGGAATACGTGTATTTCGGGGACTGCAGGACTGAAAAGTAAAACGGTCGATGTAGGATGAGAAGGTATCTCCGCATTGTAAATGAATAAAGCGACTTGGCAAATGTCATCCCACTGCCGTGTTCGAATGCAGCCAGCCCCTCCTCCATGTGTCGGATCAACACATCGCTCATGCGCAACGCTTCGTCGTATGTTAGTGTGATCTTCAAACTGTTCACCGTCTCCATAACCTTGGTCCGCACCGGCAGCGACCGAGACAGCACGGCTTGAAAGTATCCATCAGAGACACCGGCCTTCGGTGCAGGATCCTCCGCCATGTCCTCCTCGAGGTCAGAGTCATCTAAGTTCGACGGCGCATCGCAATCGCATTCTTCCAAGTCGATAGACGGCCGCATGCCACCGTCCGCCGATGATTGTAGATCCAGTTCCAAAACAGTAGCCCACAGACGACGACGCATCTCAGCCCAGAATTTAGAATTCCGAAAGCGTTGCGGATTCCGATGTAATCCCATTGTCAGCGCAGACCTTGTTAATGATCCGGATGCAATCCAGGTGATATCCCCGTCCGTCGCATCTATCTGTCGCGCAAGCATCAAGAGGCATTGGATCTGGAGGAGGTCGTAATTGATATTGGCACCAACAAACACAGATGTCACCCAAGACTGAACAGCCATAATCCATCGGCCCGTAATCTGGTGCATAGATTCTCTTCCTGTCGGTTTGGCTTCCGGAGGGTAAAAGCTGCTGCCAACGGCCATCACAGCCAGCAGTTTGGCTAGGAATACCGTGTCTGCATTCATGGGATCCATCCAATACGTCTCATACTGCCGCATAAATGCCTGGTAGTGCAAGATGCGATGCGTAGTTTCGAACGTGGACAAGTACAAGTGCACCAGCTGGTCTGCAAACGGCCGAGCAGGAACCATCTCCTCTAGGCGGAACGCATGGTCGCGATACGTACGCTGGTGATTCTGTCGCTCCCGCGACCACATTTGGTGCTTGAGTTTGTCCATATCACCTCTCTGCTCGGGGTTTTTATTCTTGGACTCACGGCGTAAGAAACCCCCAACATGTGGGAACTATCCAATCAGCTCGGTCCGTAGCAAAAAAAAAGGGAGATATACCAAAGACATGAACAACGCATAATTCGACCGACCAACATATCTCGTCCCGCCATTCGACCCCCGAAAACACTGATCCGGCAACGACTCAACCACCTCAGCAACACCATCCGCCCGTCCGGCGTCCGACAGATCACCCAGCGTCTCAGGCGTATTAATAGGCGCGCCCTGTCTGTAAATCGCATGTTCCAATGCTTTCACTCTCCCGCGCAGCTCCTGCATTTCATCCTGCCTCGAAGCTGGCTTAGTGACTCGATTCCGCGAATCAAACACATGCATCCCACTGGAAAGCGACGCGTTATTGCCAGCGCTGCTAGTGGTTGCCACAGGCGGAGTACTTTCTAACCGCTCCCCACACGCATCTACATCTCTCCATTGACTCATGTGCGCAGCGTACGAGCACTGGTCTGGCATTTTGGACTTGACGCATTGCGCGCACGGCATAGACCTGTCGCATTTGAGCTTGCGGCGTCTGCAGATTGTGCAGGAGAGGGGTGGTCTGCGGCGACGAGGGGGTTCCATTGCAGATTTCCCGGATATGACGTGAATATCTTCCTGTTGTGGTTGTCTGAAGAGGAAGAATAAGATATGGCTGGAGGTGAGAGACGCGAGTCGGAATTACCGGATGCAGAAGACCCGGAGATACCGTTTCTTTTTTGGTAATTATCTCCGTTATCTGGTAGATCTAATCTACCACGCTTTTGTTGCACCGTCTTATGTACTCTACACTCCAGCATAGATGTCTATCGACTCCCACTAGGCCATGTCACTGTTTCTTGAACAAATCCAAGTCCTCCCGATTCCGCATTTTATCAATAGGCGCCACAAAGTCCTCATCTCCCCGTGCCACCAGCCGTTCGAACTCGGACATGTTCTTCTCGAGCCACGAGGAATCTTGTCCGGCCTAGGTAAATCAGCAAGTGATCCATCCTATTCTTGTGAAGAATGAGAGGATACTCACCGAAGGCAAAACGGAACCCGCTTTCGATACCAGTCGTGATGGCCCCCATGACCAAGACTCTCAACACTCTATACGTGTCCTCGAATGCATTGATGATCCGGTTCCAAGCCGCTAGCACCTGCTGCGCGAGATCGTCAAAATCCTCTTTAGATCGATTTTCGCCCGCGCGGACGTATGCTCGGATGCAATTAAGGGAGCACTGTCATTTAGCATGGATATATATCAAGACTAAATCCGTCTTGGACATATTTTCTTTCCACCCACATAATCGCAGTGGTCACTTGATTCCGTAAACCGGACGTACACGAAGAAACTCGGGGTCTTGAACTTGCGGGTGTGGATGTGCGTGATAGCATTCGCCAGTTCTTCTCGCTGGGTCTTGTCCAGCGGGATGCAATGTTCGACTTGATAGAATGGCATGTTGTACGTTGACACGAAGGACCTGGGGCGAAGCGGTCATGGTGATATCGCTGCTGATATAGAGGAGGGTATAGAGGAATCATCAATGGATATCAGGGAGATCTCCGACTTCCCCGCGGCCCGCGACTCCATACCCAATTGAGCAACAAATGAAATCAACCACTGCCTAAGACCTTGTGCTTGCTTCTTCATGATACCAATTTGCTCCTTCTGTGCCTCCAGATCCTTGTTCTTGCTCTGCAACTGTTCACCAGGACGCTTCTCAATTCTCTGTCGTCCTTCATATTTTCTGTCAGAACCGACACGTTGTCTCGCTCTCATTCGAGAGAAAAGTGGATGATTTGTCAATATATTGAATGTTGTGTGCTGCTTTTGCAAAAGATTATGCCTATGGTGGTGCAAGATTGGGATGAAATCCTGGCATTTTCACCAAATGCAAACGTTTATAACTAATATAAATCGTCCAATGACCTCTCACGTACGCCCTTGCTAACAATGCGAATCACACTTTTCAAAGCCGGAAAGTTGTCAGCATTATACGGCAGTCTTCTTTTTTCTCCTCAGAAATTTTCCGAGCCTCCTAGCTGTATGTATGATGTGCACCACCTCACCTTCCTCCTTGGCTACTTTCAGTCCCTTCCTTTTCCACGCTTTCCGCCTGGGAGTGTTATGAGTCTTCTTGAGGTGTGCTCGATTGCTGTGTAATTGGCAAAGTGAGAGGGACAGGGCGCTGCGCCTGCTTGCGCTTCGAAGGCGTTCTTTGCGGTGGCACGAGGGATACACTCATGTTTGGAGAGTAGCCCTGGGCGTAGAGAGTGCTCTGATCACGGGGGAGGCTGGCCAGGGAGGCAGCAAGAACTGGCCTTCCTGGGAGCCATGGCGTTAGTGTTATCGTGGGTAGATGCTATTGGTCATTGCTACACAGGCCTTGAATATGAACATAAAGCACCAGAAGGAAATGTAGGATATCAATCTCTGCTAGTATTCCAATGGCGAGTCTTGAATGCTTGCTTGGCTTCGAGGCCAGTTCAGCAAAAGTCGATTTTTGAAGAATATAACCATATCACCGGAGTTGCTTAGCAGGTAAACAATGGAGACTATTTATCTTGACCAAGTTGAAGAAGCTCTTTGCCGGCAACGAAGTCCATTCTGAGGTCTCAAGAATGATATGCAGTCACGTTTCATGAAAGGCAACATCCACTTTACTTGGTTGGACGAGTAGTGAACTCTATGGGTTCTCAGCAGGGTGGTTTATCTAGGGTAATTCGTTATGCTACGATGTGCCCATTTCAAACAGACATCTTGCGAGTATACCGTATGTGATGACGACCATTGTACCCTTAGGCACACCCAAATAAAATCTTTCAGCAACAATTAAATCTAATCTAACCGGGGGAAAAAAAGAAAAGCCCATCTATCCCTCCATAGGGCAAACCATTATTTACTAATACTCAGGGGATAACGTAATCTATCACCGAGAGGCGCATATCACCGAAAGGCGCGGTCGGCGGCGGTTTCCACTGAAGATTACACCCATATTTTCAAACCTACTTTTCACCAAATTATCCATCATGAATGAGCTTTCTAAAGAAGAGCGGATGAAATTAGCTATTGATGCTTTTAATCAAGGCCAGTTTCAATCTAAGACTGCCTGTGCACAAGCATTTGATGTGCCATCAAGAACCTTAATGAAACGCCTGAATGGAGTCCGCTCCCGCAATGAATCCACTGCAAATGGCCGGAAATTATCAGAACTTGAAGAAGATACACTATCTAGATGGATTCTAGATATGTATGAGCGTGGCCTACCTCTCCAAATATCAAATGTCCATCATCTTGCCCAATTACTCCTATCCGCACGTCTAAAATCGTCCGAGAAAGCGACCATTGGTGAGCTATGGGTTAACCGGTATATTAAACGCCGTCCTGAGCTCAAATCTAAATATACCCGCCGATATGACTACCAACGTGCCAAAGGCGAGGATCCTGAGTTGATAAACGGCTGGTTTGATCGCGTTCGAGAGACCATCGAAAGATATGGCATTCTGGAGCAGGATATATACAATATGGATGAATCTGGCTTTCAAATGGGAGTAACATCAACTGCAAAGGTCATCTGTGGCTCAGAGACTAGAGATAGCCATGTCAAATCTATCCAGCCTGGAAATCGCGAGTGGACTACTATAATAATCACCATAAATGCCTCCGGATCTGCTCTACCTCCGCAGATTATCCTGGCCGGGAAAAGGCATCAATCTCAGTGGTATTCAGCTATTCCAAAGGAATACAGAATTAGCATGAGTGATAATGGCTGGACAAATGATAATTTGGGATTTGAATGGCTTCAGGAGATGTTTGAGAAGCATACTGCCTCTCAGACTGCTGGCAGATATCGCCTTTTGATTCTTGATGGCCATAGCAGCCATGCAACTGCAAGTTTCGATCATTTCTGCACTGAGAGGAAGATTATTCCATTATATATGCCTCCTCATTCATCTCATCTACTTCAACCACTTGATATAAGTTGCTTTGGGCCGCTCAAGCACTACTATGGCCAGAAAATCAGAGAGATAGCGCAAAATGGCATCCATGCCATTGATAAAATGGATTTCCTATCTAACTACACCAAAATCCATGCTCATGCATTCTCAAAGGCCAACATACTAAGTGGATTTGCGGCTGCTGGTCTTATTCCTTTTAAACCGGAGAAAGTGCTTGCAAAACTCCATATCAAGCTGAAGACACCAACTCCACCTTCTTCCTCATCCAGCAATCAATCCTTTTATTTAGGAAGGACACCGGCCAATCTTTATCAGTTGAATCAGCAGAAAAAGCAGATTCAAGACCTTCAAAATCAGTCTCTATCTTCAGTTGTCGCGGACCAGATGCTTGAAAAATTCATGAAGAGCACAGAAGTTGCAATGCAGGATGCTGTTCTATTAAAACAAGAACTCCATCAGCTTCGCACTTCAAATAAGCATCAGCAAGAGAAGAAGATGACACGAGCCTTTATTCAAGATGGAGGGAGCTTAACTGGTGATGAGGGACTGCAAAGATTGAGAGAAAGAGAGGTGCAAGAAGAGCCATCATCAAGATCACGGCGGCCTGCACGGTGCAGCAATTGCAACCAAGAGGGCCATAATAGATTAAAATGCCCTCTTAGATAGCAATAGATTTAATAGATTCGGCATGCTTTATAACATGGAGAGGATACTACGTAGATGTACGAAGTAATTAGTATGCGCCGCCGCCGACCGCGCCTCTCGGTGATATGCGCCTCTCGGTGATAGATTACGTTATCACAGCGAATTATGTAATCGAGAAAAAGAGAAGGCCCATATTAAATCGTATCCCATCAGAAAACCGAAATAATCAAACGCCATACATTAACCACGTTTCCAGAAAGGTTTGATCTTCATGACAGACCGCAGGTAAACAAGTAAGTAAACCATCATGTAATTTGTAACGACGAAAGCCATGAAGATGCCGAAGTAGGGCCATATTTTTGATTGGCCTAGTTCGATCGTAGACAAGTACTACACTCATTAGTATTTTTTATTCTGGTTGACTATAAAGAGGCACTCACATCATCACCGTAACTGTATTCACAATACCCACAGAGCCCATACTCATCTGGGTTAGATAGATATCCCCTCCCCTTCTCCGACAGCCATGACCCGGCGTATTCTGCGCAGGTCATGTTTGCCGGAGACTGGAAGACGGCCAGTTCGTCTTGCGTGCAGGTAACTGGTGTTCCCTTGAGGATAGCGGAGAGGACACCTCCGATCCAGTAGGTGAAGGGCGTCATGTAGTACATTGTGTACTTCCAGAATGTGGGCATCTGCGCATGCGGTTGGAGGATACCGTTGAAGAGCTCGCAGACGCAGATGAAGAAGGGCATAAAAGTCGCGGCAACCACAGAGTTTGGACTGTCATCGTCAGTATGGTCACCATATAGTAGCACTCTGATGAACTCACCTCAATGCACCAATCCACTGTCCCCACGATGTACAGAAGACAATGAATAAAAAGATCATTAAAAATGTGTAACCCGCAGGGAAGCCCAAAGGAAGTCCCACGAGGAAATAGTAAAGAACGTAAAATATAACCGAACCAGCAACCGCATATGGAATCTCAGACAGAACCTGCGCGGTGCTAAAGGCGACCCATCCATATATTCCGCTTGGACGTTCACGAGCATTCCACAGATCACGATTCATAATGAACCGCATAGAAATACCGTTGATAAAATCCGGAACCAGGATAATGATGAGAAAGCACGAATACGCTTTTGATTGCATATCCGTCGTGCTGTTGCCGATCTGCAGATAGGTAAGACCGTTGATCAATGCATGGACGAAGCAGGCGAACAGCCGAGAGTAAGGATATCCCGGACTCCGCCAGAATTGTCGAGAGGTACGCTGAGTCAATAGGAATATCTGCTCTGAGACGGGTGCAGGAGCGATTTCGCCTTGAGAAGTAGCCGGAAGTTCCTTTTCATGCTTGCTACGCATCTCTGCAATTTCCTTCTTGACCTCCTCGGCCTCCGGGGATTGCTCCCAGATGCTGGACCAGTCAATGCCCTTGCCACTATCCTTCATGCCACTCGCAACAACATCAACCAGGTAATCAGCTGCATTGGTGACGTGCGTCGGCTTCTGATCGTACCGGGTGAAGTAGTTGAAAATCGCACGACCAGATTCGCCAACTTCACCAAAGTAGTGCGTACGTCCACCGGGACTGAGAGCCATTACGCGATCAAACTGCGTATGTTAGCGATAATCATCAAAAAGCCACTAGTGAAGATCCTACCTGCTCAAACTGCTCCTGATTCGCCTGGTGAATAGTACACAAGATAGCCAAACCCTGATCCGCCAGACGTCTCATCAAGTCCACGATAGTGGAAGCACCCTGACTATCCAGGCCACTCGTCGGTTCATCCAAGAAGAGCAACAACTTGGGCTTCGCACAAAGTTCCACTCCAATGGTGACACGCTTCTTCTTTTCAATGTCGAGAGATCCGACCAAAGCATTCTGCAAATCCACCAGATCGAGCGTTTCCAGCACCGAATCTATGTAGGACAGCTTTTCCTCCTTGGACACATCACGTCCTTGGCGTAGGAGGGCGGAAAATTCGAACGCTTCACGGATCGTGCTCGTGTCATCGTGGATGTCCATTTGTTGGCAGTAACCAGTTTGTCGGTTAAACGAGCTATCCACGGGACGTCCGTCGACAAACATGGTACCATTAAGACAACCTGAGTTTTGTCTCTGAGTCAGAGCAGTCAATACTAGACAATGTCAGCAGGATGATAACAGTTGAAACTGAGGCCACATACGAGTCGACTTTCCAGCACCTGAAGTCCCAACCAAAGCTGTCATCGTACCTGGCTTGCAATAACCACTCACGCCACTCAATAGCTTTCTCGTCTCTTTTCCAACCTGTACGTGGAGTTCCAGGTTGTCCCAAGTAAACGAGGACTTGCTACCACTGAGAGGCCCAACGAGTTTATCATTAACAGAACCGGGATAGGCGGGCGGATTAACATCATCTCCGACTGGAGCATTCTCCTCATCGCGAGCGTTATCGCCTTTCCTTAGCTGCTTTTGAGACTTCTTGTACTGGATTGGGCCTGCGCTTTCTGGTTGCCATTTCATGACTTCGCTGAGCCAGCATGTAATGAGCGTGTAAGCAACCAGGAAGAGACACAGGATACCAAAATTGCGCCAGAGATGGCTGCTGTGGAAGCCATATCGGGTGGACAGATAGTCATCTCCATTGATCAGGGTAGTACCCACCCGGTTCGCCTGGTATGCGCACGTTTGATAAGCGACGTCCGTGTATCCAGGACCAGAGGGGACCACTGATTCTGGAGAACAACTGAAGTTTGAGTTGCTGAACTCAGCAATCATCACCGATTCATAGGTGAAGAGAGTCGGCGTTGTGAACTGTCCTGCGTTAGCCTATATGGCTTAACATGTTGGGAGGCTCAACATACCGCTATCCACCCAACCCATGGCACATCCGAAATCAACTTGTCCACCGGTAAAAGATAACCACTAAACACGACGGAAAAAAGCACCGACACACCACAATAACGCAACGCCACCGCATAGTCTTTCGACAGCGAGGCAAAGACTCGGAATTGACCGGTCTGAGCTACCGTAGACAAGTAGATGAACAAGAAATCAATAAAGAATGGGCCAGCCTGTTGTTCCACCGGGGTGAACGGTCAGCGAGTGTTCCCTCTTTCGAGAGATAACGATGAAATCCAACTAAACAAGTCCGAGCGAGTCTCACATTTGTTTTTAAACCCGCCAGGAAGTAAACCACAATCATATAAAAAGCGGTAATCAAAAGCGATACGACAACATCCGAAACCACACGAGCAAGGCAGACTGCACTAGGGCGAACAAAAGCGAATTTCTTTTGTCGACTGATGACGTCGCGACCCTGCATGGCATCCTCCAGCTCGGACATTTGCAACCAGGCTAGCAAGATCGAGGAGTAAAACAGCATACCACCACGCGAGTACATGCCGTCGGTGGTCTGCGGCTGATTGTAGAACATTGAACCAATCAACAAGCCATAAACGATAGCAGAAATAAGCTTGATGTACAGTGGTTGTGGGTTTCCCTTAAGCTGCCAGAATTGGCGCTTGGTACACAGAGCCACCTGACGGAAGAGAGAAATCGTGTAAGACGACGTGGCGGGCACGAACCGCGACTTGTCGGTCTGAACCAGAGTCTTGAAATCATCCAGGCTTCCGCAGTCCGAATTGTTCAGGGTTATCTGGGAATCCTTGCGCGCGAAACGCTGAGCTTCATAGGATTGAATATCCTGCTGGATTTTCGCAAATGCCTGACTCTTTTGAAATGCTTCCTCGAGCTCAACAGGCCCCTTGGGGGCACGATGCTCCCAGCCCGGCCGGAAACGGCGTCGTTCGGGAACTGTGATACTGGTGAGGAAGTCGGAGGTCGTTTGCATGTCGCCACATTGGTATCCAAGCTCTTCAAAGTAACGCTTGGCATCTTGCGCTGGGCCCTGGAATAACATGCGACCTTCATCGACCAGAAGCACCTTGTCGACAAGTTCATAAATGGCATCGGAAGCTTGGTATAGCGTCAAGAGGGTGGCTTTCCCGGCAGTGTCGGTCATAATTCGCAGACTGCGCGCATAGTCCAGGGCAGACGAGGCATCCAGACCTCTGGTGGAATTGTCCCAACACGTCACGCTCGAGTCCGTAGCAAGCGACTCGATGATAGAAATACGTTTCCGTTCTCCACCGGACACACCACGGATGTACTCATCGCCAACTAGGGTGTCCATTGTGTGTGACATACCAAACACGCGGCCGTAAATGTCAAGACAACGCGGAATTCGATCGCGGTATCTCTTGGGAGTCTTGCACTGCAGCGCAAACTCCAAGGTCTGCCGCACGTTCATGGTAGGAAAGTGGACATCATCTTCGGGGACGTAAGCTACCTGGCCACGAAAATGTTTCTTCAACTCTTCAGAGCTGAGGCCAGAGTAGTCGATGGACCCGGTGACACCTAGGTACGAGGAATGGTGCCCGGCGATTGTGCGCAAAAAGGTCGAGCAACCTGCGCCTGGGCGTCCCAGGACACTGATCCATCAGTATCCTTCTACCAATAGGAAGTGTCTTAGAGCAAAGACAAAACTCACAGCATCATCTCACCACTGCGCACCACCCCCGAAAAATCACGAATCAAAGCTCGTCCATGTTCAGGCTCCTTGTCACCAACCCACGGCTTGATAGTCCACTCATAAATATCCTGTAAAGTCAAAGTCCTCCAGAACGCCGTTGCCAAGGTCTTGACATTAACCTGCGACTCCCCACCACCCCATGTCGTCAGCGACTTAAAGCTAACGCCTAGATTAGACCTCTTCTTCCCCGCCTGCACTTCCCCCTCCAGGAACTTGTCAAACGACGAGTGCGGCTCAGGATATACCGGTCTTGACTCCTGCGTATCCTGCTCAGTCAACTGATTGTGAATATCCGCGATGGCTTCCCCATCCCCAATAGACAAATGGACCCGGGGAGGCGGCGAGGGCGGAGGTGAAAGAACGTCATCATCACTCTGGCCGTCCTGCGGCGAGGCATAAGGATTGTCCTGTAGATAGGGCGATAAATGGGCTGGCATAGTGCACAACCGGACGTAGCTACTTGGCAAAGAGACGATAGAAACAAAACATGCCTTTGGAGAGAGAAGAGAGATGGCGACGGAAAGGGCTTTTATTATGGCCGCCACCGTTTCCCTGTGTTTGTCTTGTTTACCGGGACTGGGACCGCGACTGGGACCATGGAGGAGTGTGAAGTGTGACTGCCATGTCGACGTAGGATTGGCCACCAGTCATGTAGATCCAGTCCACGGGAGTTAATCTGGACAAACAGAGGCGTTCTGGACTTTTCCCTTTTCCTTTTTCTTCCATTTTTCATCCAGCTTGAGTGGACGAGTAAACAGCCATGCGTCAGCCCGTGGCTGGAATCCGGAGATTCAACAATGCAGGTGAGCTTCCGGAAAGGGAAGGCCATCTGAGAACGACCATTAGGGTGGCTGACTCAGCGAGTCTGGACCAATGCGGGATCTCGGATCATCTGCCGATCCGGATCTGTATTTAGAACGACGAACGAACTTGGGAGTACGTACACGTAAGTAATGCCGCATATGGTATGTGAGCTATCTTAATCATGAATAGGGGTGTCTGGATTTCTTTTTTCTTTTCTCTATAATATTATTATTATTTTGTACGTGGTACGACTCCGCGTTCTGAACGGAGTGCATATAAAACCGCACATTTGGCCCTTACCACACCCCCTACCGCCCTTTCCGCAGATCGTCCGCGGATCCCGGTTCCTGAAGATACGCAATTATATGTCAGCTCTTCGTGGCATCATCTTGATATGATATAATTACATACTACCACCGTTACACCACTTAGTCGTGACATAATCCTCAATTCTCACTAGATAACAACCCAGTATTCCCGGTGCAAGCGCCAAAAAAAAAAAAAGAAAAACCGGTTGCGTGGCCACCATTCCATTAGCCAACGCCAACAGCCACGGAGCCCTGCTTAAACCATATATAACCAGGTATATGGGGAAATCCCGAGAAATGGCTCAGACGCAGGAGCAATTGCATCATGCTGTCACACACTGATTGGCTCTGGACTTTGATTCTCGGAACTAAGCTATATCAAATAGGCAAAAATATCCAGTTCTTCCATCCGGCTTCCACCGCTTCTTCTGCTACTTTTGGCTTCTGCCGAGCATTGCTGTTTCGGGGTATCCGGGGGAGTGCACGGAGCGCTTTTGTGGAGTGGGTGAAGGATACGGGGTCATGAGTACGGGTGGTTTCTCATATTCGTCGGTACAGCTGGATTAGATGCGGACGGACTCCGTAGCACCGTAGCACGGTATCACTCATATAAGTGTGTTTAGATATGCGACACGCGGCACTATTGCCAATTTTCGGTTCTTTTGTTGATTTTGATTTTGATTTTGTTTCATTGTCGTACGTGTTCTGTGCCCTGGCCCTGGCCGGTGTGTATTCGTATACTTTGTATATGTACATACCCAGGCGCCCTTTGTGGGTACCCGACGACCAGTCAATGAGGAGTCAAATGTCTAATATGCTTGTTTTCCAATAAAGCAAGGCTTGTGTCAGGTATGGAAGGTCTCGGATCATTCTGTACGTTGAGATAAGCAATATGCTGTGCCAGAAAATACCTCAAAAGGGATACGTGCATACATGGGACCTGTCCCTTGCAGTTGGCTGAAATGCACATGGCAAACTTGGGGTTTTATTATTGCACACGTCATAGATCAGCGTGGATTGCTTCAATAATTGTGAATACATACATGCCTATTTCCAAACGACGCATCGATACATATGCAGATATCCTACGAGGAACCTTCCGCCTCATCGCTCAATCTTCCGAAGAGCTACTCTCGTCCGCGCTCAGCTGCTCCGATATGCACTTATTGTAGTATTTACATCTCGCGAGAAAGTGGAAGTTACCCTCGCGGGCAGTCCTGTGCAATTCCAGAGCCCGTTCTTTAAATTCCGCCACCACACTCTCGTTACTGTAGAATTCCTCTTCTGTAATATCATGCCACAGCGGGACCATTCCCAGCATCTCGCAGCATGGAAGTTGCCACGTTGATATGGTGACGGAATTCAGGTGATGGAGATGCGTTATACTTTCTTTGACAAGAAACCGCACTAGTTCAAGTACAGACCACATGCAATGCGAGACCTGCAGTACCTTCAATGACTCAGGGAGCTTGGGTGCGTCGGATAAAGACCTCTGGTCAATTTGTAGATGTGTGAGGCTTGTGAAAGAGGTGATTGGATCGAGCGCAGCTTGGGGATCCCAGTCTCTACCATCCAACCCGTTGAGTTCGTCAAACTCGAGATATAGACCGTTGAGGTTGTCCTTCTGACAGAGCAAAGCCTTGCCGAATTCCGCAGCGATCACTGGGGTGGGGTCTATATATTGAGCAATCTGGAGGTCGGCCCCGTATGTGAGAGTCTTGAGAGACTTGCACCCCTTTATTATACTAGACATTGCCTCCTTATCTAGGCAGCTGTGTATCAGACTGATGGATGATGCATTGATTGATTTCGGATATAGGTCCGAGATATCCGTATAATTTCCCAAGCAATAATCCATCTTGAAACTTTGCAGGTGGGGGAGACACAATAAAGGCAGGATTTTTTTGAAACGAATATTCACCCTATACACACTCCGATATGTATGAATAAGCTCAAGATCGATTGACGTGAGATTGGAGAGATATGATCCAGCCATCTCTGAATCAAACTTTCCCACAAAATCGATTAAGCTCTCTTCCCTAAAGGATATGCTGAGTGCCTCAAGTCTGTTCAGTTTGCCGAACAACATCTTCAGAAGAACATTTATATCTCCATATAATAGGTTCTTTCGGTACCTTGCCTTTACATCGTCTCCGATACCCAGCTTCAAAATTCCAATTTGCAGCATTCCAAGAGTTTCGGCCGACAAAGTATTGCGTGCGAGTTGAGGTGCATTCCAGGATCTAACAGAGAGCTCATGAACAGCATTCTGTAGATCGTGTCGCAAGATTACCGTCCGAGTAAAGAGAGCCAAGGCCGCAAAATCGTTGGTGTCAGGATCAGATGAACCCGTCTCAATACCCACATCAAATTTGCTGAAAAGCAGCCGCTGGGCGAGTTCTCTGAATGCGTGCGATACATAGCAGAGAGATAAAAGGTCGTGCCTGTCGCTAACTGGATCAAGTTTTCGGAGAACCTCGAGGACGATTTCAGGAGGTAGATTTTGAAGCATTGTGCTTTGGTGCAAAAGAGCGAAAGCTGGATGATGGCCCTAAAAGAAGGTGAGAGAATGAAAGGAAAAAAAGGAGCGTCCGATGGTGCCCTATGTGCCTTTATCGTGATTCTTATCAGGAACCGCTATCGTGGGTAGTCGTTGGGGTCCAGAGTCTACACAGCTCTTGCATACATACAATGTTTGACTCTCAACGTGAAGTTTCAAGAAAGGAAGTCACTATATATAATAAAAAATATAAATCTCAGTTGGAAAGGTCATAAGCAGAAAATGGATAACCAAGATGGTTGACTGGATGGGCTCGATGGCCGCATATTCTGTCAAATTATTCCGCCTTTGCAGTATCATATCGCCCTGAAATTCTCTCTGCATCTTCCTTTCCCTCCAAGCCTTCTCGCATCCGCCTCAACATAATATTGTAGGAAATGCACTCCGCATAAAATTTGAAATCAGCTTCACGGACAATTGCCTCCATTCTTATGACCCCTTCTTTAAACTCAGTCACTTCGGACTTCTTCCCTGTGAACACTCTTACATCAAGGAATGACGACTCCATGCCCAACATCGCAGTGCACGGCATGGATCGTGGTGCAACCTTGACCTCTACAAGGTTATGGAGACGCGTCCTTCTTTCTTTGACGAGGAATTCTACCAGGTCAAAGACAGAACAGGTGCAGGTCCTGATCCGCAGCACTTGCAATGACTCGGGTAACTCTGGCGCATCTGTTATAGCAGCCTGCTCGATGTCTAGCTCATGAAGGTTTCTTAAAGGGGCGAAAGATTCAAAAGTAGTGGGGCGTTCGCCTGATCCCCCTCGGGCCCGGGACCGTTCCTTCATTTCGATATGCACTTCGGTTAGAGTTTCCTCATGACAACATAAACTCTCCATGAGTTCCTCGGTGTTGGTAGGGTCTGAGTCTTCTAGATTCTCAATAATATCAACGTCGACCACGTACGTGAAGGATTGAAGACTCTTGGAAGCCATTGTTATTTCAGCCAATGTCATATCGTCCAGGCAGCTATCCACCAGCGAAATGGATGAAAAGTTCATGGTATTTGGGGTAATACCCTCTTCGGGGTGGTATACATCATCACCAAGGCAACGATTTGCTTTAAAGTGTTGTAGACGCGGGAGAGCCAGCAAGGGTAATATTGTCTCGGTGTAAATGATATCCATAGCCGGATCCTCATTCACACGGACAAGCTCGATATCGATTGATGTGAGGTTGGAGAAATAAGGTTGAGCCATGCCAGTATCAAACATGTTCAGCAGGCTGTTCATGTGGTCTGTCACATAAGATATCTTAAGCGTTTCAAGTCTTTCCAGGTTGGCGGCCAAGACCACCAGGACAGGATTAATTTCTCCGGATTTTATATCCGTAGAATACCTGGGAAAGGCGTTCTTGTCAATACCTAGCCTTTCCATTTCGTTAACCAGCATTGTGAGGGTGTCACTTGGTAAAGACAAAGTGTCCCTCACGTCATCTGATAAACCCGGGTCATCTAGATCTCTCACAACCACTTCCCGTGTGGCTTTTCGGATGTCGCCTCGCGAGAGTACGGTTCTCGTAAAGAGTGTAAGAGGCACGAAGTTGTTTGCACACAATTCCGCAGGGCCTATATCCACATCAAACTTGCTGAACAAGATTGGCTGCGCGAGTTGTCTGAATACACGGGATACATGGCAAAGGCGTATGAGGTCTTGTCTATCGAATTCGTGGTGGAGGTGGTGGAAAATCAGAAGAATTATCTCAGGAGGTAGGCGTTGAAGCATTCTTCCATATGCCTAAGGCCCTTGCCCTAGCCCTTATCACAATTTTATCCTACAGGAGCTGCCGTGGTTTCGGAGACGGTGCTATGGTACAGACAGATGGCTTTGTGTGCTCTCCGGATTTAGATGACAAGTTTAAACGGAGGACAGCAATCAAGGAGACAGAAAAATGATTGGATATTATTATACAGATAATTGATATATAAGATTGTTAACCAGGTAAGTTATTGCGTTGAAAAAGAGATCCACGATCTTTCAACATATTCTGCCGCGCAACTCCGCTTCTGCCTCAGGTACGCCATAAAAAGGCATCGGCGCATCTAACCAGCAAGTCTTAGTGAGACTGTTGGCAGGTATATTGCTAGTGAGTAGTGGCTGACTGTCCAAAGATTGCGATACTACAAGAACATAATTGAGCACATTGAACCTTACATCATTCCTCATAATGTATGCATCTGAACCTATCGAAACTCGAAAGGCCTATGTCCATAATATATCTTCGAATGAATTCTGGAATACTTCCAGTAGTGTCTCTTTTGTATGCAGGCTTATCCTGTGAGGTCTTGATATCGTGTATCCCGCTTGATGTCGCTCATACAGCTCGACACTGCGTGAGATTAATAATGGCAGACGGCACCGACATGGGTAGAGCCCTGTCGCACAGTGGTTAAAAAAAACCTCTTCATCCTCTATATAGGCTTCCTTTTCTTCTTCTCTTTTCTCTCCTCACAACTCTATTCCCGTCAATAGCTACATTAGTTTAGATAGGAATATAATTTCGTTAGTATCTACTACTTCCGAGTCCGTGACAACTGAGGCCTCTCCTTTCGTCATTGACAGTGGTTATACTCCCAGAATGTCCTTCGACTAGCAGTCAGACCCAAATGGAATGGTTACAGAAGTCAATACTTAACAGTGACTGCAGCAACTGGAGGAAACATGGGAATTGTGTACAAAGGCAGCTCTATGCTACACAGGCATGTCAGCAACGGAATGAAAATTGAACGAGTATACTTTGATTTTGGCAACCTGATAATGGTATCAACATGAAACTGAAACACTGGACTCTCAAGCAAGAAGCTGGACCACCAGTGGACAGGATCCTTTCAAGTCCTTGTAAAGGAGGAGAATTCATTCTATGTTGACCCCCAACTTCTGTCAAGGTCCACCTTGTCATCAATCTAGATATCTCCACAAGGCAATAACAACAGAGCCACTCTCTGGTCAGTATGATGACACTCTGCCGCTATCGTCGACGACCAAGATGAATGGGAGGTGGAAGAACTTTTAACTTCTCAACTGCAGTACCAGGTGAAGTGGGTTTCTAAAAAGAAACTGGGATTGATTGATTGATTGATCTAATTTTAACGTCCATACTGAGCCTTTGGGGTTATGATAGGACCCAAATACAAAAAGATTCCGGCATTATGCATGATAATGCCACAGTGCAGTTCCATTGGGTATCTCACTATCGTGGTTTTCAAATGTGCAGCTCATGGATAGGATTCGACTTGATAAGGGGAGGAATATGCTGCTGGACAGTAAACCACCAGCCATTCGTGTAAGGAACCGGGGGCTTTCTCGTAGTATCGTTATCTTCCAACCCCGACATGATGATTCAACAAACATAATAGATGATATGAGCAAGATGTTTTTCGGTAACTTTTTCTGTTGCTAGAGACGTCGTGAGAAATGATTGAACTTTTGTATTAACTCTGATTTTCAGGTGCACTTATGCTAGCTCACAATATCTTTACTAAATGGCTCTACTTGTGTCCATGTTGAGCAGTCTTCCCTTCAAGAACAAGACCTTCACTAATCAAGCTTGTAACTTCTTCCATGCCCTTATCCTGGCAGTCAGGATCATTAGTCGAAGTCCAGGGAATAATACCCTTGTGACACCGCAGCTCCTTATCCAAATGATACAGACCGACTCCGGGCTGTTTGGATACTCGTGCAGTCTGCTGGAGCAGGTCGCCCATATTCTTGACTTGTCTGGTGTGCTTGCGCAGGAATCGCGTTTGGAGAGCATCAGACAAGGATGCATCCTCACACTTGTCCGCGAGTGCGATTAGCCGCACAATATCATCGATCAGCTTCTTCTGGACTCGGAAGGCTTCCATGCAGGGACCAAGCGGTTCGATTGGATGGTCTGGCCATTCAATCTGGGTGGCTTCGATTGCGGTAGGCTTACATCGGCCTCCCCGTGCGACGAGATATTTTTCAAGCCAATGCATGTCAATAAGACATTCTCGAGCGCATCGCTCCCAGAGCCTGTATGGTTAGTTTGGTTTTATAAATACGTGTTGGAAGAAAAGAAGCTACATACATTCCGTACCCATGAAGGGAAATGTTAGTACGGAAGCAGTCGGCCGCGAGTTTGCGGAAGAACATCCAACTAGTTAATTCTTGATGAATGTGACCTCTTACCGACTATAAACGGTTAACTGTGATTACTCTTCTGAAAGGTCCCGTTTGCCTTACCTCTTCCACCTCGTTGGTGAGAGTACTAGATCTCACCCACTTGTCCAGATCATCACTGGAGACGTCCTGGACGACCTTTCTGGCTAACTCGGCTCCGGATGCCATGTCGTTTCCAATTTTGTCGGTTATTTTCTAGAGTTCGAAGTTTAAGTATGATAATAATGTGGCCTGTCGTAAAGAACTCGCTGAGCGATTGGACTTGATATACATGCACAGTTGAGTTCCCAGGTCACCATCACGTCAGCCCCTCGTACATACAGTGTATATTTTCTTTCCGTATATATACGCATGGGTATATGTTGTGATGTCGGATGGATGTTTCTCCCGGGAGACATGGTCCCCAGAAACAATATAGGTCGTATACATTCGTCATATTGATTCTGTTTTTTGTCGCCGCAAGAAACCATAAGGCCTGTCAAACTGAGACAACCGTAGTGACATATTGTGACGAAATAGGAATTGAGTTTATCGGATCTTAAGTGCCTGTCAACTCAATAAGTTATAGTCCAATATGGCAACTCTTGTTCGAGTTGTTATTCTATGTTGGAACATAGGAGAATAATCACTCTTTCCTCATAAGCTAACGTTATCGCCAGGAACAACGGTCCGGAGAGCATCTCGGAAGGAAAATAGTAATCAACTTGTCCGTTTATGAGCCGCTGCTTGGTAGATCCAACATTTCAGGGTCGTGCATTCAATTGCGTTTCTCTCCCCTACCATGACACTGCAGTCTTATTGAGTAGCGATCACTATATGAAATCTGGCAGATACTGCTGGATTGTGTAGACATCTGCAAACAATAGCCCTAGGTTGGCTGTACAATGCTGAAAGTGGTCAAGACAAAATTGACCATTCTATGATATCATATGCAAACAGAACAAACAGCAGGGGACCCACGAACTGAACCTGTAGAATGACAACATTCCAGCAATTCTGGTTCAATCCCTTCCTAGTCCAAGAATTGGAAATGCAGACAACGCTCTACAATGCCCTCATACGAACCCACCATATCACATCCCGCAAGAAGGTCTCCGCCCTGAAACGGGCCGCTGACACATACAATTGCTTCGTCCTTCTTCGCTCCGGCGGCTGTCCAGGAATCATGTACGTTGAGTCAAAGGAGAAAGACTCTGTTGAGTCGTGGGTGAATACGGTGCGAAATCTGCGGTATAAAGACTTTCAACTTGTTACGCGGCCGGATGTCATGACGGATGAGAAGGGCGGTTTGAATGGTGAGCGAATTGAGCCGCCGCGGTCTAAAAGGAAAACCGAGACATCTAAAGCTGGACTGTCTGAAGTGGAGACTGTAAAGGAGTTTGGGGGCTTGATGGAGCAGCGAGGTGTATGGCAGTGGTGGAGGAAGGGAATGGGGTACACGAGCTGAGGCTGTCAATCGCGGCACCATTGGCGTGCGTTATCTATTGACAGGCGATGCTCGTTAGTCGCTTATCATCCTATCAAGGGGGCACTTTTGGCCGCCTATGATTCACTGGTTGGAAACCCACGGATTTAGGGCTTTAGAGGTCGCGATGAAGTGTCGTGTGGCCTCAGGTATGTGCTGGTGCCTGCATTTGATGTCAGCAACTTATCTTAGCGACTATTAAAAAGCTTCTGCTTTTGGATTACCGTCTTCTTTAGCAACTGTTCAAAATGCCTTCGCAAAACCTAGGGGTGCGCAGACATTTGGATTTCTGTGGGACAATTTCTTGGAAGACAGCACAAACACAATCAAGGATGGCGAAGTTGATGACAATGACCTAAATGACTACACCATCCTTCGGATTAGCCATTTTGACTTTGAGGACTTGGGTTTTAAAGACTTATTCAATCCAATTTCCCTTGAAGAATTTCAGAGTTATTCGACCCTCGACGATTTTATCATATAGAATAGAAGCCCGTTTCTGGACTACAACGTGAAGTGTGACATGAGCACGGAGAATTGCACGCACCAGATAGGTCTCTATGTACGGGATCTGGCCCACATATCGAGGCAAAGTGGACATGTCTATCCCATACACATGTTACAGTACCTCTGATAAGTGGCCCTTTTTGCAGTTCAGACATTTAGCTACTAATTTTAGTTATACTCTTTTCTTCCAAGCTTCAGGAACGAGACTTTCATGGCGTCTATCTGACGTACCAAGGGCGAGTCTAACGCTATAAAAGTGAGCTAGTCGGAATCTCTAGATGATAAAGATAACGCGTATTCCCTCGTCACCCTTTGTCCGTTTATCAACCCATCCATGGTATGGATGACTATTCTGCTTGGAAAACTTGCTATATTGGTTTCAGCAATGCGAGGCAATGCCAACCAGCTAAAAATTGAAATGAAGGATGAGGATGAATGGGAAAAACTATGAAATTGTCAGAAGAATTTATTGCTATGATCTTATATTTCCCAGGGAAAAGTGTTATCCTGTTCTGCTTCTTTCATATATAGGCCCTCATCATGGGCGGTTGTTCTGTACCTCCCTGAATGGAAAGCATTTGGTAATCAGGCAGTCGAAATCTATCGCTTCGAGACGCAGACAATTGCACCGCTTGAGTTCTTCTCGCGAATTCTTCTGAGCCGTCCGGTGCTGGATGGTGATGTGCATGACTGGCAGCCATGGGAGAACGCAGGAGGAAGGGCGCAGGAGGAACATGGCCCTCAGGATGATATTGAGCCGATTCTTTATAGTACCAGGAGGATCACCCAGCAGACAGTCAATGGCAACTAGAATGAATCCGCAAGCCTGGTAGGATGTCTATTAGGTTCTCGGGTGGACTGTTAAGTTTGCTCTTTGGCTTCATAGATCTAATGCCGTATCTTATATTAGCTAGCTTGCAACACATGTGATCACCGATAATGGTATATGGTTCCCGAACAGCAGTGTTTCAATGTACTTCAACTGCTTGTCATTTATGTATCCTGTCTAGTGAAGAATATGTACAAATTGAATATCCCAGACCAAGCTCACAGCCAATCTTTCCATTCACACAACCAACACCCGTCCCCAGACCCCATATCTTCCGGCTTTGGCTTTGGCCTGGAGTTGTTCTCATCCTTGTCCTTTTTATCGTCCCCTTTCCCACCATATTCCCCATCATTTTTCCCACCATAGTTCCCATCCTCCTTTCCACTCTCCTTTCCCACCCACTCCTCTTCATCCTCAGGCCCCGTCACAGGGTTATCTCCCGGTAACTTTGGAATCGGCCCATTCTGTCCAATCTCCCTTTCCTCCTTAGTTGAATGCACTTCCATCGGCCTAGACTGCGGCGCCAGCGCACCATGCTGATTCTTCGTAACTGAGCAGCTTGGAACAGTCAACCCCTTCTCACCCGTACACGTCACCAGCGCTTCCCGTAGCGCGTCGAGGTCCGACCAACCATTTACAAAGTCCCCGTGTAGACCGTAGCCGGTTGGATCGCCCATTGCATATACTAGGTTGTCGTAGTCGGGGTAGGGTTTCGTGTTGAAGAGGAACTCGACGAAGATGGAGATTATTGCGATTGGGTGGGTTGGAGGGCAGACGCCTTGGTTGTAGTGGCCAATTGCAGGGTAGGACATCTACTTTGTTAATTTCTGGCTCATAACACTAGGCTCGTGGACGTACATGGCTATGATGGTCATACGTGTCAACGTTCTTCCCGTCCCAGCATGATGGGAAAAAGACCTGGGATCGCATGAGCGAGCAGGGCTCTTGGGGGAGGTGTTTTGTTTCATTGGAAGATCCGTCCTCTCTTATGCACATGTGAGATATTGCTTGTTGTGCTGGGTTCGAGTCATTGTATGTTCTAGCACGTATTAGTATCGTTCTGTTCTTCATTCATTCGGACAACATATCTCACCGAAGAAAAGGATTACCAGCGATCATCCGCAGTCCATCAGGAGGCGCAATCGCAACCACATGTTCCGAGTCACAAGTCGTCGCGCCCTCGGTATAATTGCACGCTCGGTTCATATAATACAATTCCTGATCCTGTTAGCTCACTGTATACAACCAATCAAGGTCCATACATACAATACCCTCAACATCCACAAGCTCGAACCCACCCTCCGTCTGATGATACAGCTCCGGAATCCAGTAGTTACTCTTATCGATCTCAATGCCACATGTCGTCCCGCTAGCTTTTCGAGCTGTATCCTCTGCCATTGTTCGCTGGAATGCTGTTCCTCCTGCTACTAGGTGGAGATGGTCTGATTCGTTTCCAGGAAACATGATTGGGTCGGACATTTCGATTGTTAGGGGGAGACAGCTGAAGGATATTTCATCGCGAGGGCGGCCAGCTAAGGCTGGTGGGAGGAGGGTGAGGAGAGAGGCGATGTAGTTGAATGGGGTGGTCCGCATGATGATCAAGTCTGTCCGGCGACAGGCGACAAATTTTGAAAGACAGATTAAATATTAAAACCAGCATTTGGCATTCGACCACCGATTATTATATGTCCGCTTGTTTGGGCTACCTTCCAATTTGGACGAAAACAAACATTCCGATCTCCCGCCATGCATACCAAGTGACATGGCCGCGTTTGGATTGCGTCTGTTGTCCGCACCTGTTATGAATGACTTACTATTTTTGAGTTGTTTCAGCTAGTATTTGTTTATAATGGTTATTCAGGAATTGATTTCCAGGTTAGCGTGGATGGGTGCCTAGGGTTATGGTTGGAATGGCGATCTACACATAGTAAATATTAACTGGGCTGTAGTTAAGCATAAACTGTCTTATATAGTATTGTAAGCCAATAAAGGACATCCAAATCATAACTCATTTCGTAGCATCCATATAGTAAGCAAACCCTAACACGCAAGTTGAAACCGACGCAAATATACGCAAACCATCCAAGGAATTCAAAATCGAGTCCTCAATCCTCAATTCATAAAAACCATCTTCTATAATAATAAGATCAACGAAATTGATGATCACAATACTCCGCCCTCTCTACCGCACCCCTCGTCGCTTCCCTAACCCCCCTCGCCATCTCCTCAAACCCCTCCACCTCCCTCTCCACAAACGCAGCCCACTTCATGGCTGTCGCATGCGCTGTCTCCGCCTTATCAACCTCGCCCCACGCATCTGTAGCCATCCGCTGGGCCTGCAAGATCTCGTCTCTAGCAGCCACGGCGTTGTAGTAGACCTTGTCGGATTTAGCGCGGGCTTTTTGCGCGGCTTTGTTGGCTTCGCGGGCGTCTTTGCGGGCTCGTTTGGCGTTCTTCTTCGCGCGCGCAACTTTGTGTTTTAGGTTCGATTTGGATTGTTCGCGGGTCATGTGTAGTGGGTTGCGAAGAGTGAAACTGCCCAGGTTGCTTTTTTTTTTTTTTTTCGTCAGGCTCGGGCTGCTTTTTGGAGAGGGGGTACTTACATGATGAACTCGGGCTTCCTGATAAATGACCGGTAGTCCACGGTCCCGCTCTCATAACAATTGCAGTCCGCGTTCACTTGGTTTTTGTTTTTAATCTTCTTGCGGATGGCCGCTTGTGTTGAGGACCCCATCTTTTCGGGCGTTTGAACAGCCATCATGGCTGTTTTTTGGGCGTAGACTGCCTCTAGGACAGGGTCGCTCTGTATCCGGGCTTGCTCGATGATGGTGGTCATTAATGCTGCGTGGGTGTCTGAGTAGTGCAGGGATAGAGATGGAAGGGCTTGATCCGAGCACAAGCAATGGCAGCGGGGGAGCGAAGAAAAGGTCGTGGATGGTATCCTGTCGTGCTAGGGCTTCACTTTGGTGATCTCATTATCCATCATGCATATTTTTCCGTATATGTTACCACGGGATGATAAGCACTAACTCTACTAGGGTCATCTGAGTCAATTCATGTCTGATAATGTACAGTTTGTCTATAGAATATACAAGTCAACCAAGACTCTATAATACAAGAAAACGCCGTCCCATGCGCCGCCCAAAATATAAGGAAGCAATTATTTAGAATTCTCCACTGGAGGCCAATCCGGCGCAGGATAACTGAGAATCTTGCAAATGTCCTACAAATCATGACAAGTTAGCACGGACCTCGATCTACGGTACAGCACGTTCACATACCCTTCTTCTCCGCCGAAAGTCATCATAAAGATGCCTCCAAATCTGTCTATCCCGACATCCGCTCTCGTTAGGCGTGCCAGGGTTGTTCTTGCACTTCGGCAACATTTCCGGGAGAAGCTTCTGTGGCCACATGACCCAGGGTTTGGGGAGAGGCCAATCAGAAAAGTGTACCAGTTTGGCTTCGGCCAAAACTTTGTCGGGATTCCATTCTTCTTGTGCATCTCCGAGGAAATTTTTGTGATCGTTGGCACGGAATTCGCCTGTGAGAAGGCCATACTGGCGATGAGGGAGTACCATGGCTGAATCACCATAGCGGCTATTCAGTAGTTCCATATCATAAAGGGTCGTATCTGATGCGTTGGTCTCAATCTGACCGAACATAGCCGCCTTGGATGTTTCCATGAGAGCGTTGAATTCGCGGTATGACGGTTCGATCACGATCAACAAGGACGACAGTTGTCTGCTTTCGGGTAGTAGCCAATGCGCCCGGGGCATGGCGACAGTGGTAGGAGGCAGGAAGAACAATTCATCCATGTTCTGCAGAACGGTGATGTCGGAATCAAGATGGATCAACCGTTTGTATTCCGTCTCGCCGAACGCGAGCAATTTGGAGACGCTCTTATCCCACGACTCGCCGGAGCCTAACCCAACCTGTCAGCCTTCTAGTCCGATTTTGTTCTTCCGTATTGTATCGTCCTACCTGATCCCTCCTTGACCAAATCCAGATCAATCGGCACCAATTGCACCCCATACGTATCCCGGGCAAGCACCAACAACTGACTATCCCTATCATCCCTATCCGTAATCTCCGTATCCCAACTCTCTGGATAAAACAGCACTCGGTCTGCACGACTCCCCAGCCGCTGCAGGGCCTCGAAAACCATCACGGCGTTGCATAGATAGGCACTAGACGTCGCATACTGGCTGTAGGCATAGCGGGACCAATCGACCAAATTGTATTGAATATGCGGCAGCGGCGGTGGCTTCGGTCGCTCGCGCCTGTAGTAGAGGATTAGGATAAGAAAAACAGCAAAAACAACCCAGGTTCGAATGCGTCGCAGTTGCCGTTTCACAATCGCCAGGAGCGGTTCTTCAGGGAGGTCGAAGAAGTCAGGTTCGTCTTCGGAGGATGCAGAGCCCCTGCGGAGGGGAAAGGCGGATGTTCGTTTCATTCTGGTAGTTGTGGGAGATTAAATGCGAATGCCATCGCTTTAATTCTTTGATCGAATGATGGCACTGTCTGGGGGCATTCTTGTTATCGACACGCGTTGGTATCGCCGCTGGCGATCGCTGCATATCTACACGTGACATAGACGAGATATATAGTATTTAACGCATTAGAGCAGATAGTGGAAAGTTCTTGAGAATATTGTAAGCATGGTAAGGAATGAACAGTCTATCCTATCTCACTAGTTTTTATGCATCTATGTACGCCGTGTCGTTATACGCATCAATCTATATATAACTATCCATCCTCGCTTCTTCATCCTTCAAACTCTCTCTCCCAGGCCGGAATTGACCTGAAGAATGCAACTCCCTCGACTGCCTCTTATTAACCTCCACAATAAAATCAGTAACCACCGTGACACAGTCATTAAGGACATGTGCCGGCGGCGTCGCCCTGCACGCCTGGCTCTCATATCTCCGAGGGAATGACTGCCCGAAAAATGACTGTCGGTAATAGCCCCTGTCGTTGAGGGTGATGTTGCTGTCCATTGTGCTGGTGGATTTGTCCCGGCAATGGCGCATCTCCATTTGGCGGTTGTTGTCTGAGAAGTAGCCTGTGTATTGGCCTTCGCGGTAGTAGTCCATGAGGACGCGCAGGAGGCGGGATGTATGAGCGCATGAGGCGAGGAGGATACTGCTGTTTTCGATTCTAAGTCTTGTTAGCAGTATTAACAGGTATCAGAGCGTCGTTTTTACCCACTTTGTCCAGACAATGATATCAACCATGTTATCTGGAAGCCACATCTGTCAGTCTATTTTAATCGAATCCGCAAATTGCTCAAGCAAGAAATCTTACAAGAAAATCCTGACCCATCGTCGGACGACTTCAAATGTTAAACTACAATCAGTCGTGATCAAACAACCCGGTAATAGGACAACTTACATATGCTTTCACAATCGAAGCAGCCCCAGCAAGAAGCAAAAGACCACTGATCGCGACAGTCTGCAACGCCCGACGAACCTTTGTACTGCCACTTATATCCCCGAATCTCGACCAAAACGATACACAGGGGCCCTGTCGAAGTGCTGGAAAGGAGAATTGCCAGACTTCAATCACTGCAATGGCTGCGAGCAGGAAATCGACAGTTGCATTGACGCCTGTTGTTGTCAGCAGGCTATTGCAAATGGAACTGGGGCGATATAAATACCTCCTTGCACGAAACCTATTATCATCTGTATTGAGGGAGCCTGGCATTTCACTGAGCCGTCTTCTGGAAGTGCATCCCATATGTAGTGGAAATATTCCAATCTATTGGCCTGACCCGTCAAATTAGCGCACTTCTTGATAGTAGAACGAAGTACTCACTGGAAAATAAGGATGCGGTCCGCATTGCAGCACAGTCTGCAATACTATAGCAGTATTAATCACCACTTGAACCACAATACAGGCAAGAATGCTAAGACGCATTCGCCTGTTCGCGAAACAGGTCAAGAGAGTCCAAGCTATTCCCGTACGAGAGATCATTCCAGCAGTCACACCTAACGGAGTCAACAGGCATCTATCAGAGATGTGTCACGGAGTACATACCAAATGGCTGCGAGATATTCCCATATTTCAATATTCGGACTTTCTCAAATGGCTCCAGATACTGGAAGTGTCTTCCAAGACCCCATCGGGAGCTACAAAACGTCAATAAAACTCATTCTATTCCGTCTGGTCGAGATTCAAACCTCAACTCAACAGTAGTCATGTGTATAATGTCGAAGCCATAACCAGCGAAAATAAAAAGGTCTTCCAATCCCCAGACTTTATTCGGGATTAAGGTTCGAGGTAGAAACCAGAGAATCCATGCCTTAAGAACATATCGTAGGATTAGGGCTATCCCGACGAATGCAGTGAGAAACTGGCTACTGTCAGTTTCTCGGTTATCTTTTGCTTGAATGAAACCATGCATACCCAACACCCTACGACTATCCCCGTTCCTGGCCAAGTCAGCTAGATTCAAGAAATAGAAATTTATGCTTCCCTCACCATTATCGACGTCCAATTGACCGTCCATCTTCAATCACAATATAACAGGACGAACATAGATTGATATGGCGTGATATTTCATTTATACCCTAACTAAATAGCATTCTCTGAATGGTTTAAGGCAGGTTTGTATATGTGCCAGGACTTGTCAGTGAGGTGAGGGTTTCATGTATCCCTCTTGCCACAACCTTGCAGAGCTAACGGAGGTGATGAAAAGCAAGGTAGCAGGGGATGCAGAAGTGTCTGAATGATGGCTTAGAGAGGGTTGGGCTTGGTCTTTTATTCTAGTCTTGTACAGAAGCTGGTCATTTTTTTGACAAATAAGCCATATTCACATCCAATCTGCTAACGAGTGTCAATGGGTCTCGCATGTGTGATAACTCAAGCCCAAAGCCATTGTGGATGGTGCGCGCTCGTGGAATAATCCCAATTGGCAAGCTCAACTCACTCCGTTCTTCAGAATAGATATATCGACCCGGCTGTACGCAAGGGACTCGGGCCGGTAGCAACCAATACATCATCGGGCCGGTAGCACTCTTTTACTGTCCAAGTATTAAATGATATATAGGTTTCAGACCAGGTCACGGCTATCCCTAGCGTGGTCCCTTTGGCATACGGGAAGGGAGAACGGTGTTGCCCTCTGCCTTGTGATCAGTCAAATTTAGCTAAGCCTCTTCAATCCATTGAATCTATAACCAGTCTGAGCTAAGTTCCTATTTACTGCCTCTAACTTTCCGCATCTCCACCAAACACTCCCCAGTCTCCGGATAACTTTCAAACGTAACCTCCAACCCACTCACCGCCGCCATAAGCTTCCACTCCGCACTACTCCGCTCTCTGCCCCCATAAAGCGCAACCATAGCTGCATGCATCGCCGCGTTTTTCGCATTCTTCGTGGCTTCGATAACTAACAGCCGCGAATCTTCGTTCATCGCAGCAGCGGTTTTCTGCAGGAGAGCGATGGATTCTAGGTCCGGGTGGTTGTGCAGGATGTGCTGCAGGCAGTAGATATGCGCGCCTTGGACGGGTTGCGGGGCCGTGTCTTTGAAGTTGTATTTCATCAACGTGACGCCTGGGATTGTGTCGACGGTGGCGTAGAAGTCCTGCACGATTAGCTTGTCGGCACTGAGGTGGGGGTAGGCTTCTTTGAAGGATAACAGGGTGTGGCCGTGGCCACCGCCGATGTCGACTACTGCGACTGTGTCCTTAGGGGCACTGAAGATGGCGTCGTCGAGGTCGTAGCCGAGGTGCTTGATTCTATCTGGGGCTCTGGGCCTTTTGGAGAGCTTGTGGACCATGAAATTGTTGAAGCTGTCCATTCGGCCTTCGTCTGCCATGATGGAGTAGGTGTGTTTCTTGGAGAGAATTTCGTTTCCAAGGCGTTTGTGGGCATATTGCATTGGGGTTTCGGTCCCTTTGAAGGGGTATTCGAAGTTGGTGTCTTTTAGTTTCGAATACGTGAACGCTCCGGCGAGGAGGCCCTCGATGGTGCTGAGAAAGTTAGCATATATGTTACTCTTCGGGGAGGTTCACGGACAAGTGAAGAGCCGCATGCTTTGCGCCTTCCCATTGGTCCAAATGCTTCGTGATGGCATTCGCATTGAACCCATTCTCAGAGACCTGGTCCACCAATCCCAGTCCCGTCATAATGTAGAGTACGTCCTCTACAGAAGTGAGAAATAGTCAACCACGAGGGACAGTCAAACAAACCAGCTAACTTGACACCTGTGCTTGTTAGCTAACGCCCTAAAACAAGGAAGGCATCAGACAATACCTAGCTCTGGCTCCCCTTTAGCCCTCTCACGAATCTTCACATTGCTGATCTCAGCCACTTCTTCGGCGGTGACAGGTTTTCCAGCTCGCGCAAGGATCGTGAAGAGATCAAAATGAATAGCTACTGGGATGAATCCCAGACTTGTTGGCTATAGGACCATCAGCTTCACCCAAACATCGATTCAAGAATCACCCTCACGTTCGTGATAATTTCCCCAAGGGCGACACCCGGGTTATCCAAAGGCAAATCCATAATGGCAAATCGAATAATCTGGACAGACAAAGTCAACTCTGGATAATAGTAATCCAGGAATCTACCGGTTTATATAGAGAGGTTGACGTCGCACACCAAATAAACCTGACGTTATGGAGTAACGTATGCCATCATACGTATACAAGTACGTGTCATAAAAATTATTTGCTTGTTCTCTATGTCGGAGTTTGATTCAGCTGGCGATGAAGTATGCAATTCATCCTTATCGGCATGATGTGCACGATACTATTGGTAGGTGTTAAAGCAGATATGCAAAGCCACGGCACATCGGACTCCGACTCGGAGTCGGCCATTAGTTGTCCGACAGACGACATGAGCAGATTTTGCGCGGTGCAATTGAGTTCAGAAGTTCTTCGGCTCTCAAATGATGCTATAGGCCTAGCAGACTAGACCGCTCATAGCTCGGACTCGGAAAGAAGCCCTGTCTTCCGGCTTTCAATCCAATTCCTTTAGCTGCACGGGAGACCTAATAGTCATGGAAAAGGCTCGGAAAAGAAAAGTTCGGTAAAAAAAAGGCACCGAGATACCGTGTCTATTTCAAAACATTCAATCTCTTATTCATCTATACACGTATTAGCCTAAATTACCAGTCGAGACTGACTTCAACTCACCATGGGTATCATATTCCTCAAAGAAACGCGAATTTTTAAATACAGTGCAATCATATTACATGAGGGTCTTCAACCCGCTATCTACTTTGATCAATTCATGTGAACCTCCATATCCATATCATTACGTACTCATTCGGTCATCCGAATTATCCTGAAATGTCTCCGGGAAGAATCCCGGCGGTGGCCAGATATCAGCTATAGATGGCGGATGAATTAATGGCTGCGATCCCACCAGACGGTCTGGATCGTGACAGAACGCTTGGAATGTGCTGTCGTCGATAAAGCCGAATTCTTTCAGTCCTGCCTCGCGGTTATTGGCCCATTCGGTTGTGTCGAGATATGCGAGGTCTTCGAAGATAGCATCGATGGCGCCGTTTGATGTTTGTGGTTCTCCTATGTTGGAGCCGCTGGACCCGGTCATATTTTCAGGATGTGACGGTCGGTCATTGGAGACAATCATCATCTGGTTCGACACTGACGAGTCAGGTGTGGGCGGCTGTGGCTGTGGCTGCGCTGAAGGTTGCAGTCCGTTGGTCGGAGCAAGCTTCTCTGTGAATGAAGCACTATCGACCTGTTGTTGTAGAGATGACGCATCTGTCATTGCTAGATCTGCATTATCCATAGTAGTGTCCTTCGGAGTCATATACTGCCCATCTGCAGGCATCGCTATACCAAGTATTGACGAAGACAAGCCCTGCTTCGCAGCCCCCGGCATGTTTGCCTGGGACCGAATCGAATTACTGCCCTGTGGGTGATTCCCTGTCATTGTCACAGACCCCGGGGAAAGTCCTGGGACATTCATTGTCCCTTGCAGCGCCATGGACGGAACCTCGGACAGACTGCCTGACCGATACCAACGCTCGATAGTAGTAAGCAGCGTGGCATAGGCCGGCCATGTTGGAGTGAGCTCCTTTGTCCGCTTGACCAGTGCCTCCGTCCACTGTGAAAACGGAAACGAATCTGACTCTATCATGGTTCGTAGTGCAAACGCCTGCTCAGTGATGGTGCGCAGAGACAGCTCGAATACTGGCGGCAGTCCACACATTGGAAAATTATCCAAATGCTGGGATATCATCGGAAGCGCTCGATACAACAATTTCTTTGCACCTTCGGTGGCAGGCCGCTGTGAGTGATGCAGGCCAAGCTCCTGAGGTGCGATACGTAAATAAAGCCATAGGAGTGTGGCAGCATATACCAACCCCAGGTAGCTCTGGTGCGGAAGCAGAGCGGAATGCCGCTCCGGGTAAATGCTTTCGGCACCAATTAGTCGACATCCCAAAGGCAGGTGGTCATCCCATTGTTTGAGTTCCAAGACCATCTGCTGCGCAAATGCATGGCTGTTTGGCCCCGCAGAACAGTCTCGCGCGACCTTATTCAACACACTCGCCAGTTCGACCAGGCGATTAAAGCAGCTGAGAGCAAGAAGGGGACCTCTCCGTGGTGGGTTCTTTGTCTGCGCTGCTCCTGTAGGCAGCAAGACGTCGGGCCAGGAATTCCACTCTTCCAGGCCATCTTCTTCCAACAAGCCCACGGGCGACAGATCCCGCGGGTGCATACAAGGTCTTCGAGAGAGACGGAATGACAGCAAGGAGTCAACTACAAAACAACCCAAGAAAGTTGCTTTACCCTGTCGGAGCTCCTCTGACCGCCGAGTGTTGGTTATAGTCCCAAGATCCATGGAGATAGCCATCCGGACGGCTTTGCCGCTCATCAGCCAGGCCGCTGTCCACTCCTCTAGGCCAATATTCACCAAGGTCAATAGTAGCAACGCCTGCACATGACCCAGTTCATGATGCTCGTTCTCCGACGGGATCAAACTCTGCGCTATCGAATAGTATCCCTTTGTCTTCGTAAGTAGACCTGAAGGGCCGTCGAGTTGATTGGCCCGGGATTGGGAAACGGTATAGCTCAAGATGGCCCATAGTGCTGCATGGTCACCGGAACCAGGGGATACATTTGTAACGGACAGGGTTGGGTTTGCATAAAGGTAGGATGCTCGTAGGATGTTATGTTTCGCTACGATCGGGAACCAGGAATGGGTGGTGGCGAAATAGACGTCCAGTAGATGGGACGTCTGCGGAGGAAGTTGCAACATGTTAAGGCCCTTGCTTTGAGGCTGCGATGCAGCTCGGCCATCTGTTGGTAGAGATAACCGAGACCTCTTGAGACGGGGAGAAGCGGACGGGGAGACCACGCGTGGTGCATCAAGTCGAGGATTCGTGCTTTGATCTACTCGAAGACCCCATTCACTGCTGGAGATAGATGCACTATCCGCTCGGGTCCGTTTCCCAGAGGTCTGCGACGGTGATGATTCCGAGTTAGCCGACAGCATCTTCTCGAGTGCACTGTAAAGATGGCTAGTTTTCCAAGACTCATGCAGACTCTCCGATGCACCATCATCAGACCATAGTGACATCACCCTATCCCTCCGGCCGGCGGATTCTGGCGTTGTGCCCAAGAGGGAGAGCATGGTATCCTCGAAGCCATCAATGTTGCAGATCGACAAGGCCCAGAGCTTCTCCATGCCCCGAACGTAACCTTCGGGCAGGCCGCGCTTCTTCGCATTGGGATCGTATGAGCATGTCTGGCCAGAAGCCTGACAGGCTGAGCAAGCAGGACGAAGCCCATCGCATTTATCCTAAGTTTATCATTCCATGTCAGAACCAGTGTACGAGGAATGCGGGGAGTGTTCTGAGATTGTCTCCACTTGGGGAAAGGTATACCGACCTTCTTACTGCGACACCTGTCGCAGGCCCTCGAGACCCTCTTGCGTCGAGGGGCTTTTGAATCAGAACCCTCGTCCATGGAAGAGGGTTATTTATGGCGAACAGAGCGCCATGTAGAAACGGTGGAAGATAAGATAGGATTCGAACACGCGGGTCCCAACGACAGAAGATTAGAACGCGTACTATGAAGTCGCAGAAAAGGCAGAAGAGTTGAAGACCAAAGACAGGAGTCGCAATGAATAAGAACAATGGCGATAAGACCGGTTGGTAGTCACGGGCCCAAGAGCAGTTGTCGCGTATGTCGCTAAACTATGCGGCCGCATGTCGGTATCCAAAGCGGCTTTTCTCGGCAGGGCCCTCAACGAACTGGAACGACGCAACTGTCGTCCAGCCAAGCAGCGACCTCAGCACGAGGCTTCGATAATCAGAGATAGTCTGATTGACCAGCTCTTTTTCTCCCTCGTTCTGTATTGCCCGAGAGCGGATCCCAAAATAGGTTAAGATAGAACAAAACGCGGAATACAGGAGAGGAGTACTCCTGAGAAGCAGCACGGAACGCTCCGTAATTTTCTAACGAGCACTAATTCAGCAGCACTCAGTCAAGGGTTGAAGCCGTCCGAGGCAAAGGAATGAGGCCGAGATGTTTTCGGGGAGTCGCCCGGGATGTGGCCGCTCTAGTCTCCACTCGACGTCCCCACACTCTCCACGATGCTGTGGGACTTTTCTACTGTACAATGTACTTCTAGATGGTACAAGAACGGGGTTCTAGTGCTGAATCGCATGTCAAGTCAAGAGAGTGGTATTCTGTATTCTCCTTGTTCATTATACAATAGGCAGTCTATTTTCTGGAGAACGAATATATTGACATCCACCCTGTCTCCCCATAAAGCGCAGAGTCCATCCAGACAGTGCTCGAGCGGCCAATCAAGAATGCTCCTTCCTACTATAGGGAACTGCCGATTATCGGTCATTTCAAACAAGGGAAAAATAAAAGACTCAATGAGGTTTCTATTATTCATTGGTTATATAACCGTTGGTATTTGGATCCTGAATAGGCGCTTTCGGGTGTTGTAGGAGGTCCCACAGAAGAAAATTGTCGTCATTGTGAGAATAATGTTGAGAAAGTGAGACTCTGCAATTTGGACGTCTTGAACATATCATATCCAACGTACAGAGCAGCCGCAGCCAATGATCCGAACTCAGATTGACGTTGCTGATCAGAAGTCTTGGTCTCGATTTGACCCACGGCGTTGGACTGAGGACTATGCTCTCGGCATCCCGGGTCGGTAGTGGTTATGGAGGCATGCTGTATGTCGGGAATGAGCACGGAGTAGGAGAGTACGGCCATGTAGAGTTAGCCGGCACATAATAGCGGTTGCCAAAGTATGAGTACTCCAGACTAGACGACTCTGCTAGAGACATGCCCATTGATATCATTCGATTCTGTATTCTGTGCTAGGACTCCACATATTGCCTATATTGCCCATATTGCCCAGGTCCCAATTGCGTATCTCACATTCACCCTAGCACTTGATGGAGCCCCTCCAGGCTCCATTCCCTATATCTTTGCGAACCATGATTTACTGTACAAAGAACCTCTAGACACTTCCACTTTTGGCGGGGATGACATCGGCAAAGTGCTTAGCCGGATGGTAGCTCCGAGGGCGGTGAATCGCTGGAATCCCGCCGTATGCAGTGACGGCAGTTGATTCTCCAACATCCGAGACTACTGTAGGACTCCATAGTAAGAAGCTATCTCGCCCATTTTGTGCTCCATTGCTGTCGCATGTCACTGCTCCCTCCCGACCTCTCATTCATATCCTTACCGCAGCAGTCAATTGTCCACCATTCCCGCAGCATGCGAGCTGCGAACTGCCGCGACGATATCTCCAACTCCAGTATCGCAAGACATCATCTATCCCGCTGTCGTGGACTTTTGCCTCTGATTACATAGTAGGCAGAGTAAATATTTAGCGCTTGCACTCCTTTCAACATATAAATTGAAGCTATGGGATCCTGATCAGAACCTGCCACAATTATACAGGATTGCCGCCATTTGCTCTAAACAAGCCGTTCGCAACGAGCTGTCATCATGAACCTTCGCAATGGTGATGGCACTCATCGAAAAATCGACTCCAATGCTTCCCTGGTGCTGGTTGGCATCAGGGGGTGTGGGAAGCGCTCCCTGGGCTTTGTGGCCGCTACTGCGTTGAAGAGGCGCTTCATCACCGAGGACCATTACTTCAAGGAGCTTACAGGGCAAACGCGACAAGAGTATTTGAAACTGCACGGGAGCCAGGAATTCCAGCGCCGCGATATTGAAGTCCTGAAAACTATGCTCGACAAACATCGGAAACACTGCGTTATCGAGTGTGGTTTGGGCAGTCTCACTCGACCCGTCCAAGAACATCTTCGATTATACTGTTCGACAAATCCGGTTGTGTATTTGGTGCGCGATATCCGTCATATTCAGGACCTGCTGGGATTAGAGGATCAGTCTGTTCGGTTACTCCGCGAAGGCGATTCGTTACATCGAACATGCTCCAACTTCGAGTTCTACAATATCGAGGATCGTTCGAGCGTGGCAGCTCAATTTGACGAAGGATCGCCTGATCGACGTTCTGCGAATTATTCCTTCAAACTCAAGGAAGCCAAAGAAGACTTCACCCGCTTTGTCCACTTGGTCACCGGTGCCAATGCGAACCATTCGAGCTACGATTCGCCATTTGTCCTACTCGAAACGCCTCCGGAGCTTAGATCTTATACACACGCCATATTTATTCGCTTGTCAGATTTGATCGAAGAGGCCATCGATCTTGCCGAACTTGAGTCTGGTGGAGATGCCATCGAGCTTTGCGTTGACCGCTGGGGCCCAGACATGGCAAGCACCCTGAGCCAGCAAATATCTTTGCTTCGCAGAAATGCCCGGACGTCTATTCTTCTTTCCGTTGATACATCACCATCTGGAATTGCGCAGAATGATGATACATCGGCATACTTTGACATATTGGAGCACGGTCTCCGACTTGCAGTTGAATATCTGGCCGTAGATGTGGGCCAAGACCAAGCGAAGGTGCGCAATACAATCCGTAATAGGGGAACAACCAAAATTGTCGGCCAACATGTGTTCGAGCCGTCGTGGGATGTGACATGGGAGGATGATGAATGCCTTTCCCGCTATCTCCAAGTCGAGCAACTCGATTGCCAGTTGGTTCGCATTCTCCGTGTCGCAACAGAACGCGAAGATAATACCGCTGTTTTTAAGTTCAAAAACCGCGTCCAGTCATTACCCGGAACGCATCCCCCATTGATCGCTTACAATATCGGCCGCCTTGGACGCACCTCTCAAGTTTTCAATTCAATACTCACATCCGTGACCCATCCGGCGGTCAAACGAATTACGAACAACGAGCGTGATCCTCAAATCACATCGCGAGATGCAGTGCAAGCGTTGTACCAGAGCTACATACTGGATCCCCTCCAGTTCTGCATTCTCGGAGCCCACGTAGGGTATAGTTTGTCTCCTGCTATGCACAATGCTGCCTTCCGCCATTGCGGAATGAACCACACTTACAGAATTCCCGAGTCTCCTTCGCTAGCGGTGTTAGAGAGACTAGGACGGGATCCTAATTTCGGGGGCTCCAGTGTCGTCCAGCCATGGCGAGAGCAGGTGTACCAGAAGCTTGCTTCGAAAAGCCGACATGCTGAAGCTATCGGGGCCATCAACACAGTTATGCCACTCCGGGGTAGAGCTGACGGCACCATGTTTCCATTACAAGAGCAGGCGAGTCGTCGCAACCAAGCAGGTCCTGTACTGGGGTGGTACGGAGAGAACACAGACTGGGTGGGCATTATGACTTGCATTAATCGAAATCTCTCTCCTCGAAACGCTATCAGTCCACTCAAAACAACGGGGCTGGTGATTGGAGCAGGTGGTATGGCGCGCTCTGCTATCTACGCGATGCTCCGGGTGGGATGTCGGAAGATATTTATCTACAACCGGACCCTGTCGCGGGCGGAAGAGGTAGCCCGCCACTTCAACTCATGGGCATCGTTACAATCCGATTCGCCGGACGTTGTACGGGTTCTACAATCGACAGATGATGAATGGCCATCGGATGCCTGTCCTCCATGCTTGATTGCGTCATGCGTACCGGCCGATCCAGATATGGGTGAACCCGCGAACTTTGAGATGCCTACACAATGGCTTGGGAGTCTAACCGGCGGAGTGATATTGGAGCTAGCATACAAGCCGCTCAACACACCACTTCTACGTCAAATGCGTCGCATCCGGAGTGAAAATGGCCGCGCATGGGTTTTGGTAGACGGACTCGATAATGTCTTGGAACAGGGTATTGCTCAGTTCGAACTGATGACCGGCCGGAAAGCACCGCGACGGCTGATGACTTGGGAGGTACTCCGGAATTACGTTGGCGAGAACGGGCCATTTGACGAGAAGACGATTCAATCTCGATTAGATGGAGTCATCTCTGGCAACGATATGTAATAGGGTAGAATTTTTGGTGACAATCTGTACATAGTTAACTAGAAGAATAACATGATACCATAAAAAGAAAGCTGCACTATCGCCACAACAGGCTTAATGTGTGGATCATGTGTTGCAAAAAAGCACAAGCGCTAGTCCTGAAAAGGTTAAGCTTATCGTAAGTTACCCCGTACCTGATCGATTACTGTACTTTACAGTATCTTGTGTTATCCAGCTTCATTTCTTCTCTTTCGGGCATTCGATGCTTTTCTTTCTCTTTCATTCTTCTTTCCTTCGTTTTTTCTGTCTGTCCGGTGGAATACTCTAATAATAGGCGTTTTCCTTCATTTTACAGACAATCCTCTCCTTTTTCTTTACCTTTCGTTCTTTCAACTTTCTTCAACTCCTTTTACCCATGAATCAAACAGGGTGCTTCAAAGATAACGTCTCTTCAGCAATGCCAGGCATTCTGTCTGAGCAACAACAAGATTCCCTCAAGAAGCGCAAGAGAAATGCCTTACAGGAAGAATCTACAAACTTGGCAGAACCGTAAGTGAGCGGAAAATCCTTGACATCACTATCAATGGCTAATTACATCGCTATCTCAACAGATACAACACGGCCTTTATCCCAGCATATCTCCATACCTCAAATCCCTTGTTCCGCCTGAATTGTCCAGACCTACCAAAGGAAAACTCAGAAAATCCCCACCGTCACCGATGCATTCCTCGAAAGCGACGAGTCCTCCAACAACCCTGCCATCAACAGAACCAACAACCATGGCCTGGGCCCGATAACCAACCGACTCCAGCCAAACTCATAGCTCCAAATCTCTACATTCCCCAGGGCTCGAATTTCGCCTCGCCACCGGTCTCGCCAAAAACTATTGTCCCCTTATCGTACTCGCCTCATCAGCAGAATCAATGTACTTCTGCTGCTTCGCTGCGGCCGTGCCATATTTGTTATCGACGGCCTACGACGAGGGAATTGCTAGATGCGTATGCAGATTGTGATTTGTGTGGTGAGCGGGCTTGCTACATTTGTCTGCGGCAGTGCGATGCTATTGATTGTCGGGGATCTGTTAATCTCGGGGCGAACTATTTGATTAGAGATGGGTCGGATAGGATACAGGAGGATGTTAATGGACGAGATTCGGAAATTATACAGACGAGGAAGATCTGTTCGTGCTGTGCTGTTGAGGGTATGACGGAGACTGGGATGGAGGTGGTGCGTTGTCTTGAGTGTGTTCGTGCTCATTTGCCACAGTGGCAGGCTATGGGACAAGCGGGTTAATGTTCGCTTGCATGGGATACATCAACGAGATATTCGAAATCTCAAGCTCGAGTCGCCCTAACTGGGCACATACCGAGACTTCTGAGGCAGAGTCTCGTGCCAGCGGCTATGGTCTGTTCAGCACGAATGACTTGGAACGGCAATACATCACAACATTGGCTGAGCCTATCGACATATATTGGTTTCATCTGACAACACGGCTAGAGTTGTGGACTGCTCTGTATGGGGTCATTTTTGAATTTGGTGTATTATATAGAATAATAGCATAGCACAGTTTAGCATGGTCGGCGTTCGATGGGTATACCTTGGACTTGAATCAACAATCGTGAATCTAAAGTAGCAAAACGGTCCAAAAGTAATGCAATCCATTAATTTCCAAGGGTATAGCTTTGCCAATAGTACGATATTTTCCAATAGTCTGATTTCCTAAACTCCAACAGGCTTCGTTGTCAATACTAAATGCAATATATCAAAACAGCGACAGAAATGAATGCTACAATACTTCGAACACCCGTTTCAACTGCACCTCACCGTCCAAACCTCATCTGCGCCCCAGCAAAATGCCACAGCCCTTGAACGAAACCTTGATACTCAACTGCCTCCCCATAACCCGTCAACCCATTACCTGTATCACCCGTGCAATACATCTCCGTAAGTCTGATATGCCACGGTGGATACCCATCCAGTTTCAAGAAAGGCCCAAACACCAAGAGAAGATCAGGCTCGGGCTTTATGAAGACAGAAGCACCGTCGCCATCATCATCTGACTGCGCAGGATGCGTGGTGATCTCACTGATTTCCGCGTCAACGAGTTCCGGGGTGATGTCTTGCGGCGAGACCTTGCCGTTTTGGGACATCTCGGCGAGGGTCTTGGTTAGGTCGACGAAGGTTTCGCGGCCATCAGTGGATGAGAGGAGGAGGAGGGTTAGGGATTCGGGGTTGGACTTGGACGGATCTGTGTCTGTTGGGGTTGAGGTTTGGTAGACGGGGTGGTGGGGGGCGAAAAGTTGGAGTTTGGGTTGTTGGGAGGGAGTGCCGTAGTAAGAGGATAGTTTGCTGGTGACAAGCTCGTAGAGGGTTGGGATGCAGGATTTGAGGATTCCTGCATCATTAGCGACTGTACAAAGCCATGAGATTGAGGGCTAACGTACCTGTCTTCTCATACACACTCAACGTCGGGATTCCAGATGCGGTACTCCAAGCAGCCAACTCGGCTACTTCGTCCATCAACACAGCTAGCGCATCATCCTCCTTCCTCAGCGAGAGTATAACACTCAAATGCTCCGGTAACCGCTTCAACCCCTTTACATCCTTGCGAATCAACTCCGGCGTCCGATGATGGTAGTAGACAATAGCAAAGATCCGATCCACAACAGCATGATAGCTCTGAATGAACCGAATAGCAATCCCGAAAAAGATGTGTATAATCGTATATGTTAGTTGGTGGATCTGGGACTTGAGGAATGTCCGCACAGGTGTCTTTCGCGAAATCGATGCCTTCCTGCTCTTGCGCTGCGGGAGGTCGGAGGGATCGGGGAGATATGGCTTCAAAAGAGCCTCGCGTTCTGTAGCGCTGAGGCGTCTGCGATTGCGGAAGTCTTCTCTGAAGACTTCTTGGTCTCGGTGGGAGACCATTGTAGCTGTGTATTTGAATGGTGTGAGGTGGTTCGGAGATGAATTCAGCCAAGAGGTGGAAATGTCAAGCGCCGCGATCGATGATATCAACGATAGTTACTAAACAGAATACAACTCTGCTTTTAACAACAAAATAAACGGTTGTTAACTGAATTAGCTGCACAATAGCTGTTTAAATATCAGCTCAGTTATGAGACAATCTGACTGACAGCATTGCCACAGTACGTCAATGTATCCGGGTACAGTCAGGACATCTGTCAACGGAAATAGAACAGGCATCAATTATACATGCGCGTCCTCAATTACAGCAACTGAATTCGCAGTGAAATATAATATACCCTGGCAATGGCAATGAATAAGATATCCAGAATAAATTAGTATTCTTACTCTGTATTATGTACATTGTTAAATTGTGGAATCCCGTCTCCGGCAGAACACCGCCGCGTGGAATGCCAACTACAATCCAACTCCGATCACAACTCCGAAGTAGAGATGAACAACCACCCACCACCAGGTGGAATCGCTCATTTTTAATCGCATCTTTGCACCACACTCCTATCACGTCCCCATGCTGGCAGGTGACTGCCATCAACCACCAAAATGCCGGACAATGCGTCCATAAACTCCTCCAACCCCGCGTCCCGCTCCGTCTTTCCCAAAGGCCCCAGTTTCACCCTCGAAGACTTTTCGAACCGCGACTTCATCGTCAAGGAATTTATCGAGTCCCTCTCTGACAGCGCAATCTCCAACCGCCGCTCAACCATCGGATCCGCCAGCGGAAACCAACCATTCGATCCCAAACCGCTCATTCGAACGTTTGAAAATGCGCAACGGCGACTGGGCGAGTTATCCGGTGATCTCGAGATCAAAGAAAATGAACTTTCAGCAGCAGCTCGACGAGCAGAAGCACAACATGCGCAAAATGTCAGCTCCCTTGGACGGAAACTAAAGCAGACGATCGACTCGTTCCAGCAACTGGACACGTCGCTGAATGGAGCAGGTCTCCCTAGTAGCGAGGCGACAGGTGGAACGGGGAATATGGCTGTTGAAACGGGAAGACGGTTGGAAGAGCTCGACCGGCAAAGACGTCGGGCGCTGGATGCGCATTTTTTGCTCGAGTGCTGGGATGGGGTTTGCAATCGGGGAGATCTCACGTTGTTGGAGAACCTACGGAGGTCGGGTAGTGGCGAGGCCAAGGTGCGCTCAGCTCATATTGCACGGCAATTACTGCGGATTAGCCAGAGGCTTGATCCTAAGAGTTGGGATGAATCTGGCGGGAAGACCAATGGTGCGTTCGATAGCTCCTCGTCTCTGAATGAGGATGCGGATAGCGGTAGCAAGCGAAACACAAGGGAAATCATCGAGAAGTTTTCGGAGACTCTGGAGAAGGACCTGTTGAAGCAGTTTGACGATTTCTACCGGAAAGCCAACTTCGAAGGGATGAAGGATTGTGCAACAGTTCTTCAGGACTTCAATGGAGGTTCAAGTGTAATCGCTTTGTTCGTCAACCAGCATCAGTTCTTCATCGACCGGAGTCAATTGGTCACAGAGGAAGTGGGTGTCGACCCAGAGTCGTGGGAGAAACTGGCCGACCCGGATGCTGAACCTCTAAAAGTTGAACCCAGTCTCCAATCGCTGATTGATGAGGTTAAAGTCGTGGTTCAGGAGGAATCAGCCATCATCAAACGCGCCTTTCCGTACTATGAACAGGTCCTTGGGAAGTTCCTTCAGCGTGTGTTCCAGCAGTCCATCCAGCAGAGACTCGAGTTGGTGCTGGAAAATGCCAGTAGTGTCTCCTCGTTAGCGTTCTTGCGATCTCTGCAGAGCTCACGCAACTACATTGGTTCCCTGGTTGATGATCTGAAATCACATGGGTTGACAGAGCACCCGGATCCGATTTCCTCCCAGATAGCACTGGTTCTGGACCAGCAATTAGAGGACCTGTTCATCCCCTACTTCGCTGGGTCCTCCTATATTGAACGCGAGAAGAAGAATTTGGAAGAACTATACACATCTTTACTGTTCAAGTTTACGACTTTCCACGCCCGAAGGAAGAAGGCTGCATCGACGTTCATGGCGTCTCTGGCCAAGTCTGGGACCGAATTCCTCTCGTCTGCTAGAGATGCTTATATCAATCGCCTTGAATCGTCCGAATACTCGCCAACGCAGAGAAGAATGTTACTACAGCTGGCCGGTCTACGAGAATCCAGTGATTCTCAACGCCCGAGTGAAATCAAGCTAACCGAAGAAGACGGTCTTCTGAGTCTATCTGATGCAAAGCGCATGCTCAAGTGGCTCGCAGAGGCTGTCGGTCGTGGACTGGAATTGAGTGTGAACAACGAGACATCCAGGGACGTCTCCGCGCTCTTGAACCTGCTGCTCTCGATGATGGGAGAGGGGTACATTGAAGTCTGCCTCGATGCTGCTCTTGACGCCGCGACATCGCAGGAAACGGCCAAGAATGAGCCAGACTTTGCATACTTGCCTGGTGTTCGGAGCACCATCGGCGTCACGAACCTGATGGTGATGTGCATTAACACGGTGCTCATCCCGCTTGCGGCGGGCAACATCACGGCACGAAGAGAGATGGAAAAGAAAACCAACCTGACGACGATGCGTATTGAAGAAAAAATCAATACGATGGAACAGAAAACCATCGACGCAGTCTTGACGTGGGTGGGCAAGCTTCTATCGGGTCAGAAGAAGAATGATTTCAGACCCAAGGAAGGAGACAGTGCGGCCTGGATGGAGAAGCTGCAGACACCGGTAAGTCATCTTTCCCGTGAAATTCCTTACAGTGTATTAATGTGACTAGACATGTGCATCGATCTGTACCTTCTTAACCCGCGTGCACAACCTCGCCCTATCCTCACTCCCATCCAGCGGCCCCAACGTCCGCCAACTACTAACAGAAATCGCCTTCGGAGCCCGTAATCTCCTCCTAGAGCACTTCAAGCGCTTCGTCGTCAACGGCACCGGAGGCCTCATGGTAACCAAAGACATGACCCAGTACACAGACCTCCTGAAATCATGGGACATCGACGAACAAGTCAAAGCACCCGGGGGCGCCCTGGACGTCCTCCTCGAAGTCGGCAGTCTCTTCGTTATCGGATTCGAGGCTCTCCGCGAACGTATTCGTGGCGGCGCCAACGGAGGATCCGGTAACAATGCTGGTGCGCGGTCCGGACGGGGCGCTGGGGGTGGGACGACGCAAGTTGGAGCTGGGGCAGGGCTTAATGTACAAGAAGTGCGGGCATATGTGTCGAGGAGGGAGGATTCGAATACGGCCGCGATGCAAAATGTGCTTAATGTTTTGTGATCGGTTCTTGTTCTTTTTGTATATCAAGAATGGTACTTGGGAGGTTGTGTTGAAGGATATATATACCCTAATACACATTAGGTCTTGCCGCGACTATTTTGTATTTATCGAGTAAAGAGTCAAGAAACAAGCTATGTGGACATCTTAGTAAACGAAGTGTGCTAGGCACATCTTAGTAAACGAAGTGTGCTAGGCACATCTTTGTTCTCGATAATAAGCCGCCAACATAGTCCTAACCCCCAAACTGATCTGACTTCTGATACAGCTACACGACCGTGCAAGCAAATAGGAACAAAAATAACAGTGATATTGATACCGGGAATGGAAACTGGCAAACGGAGTAACCAGAGTAGTTTTAAGGTCCCCTACATCTTCTGTATCTCACGACCAATAACGAACTTCAAGGAGTTGCTGGTACAATGCGGAGAAGATGCTTCATTTTATCGACCCAGATGACTCCCAGGCCATACTGCTGCTGTGCAAGGTGGCCACTTGTGCCGAGTTACGGCCCAGTGACTGCTGGCCCTTTTTGCATTAGATATCTCGTCTTATTCATGTCGAAATGAATGTAAGATTACTCGCCTTGGTCAATCAAGTCTCTGGCAATGAATGGGCCCATGTTCATTTTGTCAGCTTCGCCCGTCTGGTCTTGAAGATCGTTCAGCCTTCCGACGTACTCCGTGATCATTTATTAGGTTTTTGGTTCGGATGAAGAGCTATATTATATCCAAGAAAATCAGCAATTACCTTTGAAATGCTGGAGCTAGTAGAGAATAGAACTCCACATCCTGGTCTTGATCCTGACATTGTATGTCCTTATCCATGAAAATTCCGGGATTCTTGTCTTCGCGCTGTACCATTGCGGAACATAGTGGGATTGACCATCACAATGAAAGTAGAGTGTGTTGTTGTGGATATAGGACTCACAAGAAATCCCTACAACCCGTGTATCCGCTCATGGCGCTCGACTCGGATTAACAACATTTTGTTCGTCGCAACTTATGGTGGAAAGTCATCCAGTGTCACATTTGGTGTGTCTGGTAGTTGGACGTTTTGATGTTGTAATTGATAGCTCGAACTTGAAATTGGTTTGCGACAGTGTTAGTCGACTCCGGTCCACTTGGCCTGATGCTCAACAGGACACACATGGTAAAGGGTGCTGAGAGATACTCCATAAAGAGTTTACCGAACCCCGACTCAGCTCACATGAACATCATCACATCGCATGATAGTGTGCAACTTGTCCCATTGAGCAAGGGGCATTTGCTTCGGCTAGGGGTGAGCAATTGGATGAGTTGGAGAGCTCGAGGAGGACAGAGCTGACAGAGAAAATAAAGAGGGGTGGCTAACCCAACTGTACGGGCTGTTTCCATTAGGTGAATAGGTGCGGATTTCTTTTGCCCTAGCTTCCAAATCCGCAGTGGAGGCGACTCTCTCCAAGTGCAACTTCCGCACATGCATATCCAGAATATGACGGCATACTCGCTCCAAACAAAAAGCTTTTCAGATACTAGAGGTAGCAGCACGAAACGGATAGATTGCAACTATATCAGTATTGGAGTATCACCAATCGCCAAGAGTAGTCATAATGGGTGGCTTCGCCACCACCAGAGAAGCTTTGGACTCGCGAAAGACGAATGAGCATTTATCAGTGGCTTAGACGTTGGTTCCAAGGTGCAGTTGGCATCCATGAGTCTAGCCCTAGAATTTCCATGGTACTTCAGTCTGCCCCATTATGCATGTTCCCAGGAAAGCGAGTAGGTAGGATGTAGGATCCATCAATACCTCAAATAGGGTCTCTTGCTCTTCCTTTTCGGATGTATGTTGGCACTTGATATCCCCAAAAAGACTCAATATTTATTGCGCCGTATCGTTCGGCCTCCCACATTGGCTGCATTCTGTTGAGTCAGTGTGCTGCCCAACCTTCAACTAGTTCAAGCCTGGCTAAGAGAAGGCTCAAAGTCCGTTGTAGTGTGTTTCATCAGGTTGGCGTCTGGTAGAGCAGACTAGGAAAATAGACCAATGGACCAAAAAGGCACCGCGACGATGTTGGGGGATTGAGTACGTCGACGTTAAATGGCTTTTCTCCTCGGAATGAAGCCCTATCTCCATTCAGTGAATATCCTTTTGGAGCCTTCTATGAAAATCCGCAAATTGCATTCACTTAGATACGTGTCAACGTATAATCGAACATACTATGATATTACTCTTACTATAGTCCACTCAATGAAACACCCAACATCCATGACCCTGAAGTAACTCGCTCAGGGGCTCCTTCAAGTGAAACAACGACTCAATAGTCGCGATAGCCAGTTTTTTGAGTCAGTCAGTCTCCAAATACCACGAATGAAACGAACTCCAGTTACTGCACAGGGGTTTCATAGGGCTATGGCCGGAAAAGGTAAACAGAACGCAACGGTCACGGTGGCTTTCTGGAACTGTTGGGATTAGGTTGTTACAGGATGGAGATCGGTTTCAGATTAAATCTGCGATGCTCGTTTATGAGATTGTATTATGGAGTGTCATATGCCATGGGTGTTTTTTATTGGAAAACGGTCGTAATAAGACATGCATAAGTGGCGATCTTATAGGACCAAACATCGGGAAACGATGCATGAACCCTGCAAACGGCTGCATATGCGTGTTCAAGTAAATTTGCGTATACCGTATGCCGTATTCTTTATCTTAACTTCAACAGAGAATCCAAGATCGGTTGGACATTATTACTCCATGGGGTAAGATCGGTTGCTATTTCGGAAACCACATGGAAAGCACCAGAGCGGTATCGACCGATCTCGCTAGGATAGACTATGAGTGATCACTGGACTGGATCGGTTTTCCAACCGAGGTCTCGGCATTTCGTACTCGGCAGTATGTACCGTGGAACGTTGGTCGTTGTACGAGACACAAGGACTTGTAATGTACTACTTCCACTGTACAGAGAACGGAGTACAAGTATAATCGATGAGACATTCGGTGTACAAGAACTATTGTTTCAAAGTCGCATACAATTCCATGTTCAACGGTGAACAACTACAGGGTACCGGAAGCTAAGTACCAAGGCAACGGCAACTGACAGCTCAGAAATTCTCACTTAGCGGTCGATGCTCGCGTGCAGAGAATATCATGTGGCGGTCAGGGGTGCTAGACCGGAGTACATTATAACACAGGAGCTATTGGTTGGGATTGAAAATTTGGGGTATCACACAGGTTAGTAAACTAAATCAAGCGGTTCCGTAGATCTTCACGGTGTTCTCCGTTGTTGGCCTCATGATTTGAGAATACGAAAGCCAATCATGAGAGTTTTCCTCGCAGTCTACTGCCCAGAACAGCAAGAACCAGATAGGATCAGGCAGGATCAGGCGCCGAGGAAATGAACCGTCACCGCAAAAAGTGAGAACCTTCATCCCCACTAGTAGGCGATGATTGGACGCTGGCCACGTTGTGGTGACTTGGCCCCTTGCAGAGAGTCTAGCCTCTTTTCGAAAGGTGTCTCATCCTGAAACTCTGCCTTGTCTGGTAATTTCGAGTTTGTACGAGGGGAAAACGCACTCGGCAAGGTACTCTGTAGTGAAACCAGCGATTCGCAGTATCTGTACTCTGTACAGCGTAGATGTACGGAATACTCTTAAGCGCCGCGGAAATCTGTGACGAAAGTTTCTGCCCGACCGTAAAAAAAAAAGGAACCACTTCTGCAGTTCATCACAACCGCGGTCACATTGTGTGTGGTATTCTTATCTCATTATGGAGTCCGTGAGCTGTCATTCCCCTCCGCGATTCGCCCACCCAGAATAACACCAAACAGTGACCAAACAGGTTCCTGATCTAAAGTAGTCGATGATGAAGCCATAGTAGATAAACTCATAGATAGCGCATGTCCTCTTTCAAATCCCATGAGGCGCCCTTGGCTTCTCTAATGTGGTGTTAAACATCAATATCACCGCGCGAGGTGACATCTCATCAAAGAAGATCCTGGGATGCACATGGTCTATCCCACGCACTGCAGCGTATTGGAGTCCTACTATATGTAAGTGCTCTTGCATTCGGCGCGAGTGTACTCTGTACAAATGCTGTGTTATTTCTTCATCTGGGTCAGGCGCATTCGAGGCGTCCAACGTGGCTGATTTTATCCCAATCCATCAGAGACAGTCCAATTTACGGTGAACAACAGTACAGCCACGAGGGAATTACCATCACAAAACGGACCGGTCATATATATGTATGCAGGCTCTCTGCATTTGCAACCTGACGGCTCCTTTTCTCTCTTTTCCTCTCCTTATAAGCTACGGAGTACAGACAGTTGAACATTGATTCCTCGACTATTGACACTGGCACGGAGCGAGTTTATACCGAGTATCTGGCCAAGTACACACAGCGACAGAGTACACCATGATGATGTTCACCGAAGAAGAGTACGAATCTCTTCCTCCAGCATTACAGAGAAAGGTTAGTACAAGGTATCTCGTCGTTGCTTTATCAATTGCCCAATTTCAAACCCTCGATTCCCGAACGTCTCCGCGTGGATACCGTGATATACCCGGGTATCCATACTGGAAATGAACCCAGACTATTTCTTTATGTACCGCGATTTGTCAAATCACTCTCTTTGTCTGTGCCGGCATTGTCTCCTGAGCATCGCCGCCATTGGCAGATCATGGCCCGATGGTGGACCACGCTATCGCTTCACGGTTTCCCCTTTGGGAGGGTCACGCATCGGTTGACGGCGCGTCGTTCTATATTGCTTCTTCCCCTGAGTGCCCAGGGCGTGAACAGGCCCACGTCCACGCTCAACCAGCACTATCACCCCAATAAAGCATACTTTGGAGAACCTACACGTACTAGACAAAGTATGATTGCTAACACACGGACCGCTTGTTCCTTTTGCAGTTCTTCTCGAATACCGAACGCCTACGCATGCGTCTAGCCCACAGCGATCCCAGCTCAACTGCCAATGGTGGACCTGACTATCCCGCATCGGCTCTTGCCAGTGCGCTGCCCCGGCGCCTCCACTTTCAGAATCTCCGGCGTCGGCCTAATCATACTACTACTGCTGCTACTCCTGCTAGTGCCACTGCTGGTTCAGCTGTGAGAAGGAGGGCTTCTGCCAATAACAACAAGAAGAAGCGGTCTCGTCGTCTCAATACATTCTCCTCTCACGATTCCTACAATTCCTCGGTCACCGCTTCCTCTCTCCTCCCTCCTTCCTCAGCTCAGAAGCCTCAGCTCAGCTCCTTGCAATTGGCCTATCTCTCCGCCCAGGTCGACTCGCAGTGCTTTCAATCGTTACCCCCCAAGGTCCAACAGAAGTTCTTTTCGCCAGACGAGCGCGCCTATCTTCGTCAAGTGTACCGCGACAGTGTGATTCTTGACTCGGCCGACCAAGCTGTCTATCGATTGGAACAGAAGAAGAAACAAACGCATCCTTCTTGTGAAAGTTTACCGTCCGACACGACCACCACCGACCTCTCCCAAACCTCTACCCTTTATATCGAGTCGTCCGATTCCGGCTGGGACACGGAAGGAGAGCCCGACGACGAGATGGACAACTCGATCAACGACAGTTTCCGTTGGCTCGATGGAGATGGCGACCTCGACCTAAGACTGGATGATTATCACGCCCATGTTGCCAACGCCAATCCCGTTCCCAAGCAGCCGCCGCGGAGGAAGCCTTCCTTCCGGCGCACAATGTCCTTCTCCGCGAACCGCCAGGCTCGTAAAGCTGCTTCGTCCATCTCTAACTGTGCGGTCCCCGGTTCGAGCCAGTCTTCCACGGTCCCCTCGTCCCTGGCCAATATCGTTGGTCGCACTTCGACCTCCCGGCCGCCATCCGGTTATCAACGACCGACCATGCACGCCCCTCGTTCATCCACTTCAAGCATCGACCCCGCCGCACAATATTACCAAGACCCTGAAGCCCGCCTCAAGCTACGGGTCTACCTAGCCTCGCCGCAGAAATTCGACGAAGCCATCGAGTTCGGATTCCCGGCCTTGAACGACGGTAAAAACGATAATACCCTCTCAGAACGTCCGGAAAGGGTTTCGGAGGGTCTTGCCTCACCAAAGGTGCAGAAGTTAACCGGCACGTTTTTCGAGGATGCGAATGGAGCAGTTCACGGTCACCGTTGTTCGACTGACAAGAATCGGCGGAAATCGTCCCGGTTGTCGACCGTTGCGAGAGTACCTCAGAACCTAAAGAATCCGCCAAACAAACGTCAAACATGCACAGCTGCGCCTCCACCAGCCCTCCGACGGGTACCCGGGAACCGGGAAATGACGCTGAAGATGACCTTGACCAGGCCCGATCTTCGCGAGCAATCATCTCCATCAGTATCTCCCACCTCAGCAGAAGATCCGCTGAAACCAGAAGAGCTGCCTCCGGTCGCTGATAGCTATCCTGACATCTGGGATGAGTCTGATTCGGAGCAACAAAACGTCATGAAAAAGATGTGGCGCAGGCTTCGGAAACCAAAGTACTAGCCATCTTCCGTCTCATTCCTTTCTTTGTTTCGTTTCGTTTTATTTGAATACCCTCGGATGTGTATGTTTGGCCGGTGTTCACGGTGTTATTCGTCTATTTCTCTCTTGTATTGATACCTATTTGTACGGTTTTTGATGTTAGCGACTCGGACACTTCACCTTTTCCTTTTTTTTTTTTTTTTTTTTTTTTTTTTTTTTTTGCATTTCTTCTGGCCACGGGAATATTTGCTATGTATTCCGCGTTTTATCGATAGAGAATCGAACAATCTGTATATAGGACTTAACATGAATAGTATATAAGCACTTATGAAGACTCCTGTTTTTAATTATATTAATGCACTGGCCATTCCCCGGAATGCTCGATAATCATGCACGTGACTTGAGATGCCGCTGGAGGCCAGCTGTGAGCTCCAGGCGCCAACAACTTGTCCTGACACGCGTTGCCATTTCGACTGTACTGTATCTTTCGTCCTTTAGTTCAATTTTTGCAATATACTTCCCTTGATTATATATTGAAAGACACCTCTCCCACTTACTCGACGAACCGGATCGATCCGTTGCATTACGTAGCTGCGGACTCGCGCATAGACCTCCCTCGTTTGCGTGCATCCGCTTCAAATGGTCAATTCTAGCTCACGGTCATGATCCCTCGGTGGCTGCTCGTCGTGAGCTGCCTGTTATGGGCGCTTATTTGGCAGCCGGTTGCTGCGAAAAAGGACAACGGGCCCACGATCACGGCGACCGAGCTCGAACATGAGCCCGTCGGCTTGTTCTACTTTGAAGACACGGATACAATTCTGTTCCAGGATGTCGAGACTGGTGATCTCCTGCGGTCGTTTGATGGAGGCGAGAAATTTGATTTGGTAGAGGGGGAGAATGGAGATATGAAGGGTCAACTGCTTACGATCTGGCCGCATCCGTTTGATACCAATAAGGCATATGTCTTTGGGAAGGCGGGCAAGCATTGGGTTACGACAGATCAGGGGAAGACGTTTGATTCGTTTGAGGTGGAGATGCCGCCAGCGATTATGCCGTTGGCTTTTCATGGATGGGATTCGAAGAAGGTGATTTTCCATGGGGAGGTGTGTTTTGGATTTATGTGTGCCAATCGCGCGTATTATACTACAGATGATTTCAAGACGATTAAGCCGCTGCGCGACGGGATTGTTAGTTGTGCGTGGGCGGTTGGCGATCCGCAGTTCGCTGCTGATTTAGATATTGCGGGGGAGATTGAGGACCGCATTCTTTGCGTTGTTCCTGGATTGAAGATCTCGCTAAACTCTGCGAATCGTCTTGTGTACTCAGATGATTACTTCAAGAGCAGTGAGGATGGTGCCGAGGTGAAGCTGCAGCATGGCCGGCCGGTCAGCGGTGTTATCAGCACGGCGGCAGTTAAGAAGTATCTTGTGGCTGCTGCGCAGTCGCAAGGTACGGATGAGCATGCCCTGTTTGTTTCTGATGACTCTATCACCTGGCACCGCGCAGAATTTGGAAACCATCGATTGGAGGAGGACGCTTACACCATTCTGGAGAGCACGAACTACAGCATCCAAGTAGGCGTCTTGACTAGCAGTCGATCGAATGGCATGGGCACCTTGTTCACTTCCAACTCCAACGGTACTTATTTCACCAACAACATTGAGCACGTCAACCGCAACCCCTATGGATTTATGGATTTCGAGAAGATCGCCAATATCCAAGGCATCGTGCTTGTCAACACGGTCAAAAATCCCAAGGAGGTTGAGGATGGAAAGAAGAAGAAGATTGTCAGCGAGATCAGTTTCGATGATGGTAGAAGCTTCCAATCCCTCAAGCTTAGTGACGAAAAGCTGCATCTTCACTCCGTGACTGCTTTTGCCAACATGGGTCGCGTGTTCTCCAGCCCAGCGCCGGGCATAGTCATGGGAGTCGGCAATACGGGCGACCATCTCAAGGACTACTCCGAGGGCAACCTGTACGTGTCCGATGATGCTGGTGTCACTTGGCGACTTGCCCGTAAGGGCCCGCACAAGTACGAGTTTGGCGACCAGGGTGCTGTTATCATGGCCATCCGTGATGACGAAAAAACGGACGAAATCTGGTACTCCATCGACCATGGCAAAGACTGGGAATCCGCCAAGCTCAAGCACAAGATTTACCCCCGAATCCTCACCACCACGCCGGACTCGACTAGCTTGAAGTTTCTGCTGGTTGGCAGTAGCTCAGAAAGCAGCGAGGACGGGACACACATCATCTACTCGATCGACTACAACGGCTTGCATGAGCGGAAATGCGGAAAGGATGATTTTGAAACGTGGCCGGCTCGCCTGGATGAAAAGAGGGAAGCCGACTGTTTGATGGGTCACAAGCAGTACTTCAAGCGCCGAAAGGCCAACGCTGACTGCTTCGTGGATGAAGAGTTCAAGGACCCCGAGCCGATCTTCAAACCGTGCAAGTGTACCGCCGAGGACTTTGAATGTGACTTCAACTTTGTGCGCAGCGAGGATCGGAAGAGCTGTAAGCCGGCTGTCTCGTTGACTCCTCCGAAGGGAGAGTGTCAGAAGCCGGATGATACGTACAAGGGCCCGTCTGGCTGGAGATTGATCCCGGGTAACACCTGTATCCGTGATGGCGGTGAGAATTTGGATGCCGACATCGAACGATCATGCGACGATGCGAAAAGTGCACCCGCATACGGCTCGATTGCGGTGACAAAGCAGACGTTCGACTCCAGGCAACTCAGTGAACACTACTATCTGGAACGCCAGTCGAGTAGCTCCCAACATGACGAGACTATCATCATGATTACGGAGAAGCATGTTCTTCACATATCTCACGACCACGGCAAGAACTGGAAGCAGCCTCTCAAGGGAGAGAAGGTTGTGGAAATCATTCCTCATCCGTACTACACCGATGTTGCCTACTTCCTGACTGAAGGTACAAAGTCGTTTTACACCGATGACCGCAGAAATGTCAAGAGTTTCAAGACGCCCACCGAACGGCGTTCGTCTGGAAACCCTCTCGCGTTTCATCCACAGAATAAAGGATGGCTTATCTGGATCGGCCCGCCGCACTGTACCACCAAGGATTGCCATAGCGATGCTTACTTCACGACGGATTCCGGGACAACCTGGAAGCCTTTGCTAGAGTATACGAATAAGTGTATGTTCGTTGGCGACAGGAGCGACGGCAAACGTCAAGACGAGGAAACCAGAAAAAAGAACGAGAACTTGATCCTTTGTGAGCAATACGAGAACGAGGACCATGACAGCAAGCGCCAATTGGTTTATAGTGATGATTTCTTCGCTGCCCACAAGGACGTCCAAGCTAAGAACGTGGTTGGCTTCGCCGCCATGTATGAATATATCATCGTGGCTACCGATGATCCTGAACACGCCGGCTCGCTCAAGGCCAGTGTCAGCATTGACGGGAGGACTTTTGCCGAAGTCGAATTCCCCGTGAATCTCAACATCCTCATTCAATCAGCGTATACCATTGTGGACAGTGCGACGCATGCCGTGTTCTTGCACGTTACTAGGAATGAAAATAAAGGTGCGGAATACGGCTCGCTCATCAAGAGTAACAGCAACGGCACCTCGTATGTTCTCAGTCTACCTAGGGTGAACCGGAATAGTCAGGGCTACATTGATTTCGAGAAGATGCAGGGCCTTGAGGGCGTGGCTGTTGCCAATGTGGTCGAAAACGTCCATGAAGTCGTCAAGAAGGGCGAGAGCAAGAAACTCAAGACGATGATCACGCATAACGACGGGGCTCAGTGGACTTTGCTGTCGCCTCCTTCGCGGGATGCCGATAACAACAAGTTTGGCTGTTCGGTTAAAGAAGGAAGGGGTACGGATGACTGCGCGCTGCATCTGCATGGATACACTGAACGCAAAGATCCTGAGGATACCTTCGCGTCCGGCTCAGCCATTGGTTTGATGATGGGTGTTGGTAACGTGGGCGATTCTCTAGGAAGAGCCGACAATGCGGACACGTTCCTCACGCGGGACGGTGGTATCACCTGGAAATCCGTCAAGAAGGGAAGATATCATTACGAATACGGCGATGCCGGCTCGGTGATTGTAATCGTATCCGATCACAAGCCGACAAAGGTTCTCTACTACACTCTCGACGAGGGCGATACCTGGGAGGAATTCCAGTTCTCGGAAACAGAGGTGCTGGTGGATGACATCACGACTCTCCCGTCAGATACCTCGAAGAACTTCCTTCTCTGGGTCCGAGAGACGGGCAAGGACAAGTTCGCTACGGTCAACGTGGACTTTAGCGGTCTTCGTGAAAAGGGGTGCCATCTTGACGAGCTTGAGAAGGAGGGCCACAGTGATGACTATTATCTCTGGGAGCCTACGCATCCTTTGCAAGCGGACAACTGTTTGTTCGGTCATACTGAGCAGTATCATCGCAAGAAGATTTCGGCGGATTGTTGGAACAATTGGCGTGAACCTCATGTTCACAGTATCGGACGGAATTGCACCTGTACTCGGGCTGACTATGAATGGTGAGTATCTTACATCTACACCGACGAAGCCATACTAACAATGCAGTGACTACAACTACGAACCCCAAAGCGACGGAAGCTGCAAACTCGTCCCTGGCCTCCCCGAACCCGACGCCCTAGCCGTCTGCAGAGACGACCCCGACGAAATCGAATACTGGGAACCAACCGGCTACCGCCGCATCCCTCTAACAACCTGCCAAGGTGGCCTCAACCTGGACCACCACGTCTCCAAGCCCTGCCCCAGCAAGGAAAAAGAATACGAAGAGAAACACGGCGTCTCCGGCACCGCGCTCTTCTTCGCTATCACCATTCCCATCGCTCTCGCTTGTGCTGCAGGCTACTATGTCTACACCAGGTGGGATGGCAAGTTCGGACAGATCCGTCTGGGCGAAGGAGTCGGTGGGACTGAAGGGTGGTTGTCACGGGACTCGCCGGTGGTTACGGTGCCAATTGCGTTGATCGCGGGGGTTGTGGCGATTGCGAAGGCGTTACCGTTGCTTGTGTCGAGTCTCTGGCGGAGTGTGAGTGGATATGTGCGTATTGGTCGGGGGAGTGGAAGACCATATGCGTCGCGGGGGTCGTTTGCTGCGAGGAGAGGTGACTACGCGCATGTTGTTGATGACGAGGATGAGTTGCTGGGTGTGGATGAGGCAGAGGATGAGGAGGATGAAGCTTAGTTGCTTTGCGATGATTTTATGTTATTTACGAGCGTGTCATGTTTTTTGTTCTACTCCGCGGTACATTTCTGAATCTGTACGCGCAACCAGGTTGGTTGGTTTGCTATTGCTGCCGGGTAGGTAGCGGGCAAAAATAGATATAGTGGGGGAATTTACTGAATCAAACCGGTTGACTAGCTTTATTTAGCCATACTCTATTCTAGTATGTACAAACATCTGGATGAAGTAGAGGGATTTATCAACTAACCGAAATTGAATGTTTACAGTGAGTTCTGGAAAACTTCGTACCGTAGATCAGACAATCCGAAAAATCACGCATCATGATCGACTGGCATTCGTCAAGTATATCTCGGATCGACAGTAACCAGAGTTGTATGTAGATCATGGTGTACATTTTCCAATTCAGGTATGATGCTTCTACTATACTGTAGTACTTTGTGAAGACAAAGATAGTGATTATAAACGATATGTAACATTTCATATATAGGAATAGGCAGAAAACAGCGAATCCCACATAAACTCACGTGTACTACCCTACTACATACCACACCACAACGCCTAATCAAATTTCGCATACCCCGTTACATCACATTACCTCAAATCATCCGGTCCAAACGAATTCGGAAGAAGCTGAGCATGAAAGTAAGCTGCTGTCTTGTACCGCATCTCATAATCCAAGTGGTGGGGGAAATACCTCTCCCATAGTCTTCACAATATGTCCTCCCTGCCCATCATACATGTAGATCGGGACCGATGGCGTAAGAAACTCGCGCATGCTAGTGTAATCGAGTAGATTTTATTTGTTAGTCGGGTATAAACTTGCATAGGCGATGGTGTTCTGGAAGAGTGGGATGTCATGGGGATATGGATCCGCGAAAAAGCAACAACACCATTCAACGAAACAATCCGTCGACAAGAAACAAATTGGTAATAACATGATTCTCGTTGGATAAGAAAGTAAGGAAATACAAGAAAAGAAACTCACAATTGTCTACACATGCCACACGGCGACGCCCCCGGTGTGATATCCGAGGCCACGGCAACAGCCTTGAACTCTTTATGTCCGTTCACCTATCACCCCAATAAGCAATTTGTCCCACATAGGTGATAAGCAGACTTACGACAGCAGTTCCAAATGCTACCCTCTCCGCGCAGGTGCCCACGGGAAACGAGACATTCTCGACATTGGCGCCGATGATATATTCGCCGGTGTGAGTGAGAAGGCTTGCTCCGACGCGGAATTTGGAGTATGGACCTGTTGTCGGTTATTTATGATGTAGTGAGAGATGGGGTTATGGTTCTGTGTATCGTTGGTCGTCTTGTGACTTACAGTATGCGGTGGATTTGGCCGAAATGGCTTTGCTGGAGAGGATTTCTAATTCTTGAGTGGTGACAGTATTAGCCATGTTTGTTTTTACAGTGGTGGTTCGTAGAATGTTGAGATTTGGGTTCGAAAAAGGAGGTTAAGTTGACAAGTGGTTATATATCTGTATCTTATCTGACAACACATTTCCCCGCGTTTGACATGACCGTATATTAATGCCACATTCTATCTACAAACACCGATCTCCCAAGCTCCCAAGGCAAACAAAGATTCCAATTATATGCATGTATGACCAAGTACCCGTCTATGCTTTTCTGCACTCGTACTCCGCACCAATACCAGATTGGCCAGCTATAAAACAAATATCAAAATAGGTATCATAAACAAGAAAATATAGAGCAGAAAGAAAAATACATAGGAAAGATATAGGCAGGCGGAAAGGTCATGAAATGAAACCTCGCAGAGCTTCATAAACGGAGAAAATAAAGGCTGAACTGGGGGCTGAACGCGCGCAGGTTATCCCGCAGCCCCGGTACAGAGATCTTAGACCCTGTTGCTGCCACATAGTCTTGCCGACACTCAAGAAAGTCTGCCTTCCACCGTGCCCGGGCCGGATGACATCTTCAGTTTGCATCCGCGATTTGATGGTGTCGGCTGGGTAGAATAGGAAGTTGTAGCTGATGCCGCCTGCTGCTCCTGCAACCATTTGTTGATATATCGGTATGGTCACCGGATCTGATGTATTTTGCCTCTTCGATGCGGCGCGCATCCTGAAAAGCCCTGAAACTCCCTCGTATCCTCCAAACCAGGCAGCGCCTCCTCCTGTTTCACGGATAAACGTGCCTAGCTGGCCTCGCCAGAATCCTAATATTCCATCGTGACGGAAAATAGATGTTATAATAGATAATGTACCTGGGGCCGCACGAGCGGCGCCGTTAACAGGGACCTGCATCTTGCATTTGACGAGTTCAATCGGAGTAAGCGCAATCGACGTGATCGACCCGGATGCTGCACCGCTGACTAGAAGCGCGGAGAAAGGCAGATCTTCGGTTGTCGAGGAATACCAGGTCGACCTCAGAATGTCTTGGAACATACGGTAACTGAAAAAAAGACAGCTATTCTCGACCGCAGCTCCTAGTAAAGGGGCATTAATGCCTCTGTACAGTCCCCGAATCCCATCTGCTCGGATCGATTGGCGGAAACAATCCAATGGCCCTGTATACCGGAGGGGTAGATGATCTGGTTGCGATTGCAGCCGGACTTTCACGGTGTCGAAAGGGTATTCAATGACCTTGCCGGCCATTCCTGCAGCCTAATAGACAGTAAGTACCAGACGCTCTCAATTGGTATCTTGGAATGACTCACCGATCCGCAAAAGACATCCTTCAAGGCCTCGAGTGCCTGATTCGGAGGAAGTAGGGGAAGCTCCATGGACCTTTCATCGTGAATGGTTACCGCGTGTTCTGCAGCCGCCATTGGCGTAGATATAGATGGGAAACGAGCACTGAAGAGCTCCGGAAGCACGGGTTGGAAGATTGGGGGAGGGGGAAGGAAAGGAGTTTTTTCTTCCTATCGGTAGAGCATCGTACAAATTTCTGAGGGCAACGCCAAGGGCGAAGGACGGGAGACGAAGAGTATTTAAGGACTCTTTTTTAATCAATCGTAAGCGGGGCGGAGTATTTCGAGCGAGGGATTTAATCTGATGAATCCGATCCACGCGCCGGAAAAAAAAAAAAGAATGGTACTCTGTAATACGGAGTAATATAATAAGTTTGTAAATGAGGACGAGACCAGTTGTTGCGCGTGGGATGATCCCAATAATAAACCGGTGTCAAATATTGCAGTATAGTGGGGATTTTAGGAAGTTCGCCCAGCTTGAGTGGAAGTCATTACTAGTCATTGCCGTTCTGAGAGCGGATGTATGGGCCCGGATTGGTACTTTTGCCGAGATCCGGTTATCTGATCGGTCTAAGATAACTTTTTCCTCGGTTTCTGAGAGGCTCAAAAAAATTTCCATCGCTATTATCCGCCAGGCTCAACATTCCTCGATTGGTATATTTTGATCATGTCGACTGCGACCACAGCTCCCTCCACAGCTCCTGCACCCGTTAAGGGCATGAGGAAAAATGGTACGATATTGGACACCCACGTTCCGTGCTTTTTTATCTTTTCGTTAGCTAATGTTTCTGGGGTACCCGCAGGCAAAAACTGGCACGACGCTAGGAAGCCCTTCCGACCCGCTGCCGGCATGACCTCGTTTGCGAAAAGACAGGAACTACGTAAACAGCATGAAGCCATCAAGGAACACGAAAAGGAGTTGAAAGAAGAAAAGGAGGCAGAGCGTCAGGTGAGCATACTGCTAAGTGGTGACCGTCTGGATGCTAATAATGGATAACAGGCCCATATTCAAAGGATCAAGGAACGCAGAGCCGCAAAGGAGGAAAAGGAACGATACGACAAGATGGCAGAGAAGATGCACCACAAGCGAGTCGAACGTCTCAAGCGGAAAGAGAAGCGCAACAAGTTGCTCAACTCATGATCCCATACTATTGGAGGCACGTCCTTGCATATTGCCCGTCTGTACATTGTGTGATGCCCACCGCGTGTTGCTGCTTATGCGCGTGTCGTACATTTTCGTTTTGTTAGTTTCGATCAATGGCGTTGGGGGATTGGGTCACGACTGCGTTACTTTGCAAAATACCTGCATATAAACATGGATTATCGTTTTATCCTCATTTATTCGAAGCTCTTATCTGAAAATTTGCAGAAAATACTTCATCTCCTTTTTATAAAGATGATAATATACAATATTTAGTTTCGCGGTTCTGAAGATTTGAGTAACGCAACCTATACTCTAATACATGCCTTGCGCTTCCATCTCTAGTCGTATTGACGGATATCTAGAATTCCTTGCGACACAGAAACTCTCGAGAACTCATTCAAAATGCCCTCCCTAAACAGAAAAATGCGCAAGCACTTGGATTTTCTGTGGAACAATCCCCGTGGAAGATGGTGCCAACAGTCAGGCGGGATGGCGGGAATGGTGATAATGCCCTGTATGAGTACAACATCCTCCGGGTTGGCCAGTTTGACTTTGAATGTCTAGGGTCCGAAGACTTATTCAATTCAATGCCGCTTGAAGAGCTTCAGAAGTACCCCGTCAGCCCTTCCTCACTGTACCACTTACGAGAGTACAACTCAGCAAAGCGTGGTAAAATGCACTGGCGAGCCATTGATTGTGCAACTGATATTAAAGTCTACGTGCAAAATGGACCTAGATGGGCTCAAGACCAATGACATATGCCCCCGACATACTAGCCGTTCGCAGCCTCGACTGGCTCGAGTAAGTGGCCTTCCTTTGCAGAATGCGGCAATATTACTGATCATATAAGGGAACACCACCCTTTATTTCTAAGGTGATTAGGATGGCATGGCCAACGTCCACTTACATACAAAAGTTCGGCAAAGCAATATTCATGTAACCTATTTTAGAATTTTTCAAGATAGGCCAGTGTGCCCACATTGCCATAGCCGCTTATTAGCCTTGTGACGGCAAAGAGGATTGGATTCTTTTGGGGGAGTTTGCAATCTTAATCACAACAATGCAAAACCCTGCCAGCCAACTGAAGGTTGAGGCGGAAGATGAAGATGAATAAGAGGTTAAGAGAGAAGAATGAGGAAAACTTCTTGACATATCAGAGGAAGAACTTCTCAATTTGAATTTGAATTCCCAAAAAAAGAAGTGCTTCCCCATACTGCTTCTCTCATATGTTGGACCTCAACATGGTCGACTATTCTATGCTTCACTAAATCACCGCCAACTAGTGATCAGGCAGTCAAAGCTCTATAGCTCTGAGAAGAAGGCGACTGCACCACTTGACTTTTTTCTCGCAGGTGCTTTTGAGCCAACCCATTCAACAATCAACGGCCACACATGAAAGCCTACATAAGAAACATGACCCCCAAGATGATGAGGAATCGCCCTCCTCTAAGGTCAGGAGGGTCAGCGACAAGCAATGTCAGGAATCAAAAGATAACATGGCCGATTAGTACTCGACGAGTCCACCATTCTGTATGGCAATATACAAATTTAGCGAAGTCACCATGAAATACCATATTGCGCTGTATACATTTATAGACATGTTTCCGTCATGCACTCATAATATCTGATATTGGAAACGGGTATGCTCGATAGAGATGCCATAATAGTGATTGGATCTCCCGCAAAGTTGAATGAAGCTATGTTGTATGGTTGATATGGGGCATGTTTTAGCCCTATAATTATCATGAGTTCTAGTTAAAGCCATAACATAACTGGATTCCAAAGTCACATTGAGCAAGTTCATAACATAATATCGACGAAGATGCGAATAAACCCATTCACTTGATCTGATTTATTCGCCCTCAATGACCGTTACCACCGATAGTGAATAAATCTTCCTCTCTCCTCTTCTTTTATTCCATATCTCTCCAGTTATGATCGTTAACCATCTATACTACCCACATTGCACAGAGAATGACTTTCTCATACCCCTCACTACGCCATAATTGGAATGCTACTCCCAATAATGTCAAAATGATAGACAATTTTCTGGAGTTATGTAGAAGCCTGCGATCTGAATCAAAGGTCATCGATAAGAAATACCTGTTCTTTCGGACTTTCGTCAACCCATACTCTAAAGCTAAGTTCAACATTAGGAACCCCAAATATCTCGAAAGAGCCAGAACAGATGGCTGGAATGGAACATTTTGCTAAAGCCCTGTGAGCCAGTTGTGAGCACAGCTCCTAACCTGCGGAAGTATGACAAATACTGCACTGGCCACATGGTATGCGCTTCTGCTTCTGGGAGCTCATCTTTCAAAGAGCAAGAAAAGAGTTGCCCAGTTCTCGCGAATCCGTGTGAGGCCGGATCGCCAGATCTAACCAAGAAGTATGTATCTCTCTATGTATATTACATTCTTCTTGAATCCGGATGGGAAATCTCTACAGGATTGACAAGTTAGCCCGTCCATGAACGACTGAGGTTGTTCGATAAAGTTGATGTGGATTGACACTATAATTCATCGTTTATAGTCCTATTTGTAAATAAGAGATTCATTGACATTTCAACAAGTTGACATCAATGCGGTACTGGGAACGTGGTAATCCTCACATTTACCTTGGGACGTTCAAACAGGCCGCTAAAACCTATCACTGTGGTTGCTGTTGGTTATTTTCCCGAGGTTAATTGCTGACCGCGCAGCACTCAAGCCATTCCTTAGGGAAGTTGACTCCTGGGATGACCTAGAAATCTCAAGACTATATGACGACTTTGACAGCAAGACATGAAAGCGAGCTGGGAATGGAATTTAATTCAGTTGATACAAGCAGACCCAGAGATGCAGGAATATTCATTACTGGTTTATACGCCATCCTGACCATCTCGGATTTCTGTTACCTGCCACTCTCATTGGGTCTTCGATCGCCTGTTAAGAGAGACATGAATGATGTAGGTATTGCAAACATATATAATTCCATAAAAATATCTTCATACATTTGGCCAAAGGACATTATAAGCATCTCTTTACTCCAGAGCAAAACAAAATAGCGACAGCATCTACTTCGGTTCTTGATATTAACAGATAGTGCCAAAGCTTCAAGATCCGTCAGAGTATAGCATACGGGCAGATTCCCGAGAAGTGGCCCTCCGGGGAAAGTTCAAATCTACTGGCAAATCCTTATCGGGAAGGTCAACCTTCCAAGAGAACTGGCCAATGCAAACTGTCAGGCTGAGGGCCTAGCTATGAGGCTTTAATATGAGTTCGCAGATTATGAGAGCATTAGATCTGGTCTTCTCCTAGTACTTCGATTCACCATCGAACCCAACGCTCAAAACCTATTAATGGGAATTAGGTGCCCTGAAACTGCGTGGGGAACTCTCAAGATGTAATGCTGCCCCACGCCTTGGGAAGTTAATACATGTACTTTTTGAGAAACTGATGAACATGGATGCAGAGAAAATGGAAATCAATGTATCTTCTTACAGCGATTTCGAGAGCTTGTGCAGAATCTTAAGACGAAAACCACCATTCCTTCGTGGTTGGGAACGTCCACTTTCCTTCGGGCACTTTCACGCAGTCTCATCCTACAGGCACTGATGAGCCTGGGTTAGCACGTGGAAGGATGTAGGTGCGAGCGAACTTTACCAAGCCTTCCAACAATTCAAAGCAAACCTCTCGCCCTAAGCATCGTGCCGCGGAGAAAAAGAAACCATTGGAAAGCTTCCACCCTCGAAGCATGCACAACACTTCACCTACAGGTCCTGGCCCGAGTGTCCAAGAGATCTCACAGCAAACGAGATGTTTATGGAGCAAATCTGAGTGCAGATGACTTGCATGAGCCGCGCAAGTTCAATTAAAGATGATGAGTCATAAACGAAAACCTGATAGGCATTACCAAGGGTAGCGCCAACAATATTGGCAGAACATCCCCTATGTTCCGGGTTTCCCACCAAAGGCCGAAAAATGGTTGCTTGTTAGTAGACATAAATATAATGACTGTCAGGACGGGATTACAGGCATAACGACATCCTTGAGTACTCAATTATTGCCGAAAAAAAAAAGAAAAGAAAAGAAAAAAGACGTCAAACTATAAAAGGAGGAGGAACTTCTGTGCGTTTATTTGGCTAGCTAATCCTAATCTATCATCGATTTGATGTAGTAATACCATGTTTCCATCGAAGTTTATATACTAACCCCAGATTGAGTTCTAACATCGATAAGGCAGCAGGCTCAAACGAGACTCGACTTTCTTGAACTCAAGTTCATCCCATGAATGAAGTTAAGGCTAGGCTTGCTTCAAAATAAAGGGATGACAGCAGTCACTGCACATCGTCAAAGTCTTTGAAATCGCTTTGTGCTTGAAATCCCCAACATACTGGAACATATTAATTGGCGAAGGTTGTTCTTCACATCATAAACCTGGATCAAATACCTCCTGATCAAGTAAACCAGGGGCTCATTTACGAGTGTCTTCAAGAAGTGGTTACTCAATACAACTTTTACTCGCCGAATGGGACTAACAGAAGACCATTTACGAATTGAAGTGTCTCGGTGTGTTTGAGTTCTTGCATTACACCCTTAATTTTGGCCCTTCTAACCTAAGTGGATCTATAGCAATATTACAGGATTTTTATAGCTAGATCTCAAAGACATCGGCTTTTCCAAATACGCGCGGGACCGGATCAAGAAATATTGGAGGCAATACAAGGCACGTAGCATCTTCATGCTGCCCATGGGCTGAGTTCATGTTATTTGACTTTCTGCTCTCGAGATTCGTTGTACTAGTGGATTATAGTCAGGAAGGAGGGACCCCCAGCGTAACCCAGGATGCAGACCATCATTTTCAGTCTCAATGACAAAAGGCTTTTAGCACATGGGAAGCGAACTGCTTCCCCATTCTGGCAATCTTGCAATCCACAATGGAGTCCGCTGTCCGCGCAGTGCGTGGGATAAACTGCGATTGGCGTACTCCACTAAGCCATGATAACTTACTAGCCAAGAGTACAACAAGTCATTGGGCTTGAGGTACCACTACCCAGGCGACCCTCTGGTGTAGGTCAAAAAATTCTCACAGGCTGTCAGCAATGTTGAAGCTAAAGCGGCCCTAGTGGTACCCGCCATCTTCCTCGAGTCCTTCTCGGGGCATTCCGCTCTACAACCCTTCCTACAGGAAGTGGACTCCTGGGATGACCTCGACATCACCAAGTTGCCCGAGGCCTTCATAAGGCACGAAGACCTTCGCAAGCAGGTGGGCAAGCAATCTACGGAGAAGACCGGCAAACTCACCAGGAGGCGAATGCAGGATGAGTTAGGAGAGGGAAATACAATTGACACGAACAAGTCGCGGCGACTTCACAAAAAACAATACAAGAGTGTGATTGTCTAACTTACCTTTAAACTCTACGATATACTTCCAGTCTTATCACATAAAACATATGCTTTCACTGCTTGGCTTTCATTGCAATTATTTTCATATCTCTCGCAATATTAGGACATCTCTAGGGAAGAAACCAAAAATTTGTGATTCCTCAGTCTAAACATCTGGAATTTTACACTGAAACCGATGTCAAATTTAGGGTATCATCTTGTAATATCATAGTATTTGTATGTGTTCCCTTTTTAGAAACATACTGCCGATCAGGGCCTTGGCACCGTTACTGTCTAAGCTTCGAGACACTTCAATATCAATGCTTCCACGGAGTAAAGAGCAGGGAGAATGTGTTCGATACATACATACTTGAAGGAGTCGCTGTTTAACCATCTCTTATCCGTGACATACTTCCCCGCTTATTCAACCAACCGTCCAACCACGATACCCAGATAAATACCCACCTACCCTTAAAACAACCGTTTTCGGCAATGTCGAGCAATGGTGATCGGAAGACATTCCAGAGCTTCTACCCTACCCAACAACGTCATGATGAGCGTCGATCCGTCGACATGAGTTGCGATGATAAACATCAGGATCGCCATGCGATAATCGACTCCAACGACAATATAGACCCCGGGAAATCGAGGCCGCATAAACACAAACGCAGCAAATCGCGCGATATCCGATTTCCCCGGACAATGAGTCAGATTGCTTCTTCGACTGGTGCTGGTGCCAGAGCTTTGCTTCCGACTTGGTCGGGGTCAGGTAGTAAGGAGAAAGATCGCGAGGGTGATGATGGGTTGTTGAGGCCGGTGACGCGGGATACTTCTCGGACGCGATGGGGGTCGGATTCGACCAGTGGTGTTGGGACTGGGAGTAGGAGAGGCAGTTTCCTAGAAGGGGTTGAACAGAGTGATAGGATTGGTCCGCCCAGACAGCAGGAGGTTCGCTCGCCGGGGGACTTGGAGCAGGTGACGAGTAGGAGAAAGCAAGCAGAGGAGTGAGTACATCTCCTATTCCTCCTCATCCGACCCATTGGGACGCTGACAAGGACTCATTCAGATATCTACGATCCGCACTGGTATCAATTGGGACGCTCGCAACGGACACCACCCGCCGACTTGACTACACGTACTACAATCTCTTGGAAAAGATCACCGCATTGAATACGACCATTAGCTCCTTTCAAGGCCTGGCCGACTCAACATCAACAATATTCAACGAATTCGAACGAGAAGTCGCGGGTATGTACCAGGAGATCAACAGACAGGTCGGAGAACTCGGCGAATTCCAGCCCCAACTCGAGAAAGTCGAAGCTCTCGAAGAACGCATGAAACGAAGCAGAGAAAAGGCCGAGGCGCTTGAGGGCAGACTTGAGAAGATGAAAGACGAGGTTTCCCGCTGGGAAAAGAAAGAGGTGGAGTGGCAGTCTCGTGTCAATCGGCGACTACGCATCTTCTGGGGCGTTGTTATGGCTGCTATGCTGGCTCTTGTGATTGCTGTGGTTGTCCAAAACTGGCCCTTTGTTGATTCTTCTCAAGCGCGTTTGCGAACTACGTCGTTGGATAACCAGACCTCGGGCATTCCCTTACATCGAGATTCCACTGCGATTTCAAAGATGAAAGACCAGAAGAGCGAGCCTAATCTTAATCATCGTCAAACTGCGAGCGCGGCAGGCACGTCGCCCACTGAAGCCGATCCTCTTAAGATGTTTGACGAACTTTGACGATTCCGTCTCTGGGATCTGTTCACCTGCCTTCTTTTATTCGGATTTCTATTTGTACCGGCAAGATGTTTTCATGATACCCCAGCATGCAGTGGAGTTATTTTCTTTTCGGGTCTTTACCAGTATAGTCGCTGTCGAATAACCATTATAATGCAAAACAAACGTCAACCCTCATCCGATCAAGTGGTGCTCTTCTTCTTCTTATCCTCGACCAACTCGGTGTTCACTTCAGGAATTCCCTTTATCTCCACCAGCCACTCTTGCACATCGTCGCTCACGTCACCCTGAACTGTAATCTCTTCGACACCAGCGGCGGATTTTGTCACTGAAGAACCGGTAGCAAACTTCTTGCCGAGTTCCTTAGCGACCTTTTTGTTCTCCAACCCATGTACCTCCAACCCTGTGATGACGGTGACGTGCTTGCGCTTGTTACGCTCAATGCGCTTGATCTGGACTTTCGAGGCGGCTTTCCGCTCGGCATCGCGTGTTTCGGCTGCGGCGGCCTTGGCCTCCTTCTTCGCAGCATCCTTGGCTGCACGCTCACGAACGGACAATGAAAGGTTCGATAGGTTGGCGCTGACAGCTTCTATATAAGTAATGGAACTGTTAGTTTCTACCACCAGATTTTGCATTCCTTTTCTTTTGGGCAAGCTTTCCATACCTTCGGAGTATAGTTGTTCATGCAAGTCCGGGTGACTGTCCCTTAGCCACTCCTCGCATTTTTTAGCTGTCCCGCCGAACTCGCAGTACTGGAAATCTCGTATAGGTTAACCACCGAACAGCAGTCTTTCGCATGCCATTGACACGGCTATAATACGATGCAAGCGGGAAACGAGAACGTGTCTTCGTCAGGATCCATCCCATACCTCTGAAGGTAATGTACAAACTAGCAGCAAAAAACAGTTAGCATTGTAAAAAGTGAGAAGGGCTTTTTTTTTTAATTGCGTCACATGGATAAGACCAACCTCCGCAATACACGACGTGCTTGGCCTGGGGTTCAATAGGCCCGGATTCTGCGACTTCTGCCATTTTTAATATTCTTTCGAATAATAACACTCTTGCTCCTATTGATCGGAAGGTAGTATCGCTTGTCGTTCACGCAACCGTACGCGGTATCGATACGCGGGGGTCCGGTGGCCGCTGACCTAACCGTATGCGGTGATACTACATGCCATGGATGCACGTGATTTTTCTATACTACGATTGTTGGATGTATAATACAAAGTACTCTGTGGATGATAGTGGAGCAAAGTGAAAGAAAATCGTTTCTATTTCGGCATTAAAGCATTGGCCTCTCCTCCATGCACTCCGGGTTTTCCAAGCGTCTCAGATACTGGTGCATAATGCCGTTCTCTGTTTCGACTCTTGAAAGACCGGGCTGGATCGCTACTTGTTGTGCTCGGATTTAGTTTCTGGCCTTGTCGACGAATCTGTGGTTTCTGTTAGCTCATTGAAATGAATCAATCGAGAGGCGAGATTGGGATGATCAATGGTCTCGACCTGGGCAGATCAACCACTATGCAGAGCACAGAAGACAATCTTTGTCTAGGGAAAGTGGTAGACTGCGCGAGCAATTTCTGTATCCCGCGGACGCGCAAGTTAACAGGCAATCATCTACAGGAACCCTGTAGCATAGTACTAAGCTGCATTTAATGATAGCGACCTCCCGTGAAACCGGTTTTCAATGGGATAACGCCATTTGAAGATATAACGGAGCAATCGACCCCACGTTAAGATCTTCCAACTGATAACGGTTCTGGAGGGCAAGTGTCATCAGAAACACGAAAACTCCGGAACCAATCGGCAGCCAAGTGCTCGTGCTGGTCGAGAACCTACGCCGCATGGCAAGACGCATTTGGCAGTTAGGCTCAAGTAAACGTACAAAGCACTTTGTGGATGGTGAAATATGTACATCTGTTGATGAAACGTGTTGTGTGCGTTGGGGTAAATGATTGTGCACACATGAGGAAAATGAGGAAAGTAAACATTTCAATCACCGGAAGATACGGGACGCAAACCCATGCTGGTACAATTGATTGAGCAGGAAGGATTTAGTGATTAGCATACTCCGCCTTTTCTCGATATGATTTCTGGGGGTCAAGAGAGGGGGTCAAGAAAGAGGATGCCATGTATGTCTTCCGTATCTGGACTTCCCAGTACGCAGATACCGATGCCTCCACCATCCCGAGAACAGGGGGATATAGATTCTCTTCTGCTCCAGACCTCCATGGTGAATTGGAGTCGCCCAATAAGCTTCGAAGCAATAATCGAATTCTTATCACTTGCATCGCAGGATCCAGAAGGTAAGACGCACGATTCGCAAGCCACGTACAGAGTAGTAGCACGGACAAGCATCGGACAGAAAGGACCGTGTTGAGACCGTTGTCAATCATGTCCATACATGCTGGTTGCCACGGACTTTGGCACATGGCTTAATCGGGATTTGTCGAGATTGTAGAGTAGCAACCAGCATTATCATCCTTTTCTTTTCTTTTCTTTTCTTTTCTTTTCTTTTCTTTTCTTTTCTTTTCTTTTTTTTTTTTTTTTTTTTTTTTTTTTTTTTTTTTTTTTTTTTTTTTTTTTTTTTTTTTTTTTTTTTTTTTTTTTTTTTGCGATCTTTATCTTTGCATTGTCAACAATTTTCATTCAGTTTTCCAGATGCCCCCATTTAGATGTTATTCTTGGATTTTCTGGTCTAGGCCTGCCACAGTCCAACCATTTTAGGAACAACTTGCCCAATCAATGTAGTGCATTGTCGGGATTGCTGGGTTCAAATCCTTCTAGAGGCGGCACCAGAAAGTATATTTGAAAGTCTAGGGAGTACAAGTGCACCGTGGAGCATGGAAATTCATATAACGGGGAAAAGGAAAGACAGGCGAAAGCGTGACAAGAAACCCCAGTAATATATGGAGTATTGTTATTGATACTCATTCTGGAGTATGGAGTACATGAGCAACATTATTGATTCTTTCTCGGCTTCCCTGGAAGATCTGGACCATGTACTATAAATTACAGAAACGTATCGGTCTGTACTCCGTACAAAGTATGGGGTCCTGCATCCCAACGGTCTTCCGGTTGGTCAATTCCACATCTGTCACCCCAGCTGGTTGGCCAATGTGGCCTCCGCTTTCCCCGGTCCCGGTTTTACGGAGTACGCAGTACGGTACGAAGTACGGAGTAGTATCATCTCACAATTATAAGTTTGGTGGCGACTTCGATTTCCACTCCCGTACTACTACGACTCTACCACCACTACTATCACTGTTACTGCTACGTCCTCACTACTATTTCATGCTTCCACCGGAACGGGAAAAAGGAAAGTTTTTTTTTTTTTTTTTTTTTCCAAATTGATAACATTCGCTCAAAGCTATTTGTGTTTGCTTTATACCCTGCTTGCTCTTTTCCGAAAAGATAAATCCTCGTTCTCTCCCTCTCCGCAATTTCACTTGAACTCATCGGTCCTGCTTCCCGTTTACCACGTCACTATTTCAACAGCGCCATCCTCTCTTCTACTCCTTTTCCTCAATTGTTTTCAATTATCAATTTTCGAATACGAAGGAAATTCTGCTCTTTTGATACCTACTGCAGAGTAGTGGTTAGGTTACAGGCCCTACATTGGGCTTTCGCCCCCCGTTGGTCAGTCATCGTTGTGCAGGAAGTTAGGGAGCACCACTACGTCTATTTTGCACCGGTTTTACTATCCACAGCTTTGTTATACTATATTATGCCTGGTGGTTACGTCCATCCCTTGATTGATCGGCTACTTTTCACGTTCTGCGACGGATCCCTGGTCCCTGTACCTGCCCCCTCCGAAGTTACTCTCCAGACAGCCATTGTGTCCAAGGACTAGTGGTCGCAATTCCGAATCGTCTTTATATTTATCCCAGTCAATCTGTCGTGGTTGAAATATGACAGCTGTGCTCACTATCCCGCGGGAAAAGTATTCGCGGTTTGCCCCGGATCCACTGCAGTGTCCCACTACACAAAGATACATCCTAAAGGGCCCAGAGGTTTCGGTCAAATCTCCCATATCCATCCATAGTGATTATCTCTCTACGGACTGTCTCAGTCCGATATCATCATCTGTGGCCTCGTCGGTTCCGTCTTCTCCCACTCTCAGTAGCATTTCGCCCAGTATTGACGATGAGCATGATGTTGACAATGACGACGAGGTCCTATTCCCCTCATATGATTTCAAAGAAGTATCCGAGAAGGATGTAATGTCTCAACAGCAACAGCAGTCCAACGAACTTGTCAGTAGTACTCCTACTGAGCCATCAATAGATGACCAGCGCTTGCAGACGCCTGCAGCCGATGATACTTCGCTGGAAGAAGAACCGTCAAGACATGTTGATTATCTCTCCCATGACTGGAAAGAGGAGGACATCTGGACATCATGGCGTTACATGACACGACGCAAGGATGTATACAGCAACGGGTTGCGACTGGAAAATGCTTCCTGGAGAACGTGGACGAAAGTGAAATTTAATTTGGGTACCATCTCCCCAGAAACCCTTAATTGGTGAGCATACTGCTATGGCCCCTCTCCGAGCGCCTTGGTGTCTCAAAGCTAATAGTTTCCCAACAGGCTCAAGGATTGCGATGTGACATGGTTGTATGGTCCGTTGAAAACATCCAAAAATTTCGGTTCAAATGCCTCACCTCCACCGACCCATCTAACGACGCCCAATATATGTCAATCTCGGAAGCCTATCTTGAAGAAAAAGACCGCATCAGAGACAATGCTGCAACGATCATTGTCTCAACACACACTGTTACAACGTGCAGGTGCCTTACTGAAGGCGAAGGAGGCAGCAAATGCACAAGATCAGTCAATTTCGCGATCCAGGCATCAACAGGATCAAACAGGTAGTACTACACCGACAGCAATTGCCGGAACACCTACAACTGCGTCCGTTTCGGACATAGGGTCACCTAATGAAAGGCGACACATCCATTTCAATAATGAGGTCGTACAATGCATCGCTATTGAAGCAAAGGACGAGGAAGAAGAATACGGGAAGTACCCAATAGGGCTCGAGGATGGCCTGCTCTCAGGCAATGTCACCGTGACGAATCAGCTGCTTGCCAACACAGCATCTGGAAACATGAGTTCCCCCCGTAACAACGAAAACAAAACCATTGCACCCCTTCCATCTACCACTCTCAGGGGAGAGATGCCCGAGCCACCTGCAAGCTCGCTGTTTGAACGTTGGTTTGGTTCACGCTCATCACCGTCGCCATCTCCTACACCTAAAGATTCCCATCAATCCTCTGAGCCATCCGCCAATTTCCTTCTGGATGATGATGATGATTACAATGATGAATATGACTCGAATGGCGGTTTTGACTTTAGTTGGCAGTCCAATTGGCAGTCCAAGCAAGTTTCGAGTGCCTCCACTCAAATTCGCCCTCACTCCGTCAGCTCTGAAGATGATGAGGACGGGCTAGAGATAGACCGGGATTTCCATTTGACCTCGGATATGTTCTCGCTGGGCGAGTATAGTGAGTCGCCGGATGCTGGTATTCTCGACAGAGTGCTTGATACAGTAAACACGGCCAAAGATATAGCACATGTTATATGGAATGTTGGTTGGCGGCGGTAACCCTGCGCCACATTCTGTTCTCCTTGAGCATCTTGACCTAGTCATGCTTGCCGATTACGACATACACGCATATAATTAAGATGGCATTTGATGGAGTTAGGGTAATGTTTATACCAACGATACTTGAATTTCACTGGGTTGTTGTCGGACTATTCATTGGCGCTTAATAAACGGCTTTTCTTTTCTTTTCTTCTCCTTAACTCCAGTGCGTGATGATTATAGACAAGGACTGAATTGAGAATCAATGAATTGATCTATTTTGTTATATCGGTGTCTTACCCTATGTTTTCTTTACAAGAACAGATTCTTGACCATGCCCGGGAATGGTCATGACGCAGATGCTAGGGCTTTCGCAGTAGTTAATCGCCTTTACGATAACATGCTTGGAGTATCAATACCCTTCCTTCACACGTTTACACATAGAAAACTGAGGAATAGAACTACCCTAAAAATATTTTTCGCTCGCTCAATGTCTCAAAGATGGATACGATATGGTACACCTTAGGCTAGACGCCAGCTCATGTAACTAAACTCTGGTTCCTGCCTCCGCACCCCTGACTGACTCCGCCCGCAGCGCCAACTTACTCCTCCGTACTTCTTATTTTTGTCGTTGCTGCAAGCTATTTCTTTTCATTTTTATCTAAATTAATTCTACTCTTTCGCTCATTTAAATTCATTTGACCGCTTGGTTGACATTTGTTTCATCTTTTCGTCCATTCGTTAAGCCTTTCCGATTCCTCGCGCAGGACCGCGTTTCTTTTTGCATTATGGAGGGCATCAGCATCCCTGAACTCGTGGAAAGGTTGGGGAGTGATGAAGACGCTGTCCGTAAAATGGCCGTCTTCAAACTTCAGGGGAATATTGGGGATCCTTCGTTTGCTGATATCTTCATCGCTGAAGGCGGGCTGTCCAGATTACGCTACCTCACACTACATGCAAGTGGGAATACATTGGCATACAGTTTGACAAGCCTTGCACGGCTATTGGAGGTCGATAAAGGATGGGAGTTTGTGGACCAGGATGTGGTGGAAAGGGTAAGTCTGGGGATTGGACACAAGTTCGGACTTGATCTCTGGGTGCTTTATTCAGTCACGAACGCCATACTAATGTGGTCTTGTGACTCTCCTCCAGATTGTCGAGCTTATTGTCACGCATCCTTTGGTGAACATACTGCGCGGAGCGATGTCGATTCTCGTATCCGTCGTATCACACCCTTATGTTGGCGGCCATCTTTCCCAGTCAGGAACGTTCGGTTTTCGCGCCCTGAAACCCGCAATCGCCATTTATCCGCAATTCCTGGAGATGCTTGTGAGCAGGCTCTCGTCCGCCGATCATGCACTTTGTGCCAATGCGCTACAATTGATCAATTGTCTCATGCGCGACTCGATAACAAACGACTCAGAACTTGAATGGCCCAAATTCATTCAGAGATTGCAAAACTTAGGCGCGATCAGGGCTGTATATGTTCTCATGCAGGGGACTGCACTGCAGGACCTAGCGCATCCCCTTATTGAGTTCCAGTCTCTAACAAAAGTGCTTTTGCGGAAGTGGCGTGATGTTTATCTTGACCTAGAGAAGCCAGAACACAGAAGGGCATTGAAAGGGATTTACGTGGTAAGCTATCCTGAGAAGAATCAGGACAAGACACCGGATACTTGTGACGAGACGCGACGTTCCTCCAAAAAACACCACTCGGAGAAATGGCGGCGACTTGGGTTCGAGTCGGAGAACCCTGTTTCCGAGTTTGATACGACCGGATTCCTAGGAATGATGGATCTTGCCGATTATGTCCGAAACTTTTCAGACGAGTTTCAGAAAATGCTCTTGGAGCAGTCAACGAAATCGTCAGAGCAACGATGCCCAATCGCTCGAGCATCCTTGACAGTATCTTCAATACTGTACGACCACTTCGAAGTTGACAAGTCGGACATGGAAGATGCCAAAAGTTATCTTATCATGGACTCTCAGTCCAATTTAGACCGAGTATTCAGACCACTGTTGCTGCACTGGACCCGATTGCATGTTGCGGGACTTCATGCGTTCTTCCGGCTGTGGAAAGCTACAGGCTCCGAGGTGGAGGATTTCGATAAGATTGCCGAGCTTGTTCGCATTCTCATTGAGTCGGTTGTCGGAGGAGCGCCACGGACAAAGGATGTACAGGACGTGGAGGAAGAACTGGCCGAATTTGATCATCGACGGCTTCGTGAACTGCAGATGGAGATCTTGGAACTTACATATGAAGATGTATGGGGCCAGCATCTCCGTCAGGTGCGTGATGAACTACATCACGAAGCGCTGCAGTTTGTCAAGGAGCAGAGAATCCGATGTTTACTACAAGGCGCTTGGTTCTTCAATGGCAACCCTTCCAAATCGGAGACAGGGTCTTCCTTGTCCAAGTCCACGTACAGATATGCCCAGCTGTCTCATAACAGAAGATATCTTCACTTTGGGGATTTTGATGCTACAGATAATCGAAATCCAGACCTGGATGCCTTGCCAGACAAGAGTGAGCATTGAACCTTCCACCTAATGATTCATTTGCTAACTTGCGCTCTTAGTTGATCTCTCAACCGTTTCGTCTGTCGTTTCGAACGTCTCGGCAGCACCAGACGACGAGTCTTCTTCAACTGTGAAGACCACACCTCACCAACCTGTTACTTCTACCAAGATTACCATTCATGGTTATGTCCCATCTGGGACAGCTGCGGGCGCTCAGAAAAGCCATAATCGTGCTCGCTCAACTAGTAGGGCGACACAGAAAGAGGTGGTACTGTTGACTCTCCGGCCACAGTCCATCAGCACTGCGTCTGAATGGCTCGACGGCTTACTTATGCTCTTGGATCAACAACCCATCACAGCAGAAACTAACAAAGTGATTGACCTTGTCAGCAATTATGGGCTAAAGATTCGTTTGCTGAACATTCGATTTGACGATGCTGTCTTTGCCGGGGAACCTCCCCAAGTTCCCTCTCGGGAGGGTCTTGACGATGATTATTATTATGATGTGTTTGGGGGTGCTTGATCATATCGTTTAGCCCATCTTTTCTTGTATATGTTTGGGCACTTCAGTTATTTTGTACATGATGTGTCATTTTCTTGTATCATTGATATATACCCATTGCTTTTGTTTCTTTTATTTTCTGTTCATTTTCTTACTCGGATTGGTGTTCAGCATCTAAGTATATTTGTATCACTTTATGGGCAGCCGAACTGTACAATTTTAATGAGGATAGTCTAATTATTGAATCAATGAATCCTGGGTTTAGTACATACCTATTTATCTGACTTGCTAGCAGTCATAGAGCGGTTTATCTTATCTACGTATCTTATCATCATTCGATGCCGGGGGTTGAAGTATCAAAAGCTTCGTTCTGTACGGGACTCAGAAGACCGCCACCGTCGCTCTCTGATTATTCCCCAATACCGATATGCGTCTCTTGCTGCGTATTCCTTAATACAATGAATGATATGCTCCCCTGTGGAAGTGATTTGCCATCATGGACATCCGTCCTTCGAAGAGACAGCGAAGATTTACTGTCTACTCATCTGACGCAGATGACATTGAAGCGCAGATAGAAGCAAACGACGCAGGTTCTACAAGCCATGCTTCGAATACGAAGGGCTCCCGAAATAACGCGTTCCAATCGCCCATTAGCGATTCCAGGTCAAGTTCGAGAGCACCTCCCCTCCTGTCCTCGCGGCCGAAGACGACCTCGACTTCCAAACACTTTAATAACAAATCGCATTCGCCCAGTTCTCTACCTGAGAAAAAGAAGCATGAGAAACCGTTAAATGGAAAATCAACCGGAGATTCTTTGCACGGCTTCTTTCAAATCGCGGATGAGGAACAGCGATGGTCTTCGCAGAAGTTCGAACCGACGCGCCCCGCGGAGTCCACGACGGAAAAGGCTGGAGACGATGACGATTTTATAGAGGATGACTACGATTCTTTTGATGAGTTGTTTACGCAACATTTCATAAACGCGGACATTGGTTCCCAGGGCGGGACAGCAGGAACGCAGGAGAACGGTCAAGACAAATCATTCCAGAATCAACCATCGACCAATTCAAATTCGACAGGGAAGCGTGTGAGCTCTACCAAGCGTTTCTTGCTTCCTCAATCCCCGAAAGGCAAGAGTCAATCTCGACCATCAGCTACCGTCAACGCAGAGGACGATGGGCGTCCATGGGCCCAAAAGTACGGCCCATCCAATTTGGATGAGCTAGCTGTCCATAAGCGGAAAGTTACTGATGTGCAGAACTGGTTGAATGGTGTATTTATAGGGAGAAATAGATGTGTATGTTTCAGTTCTATTTTTTTCGCGTGCTGCTTTTGCTGATGGGTTCTAGAGATTGCTCGTTCTGCGTGGTCCTGCCGGTTGTGGGAAAACAACTACTGTATCTTTGTTGTCTAAGGCATTAGGCTTCGACGTCCTCGAGTGGAAGAATCCGCCAGCCTTTGATTTCAACACAAATGGTTATACATCCATCGGTGCTCAGTTCGAGGAATTCCTGGGACGCGGTGATAATTTTAGTGGACTTGAACTGGACGGGACAGAGAGCACTCTTTATTCTGGAGGAAGCCATGAACCTACACCATCCCAGCGACGTATTATTCTTATAGAGGAGTTTCCCACGATTCTGAGTCGGAATTCGTCTGGTCTGGCTGCCTTCAGGCTTTCTCTCCAGAGGTATCTTGCTGCAACAGCCCCATCTATTTCGAATAACCAAGTGATTCTGGAAGAAACAATGAATCCTCCTATCGTGCTCGTCATTTCAGAAACACTTTTGGGCTCGGCATCTTCTATTTTGGATAATTTAACTGCCCACAGGTTACTGGGACCAGACATTTACAACCACGCGAACGCTACGTTTATCGATTTCAACAGCATTGCTCCCACATATATGCAAAAGGCCCTAAGGCTGGTATTAGAGAAGGAGGCTCGTCATTCCAGGCGAGTTCAAGTCCCCGGGCCAGCATTTCTCGAGAGAATATCCGACATAGGAGACATCAGAAGTGCTATTTCTTCCCTTGAGTTTGTCTGTCTCAGAGGAGACAAATCAGGGGCATGGGGAGGAAGCATAAACAAAAGGACGAAGAAGTCGTCTCAAAATGGTGTAGGACTTACGCAGATGGAAAAGGAGTCATTGAAAATGGTCACTCAGAGAGAAGCGAGCCTTGGGATATTCCATGCTGTTGGGAAAATCGTATACAACAAGCGTGACGAGACTGACAGTACGACAGGGAGCATTAGGCCCCCTTCGCCGCCAGATCATTTGCGTCAACATGATCGACCTAGAGTATCTCAGGTCTGCGTTGATGAACTCATGGATGAAACTGGAACGGATATCCAAACATTCATAAGCGCCCTACATGAAAACTATGTGCCATCCTGCGAGTGCCTGTCATCTACAGACTATCTAGATGAATGTATAGGGGCATTGTCAGATAGTGACACGTTGTGTGCGGGCCAAAGAGGCGCTCAGAGGCATAGGGCAAGGGTCGCTGGAGCCGGAAATTTCAGTGCAGGTATTGACATGTTACGACAAGACGAGATTAGCTATCAGGTAGCTACGCGAGGTCTGCTTTTCGCTCTCCCTCATCCTGTAAAGAGGAAGTCAGGATCAGGGCGTGGGAACGATGCTTATAAGATGTCTTATCCAACATCTTTGCGTTTATGGAATGCGTCCGAGGAAACTGATGGTTTAATAGACTTGTGGATGAAGCGTCTGCTGAACCCGTTCGGCACAGCAGTCTCGCAGCCCAGTGGCATACGGAGTTGGAAGAATCGTTCAGCTGTTTGTGACGTCGACCAACATAATGACAGTGACACGCTCAGGACTGTGACAATGATGCCTCGCAATGATGCATTACTTTGGCACCTACCATATATGGCTAAAATCTTGCAGAACAAAGTCGAATCAAAGGAGCTCCGTGAGATCACCAGCTTTCGTATTGGAGCCCATAGCGATCTTCCTCACAACAACGACGACCGTGGCAACGATTCTTTGCCAGGACCTAATCATCTTCTCCGGCGGAGGTCACCCCATACCAAGGACCACAACAATAACAGTACTTTTGGGCCGCAACTCCCGCAACCCTTGGAAGACCAAGAGGAGAAGCTAGTTTTAAGCGACGACGATATTGTGGATAACTGAGTGGCCGGGTTCTGAACCGGATTGTAATCCAATATTGTTTGCATGTAATCTAAATTGCATATATTTATCTTGATATCATATAGTGGAATAATAATATCTTGACGGTGGTTGGCACACAAGATGAGTGAATGTAACAACCATATGTATGAACCTTGGAATGTCCAGTTTCATCAAATGTCGCCCATGTAGAGATACTATGAAGATTGTCCTTATCGGGGTTATCACGTTAACGACGCGATAACAAGCCTCCGATAAAGCCAGATAAATCGCATTAATTTCACATATATATATATCCATACAAATGTTGGCAATTGGACCAGAATTCGCCAAACTTGAGACGAACCAGACTGAAGATACGGAACATGCAGCTCGACCAGGCCAAACAATAAAGAACCCCAGTAATCGCACATCGAAACGCTCTAACCTGGTAGGTAAAAAGCACACTCTATTCAACGGCCTATGCTAATCACCGATGCCATTGTCCTACAGGCTATTACGGATAGATAGCCCGTCCTTGTCAATTGCTGCACAATGTCTAGTCGCAGCAATGGAACGTCAAAAGCGACTAGCAACGACCTAGCACCGAGTCACACGACCGACTTGCCCGGCATTGATGACAAGCAGAATGCCCACAGCAGTAGAGATACCAATGGCTCTCTGACAGGCATAGGCACGGCAGTGGCCCATGCGACTTTTCCAAGCTGGATGAATATGATCCTGATGATTTCGCTGATTTTCGGTGGCTGTTGTGCCAATGTAAGTTGAGCATCTCAAGGCCGTGAGAGTCTTTGTAGCTGACGCCTGGAGTAGGTGTTTGCGCTTGAAGCTATTATCAAGTAAGTTAGAAATAAAAGTACGTAAAGGCAGAAGCTAATGTTATATACTATAGGGAAGAACCGAGTTCTGGTGAGCAGCTAGTCTTGAAGAAAGCTACATAATGTCTTTATACTAACTTGGAATTGAAGGTCCTCTGATAACATTTGTTCAGTTCATTGTAACTGCTCTGTTGACCCTCCCGGACTTCATCTCAATATCTGAAGGTCCTCGATCATTATTCATATCCAAGCGTGTCATACCACTTCGCTCATGGCTGGTGTACACTGCATTCTTCTTGACAATCAATCTTCTAAACAACTGGGCATTTGCGTACAAGATCTCGGTTCCTTTGCATATCATTGTTCGCTCTGGGGGGCCAGTAGCATCAATGATAATCGGATACCTATTCAATGGCAAGAGGTATTCTCGGGGCCAAGTCATAGCAGTCATCCTGCTTACCTTGGGTGTTGTGGGTGCGGCATTGGCAGATGCAGAAGCAAGAGGTCAATCAATGAACATCGAGACTAATAGCGATAGCCACGCCATTGCAAACACGGTCACTGGGTTCTCTATACTTGCATTGGCAATGATTCTGTCCGCATTTCAGGGTATTTTCGCGGATCGACTTTATGAGCACCATGGTCGGAATAATTGGAAAGAAGCTCTGTTCTACTCCCATACACTTTCGTTGCCGCTTTTCCTCACATCTTACCCGCAGCTCTTGTCCCAATGGCGGACTCTGCTGTCGTCGCCCCCGTTGATTTCCAAGATCTCTACCTTCACATCTACAAATCATGGAGGAGTTTTGGTCACTGCTCCTCTTAATGTGCCTTCAATGCCAACATCGGTTTCTGGCGTTTTTTCATTTTTGGCATTGGTCGTTCAGAGGCATCAGGTCTTTCAGTCTTTCCTTGCTTGTGTCCCGATACAGGTGGTATATCTCTTCATAAATGCCTTGACGCAGTTCCTGTGCATCCGTGGGGTTCATCTACTTGCTGCAAAAACATCTTCCTTGACTGTTACGATCATTTTGAACATTCGCAAGCTTGTCTCGCTGCTTTTGTCCATATATCTGTTTGGAAACCAACTTGCGCCGGGTGTGCTTGTTGGCGCAGCTCTTGTATTTGCCGGTGGTGGCTTATACGGCTTCGAGGGCACGCGACTGAGAGAGAAGAGTTTGAAGAAAGACTAAATCCATATATATGCATATGAACCTTGTATCTCATGTTACGACCTATACAACCTTACCAGCCTTTTTTTTTTTTTTTTTTTTTCCCCTCCGTTTTGAGTGCAAATACCCCAACAAGAGGAAAAGAAATGGAGCAATGTTTTCATAAAAGACATCATCATACTTACATAAACGGGATTCTAACATATACACCAAGCCCAGCATCCTGCCATCTTGGTCCACACATTGTACAAAACCGATGGCAGCTGTTTAGTTTTATAAAACCCTGAAAAGAAACAAAAGAAAAGCAATTGTAAATCCACATGAAGAGTATTGGCAGCACGTAGATGTTCTAGAGAACCTCGCCCACGATTTTGGCTGCTTCCTTGTAGGTCTCCAGAAGTCTCTCACACTTTTCTCTCTCTGCCTTAATGCCATCGTCCTCGTGAAGCAAGTCCGCAAACAAATCCTCCCTGTATAGTTCACTGACAAGCCTATTTTGCACGACATCTTTACTGTGATTGACCAATAAATGCATAATCGCTTTGGGGACCTGGTCAGCAATCGTTTCCCTGACAATGTTGAAATACGATGAGATCAATCGGCGGATCAACTCAGTTTCTAAGACCTCGCGATCGGTAAGGCTCGGCTCCGAGTTCTCATTGGGCTAGAAACTTGGATCAGTCGATGTCAATAAGTATGGAAAAAGGATATGAGGCTTACAAATGGAAGCATATCACTGCCGTACTCAGGTGGAGCTGCAAGATCTTCCGGTGGCATCACGGGAGAGCGCAACTCCGGTCGGCGAATACTTTGGCTAATACTTGGTTCGCTAGGGTAGTTTGCTTGCTTGTTTTGGTGTGAAGAGGATGGGGGCAAAGAGGAAGCGCTTTGCACACCGTCTTTGCCAAAGAAATAGTTCAGGAATGAATCTCGCGTCGTATTCGAAGCTCCAAACGCTGCCTGAGGGCTCGAATGCGCCCCATTAAGCGCCGCTGCGATTCCGTTTTCTCCTGACTTGCCGAAATTGGGAGACATGCTTCGGTTACCTTTGGCTGACTGGCTTCTAACAGGGATGTTTTGTGCTTTTTGTTCGGACAGCTGATCCTCCTCATCTTCTTGAGGTACAGCCCCGTTGACGCCACCCAGCTCCTTGTGTCGTCGTCTTTCACGTCTTTTCCGATCCTCTGCCAAGGCCGCTTTTCTCTCCTGTTCCTGCTTATTCTGAATGATGGATGACATTGCAGCAGTGGCGCCAAGGAAGTTGGGATGGTTTGTGTTGATGTAAGCTCGTTGGATAGAAATCAACGATTCAACGTATCCCGAACAAGGCCCTAGGCGTTCACGGAGAAGATCAGAAACAACTTCGATAAGTTTTCCTTGGAGGCGCGGAAACCGCAGGAGTTCTTGGGAGCCACATGTATGGCAAACTTTTATGAGTTCCTCATAGACAAGTTCCACACATCTTTGACTAGGCGCCTCCAGTAATTTAATTTGGGGTTTGACAAGCAGATCAAATGCAAGTTCCGGGACGAAGAGGCTAGGACGCGGCCCAGTCGAGTTGCGGATGGCAGTTCTAATATCCGAAAGCGTTAGGTTATGTGTGGGATCGACTGTCTCGAGCGAATTTCCAAAGACAGAGTTGAATATATAATATATGCGCGCACCACCACAGAGCTCTTTCGTTGATATTTCGGATGATGTTCCGTCAATGGAAGAAATGAAAGAAGACGCAAAACGGGTCATGAGCTGTAATATCAATGACCCACGATGTTCCTTCCCACTGAACTGCTTATTACCATAACTGGCAAGCTCCTGTTGGGTCTGGCCCATGAGCGTGTTTAGGCGCGCTTTGATGTCCGGCAATCGATCACGAATATGAGCCATCAGGGTGGTATTCAATGTTTTCGCCAAAAAATGCGTTCCGCATCGATTTGCCATATTTCGATAAGCCGGGTGGTGCCGAAAGAAGTCGGCTTCGCCTTGAAGTGCATCCGCTAGAGACTTGCCCGCTTGGATGTCATGTTGGGATCGGTTGACCACACCGATAAAGCCGAGTTTAAGTGGATAAACACGACCGGAGAGAATATCCATTGCATTCGTACCGTGATCCATCAAATCCAATTTCGTCAGAACGCCAATTGTCCTCCGGCCCATTGGATCCACCTGACGAGCAAGCTTCAAGGCTTCAGAATTCACAAGGTCAACATTGGCCGGGGAGACCGCGAGAATGATGCTGTTTGGTTTCGCGATGTACTCCAGAATCAATGTTCGGGTTTGTTTCTCAATATCAGACGGTTGATCTCCAATTGGCACTTTTGTCAGACCAGGAAGGTCAACCAAGGTCAAATTGAGAACGTGAGGAGAGAATATCTTCAGATTAATGGGCTGTCTGTTGATTCCTTTGTTGCTTCCCGCGATCCTCGCAGTTTCGGCTTCGATCTCTTTCTTGACCGAAGCGAAGTCATCGAACTTTCGACCTGGAAGATGATGGAACTCGGCCCATTCATTTTGACCAGCTACACTAGCGGCTGTATGCGGTACGTGAACCTCATCACTACCAGGTCTGTCATGGCGTTCACTGGGTATGTTTATAAGTTGTAAAATCAATGGCCGTCTAGTGACTATGCCACTACCTCTCGGTAGGAAATCTCTACCAACGATGTTTTCGATCACAGAGGATTTGCCCGACGACTGTGAACCTACCACGACCTGACACATGTGTTAGAATGATGATCCATTATATGGCCGGTCATTCAGCTATGGAATAGATAAAATAACTCACAATCTGTGGTAAATCCAAAGAGTCACTCCCAATTGTATTGAAGACCAGGTCTTGCAGCTTGTTGACAGTGACAAGCAAATCCTCTCCTAGTGAAGCCATTTTTGTATAGTCAAAAGTGTGTTCTGGAGAGTGCCGAACACGCACTGAGATTTGATGCGGTAGAGGAGGGGACTATCAGAAAATGCAAGATAAGTAAAACTGGGAGCAGGGTCAAGTGACTGGCGTCCAATCCCTGTAAAACTGCGGCTCGTAGCTACAATGTGCCGAGTACACTGGACTGCGAAGCAAACTCACACTTCTAGTCGGAAACTTTACAAGGTTATATATAAGGAGGTGCAATTCCGAGCGTCTTGACGTGGTCTCACGTGATTGCTCATATCCACAATTACATACCCAAACACTACAAAAAAATCTCCTTTAATATGAAACAAAATAATTGTAGGTTCAGCTGACAAACTGGATATAATCTGCAAAGCAAACAGTCTGCCATTTTACACCAAACCACCTTGGAATTTTACCTTCAGCTGTCGTTAAGCTGGACATAGTTGGCTGGAAATAGGCCCTTCTTACCGCCATACTCGCCAAGCCACCAGTCATCGTCGGGGAATTCCTAGAAATCAATAACGTCAACCATAAACCCTCTATTCAAGGAAAAAAGTGAAGCGAATTTTTAGAAGATGCCTGACGACGATATGGTATGCGACGTGGTAGTATGGAGAGCAGGGTAACTTACAATATTGGTGATTTCAGCATTCTCAGGGAAGCTCAACTCATTGTCTTCCGCAGCTTCATAATCGTACAATGCCGCGGCCGTCGGTCCCTTCACTGTACTTTGCACTGACGAGGGAGCGGCGGACTGGTCAGCTGAAGCTGCTGGAATATCTGCTTCGTGCCCATATTCCTGTGACTCTGATGCTGGTCCAACCGGATGATCGTCCACAGCTTCAACGTAATTACTCGGAAATAGACCCTTCTCCCCATGGGTGTTCATACCCAACCACCAATCTTTATCAACCATCTCAATATCGGTCACATACTCTCCTTCCTTCAGATCAATCTCATTATCTTCGGCCTTGTCATAATCATATTGCACAAGGGCCTTTATACCACCAGCGGCTTGCAAGTCATGTCCCGCGGCGGTCTCGGCTACTGCACGGCCCATATCGTGAGTACTATCTTCAAGGTTCTTTTCGTCTGGAACGGCTTGCTGAAGGCTTTCTGACGGCAAAGCGGGAGGGGGTGAGTACTGTTCATCATGGGCATTTGTGACTCCTCGTCCCACAGGCATGGCAACGCGGATTGGCGAAGCCTCACGCACTGGTGGAGATGGGGGACTCGGCGATCGAGGTTGTTGAGGAGGGCTGGGGATGTTTTGGTGGGTTTCAAGTTCGTGGTCGACTTCTGTTTCCGTAGGACCGGCCGAAAATTTAGGGATAGGTACTGGTCGTGTGCTTTGTGTGTTAGTGGGCTTCGTATCTAAAGCAATTGGCTTTGAAGCAAACTGGTCTCGAATGGCACCGACGCTCTGGCGGGGCACGTCGGTTTCGATATCTGCAACCGATTCGGTAGTTTGCTCATAAGAATCACTGGCACCGGTATGCGCAGTCTGAACCGGTGGCCAGACTTTACCGGCGTTTGCATTTCCGCCCTGCTGTTCGGTTGGCACACCACCGGCACCCTGTGCCTTGGCCTTCCTTTCCGCCCACAATTGGGAAGGTGTCTTGCCACCCTCATCAGCAAAGGTTCTGCTTGCACTACCCACTTGCGAAGCAGCAGCAGCAGCAGCAGCAGGCGGTTTTGACACAGCATCGGCGGGAACAGGTGGCTTGGTTCCCGTGAATGCTGGGCTCGGAGCAACTCTGTTCGATACTTTAGGTTTGGGAAGACTTGTCAGGCGCGCAGAGGAACTAGGCGCTGTGGCAGGTGTCGCTGCAGGTTCATTGTCCCTTTGAGAGTCAGCCAAATCGCTGGCTTTGGCTCCAGCGGATGCTGTAGCATCGCTTGACGGCTGTGCCCTCGCACGGATAGCAGCTATATCCACCTTACCAACAGGCTCGTATGCGCCTTTGACAGGCGCAGGGCGCTCATCCTTAAGCTCTCCTGATTCACGCGCCTGTCTCCGTATGGCAGCAATGTCCACTTTGCCAATTGGTTGATATCCGCCCTTGACAACATCGCCACTGTCCTGAGTGGGTCGCTCAGCGCTGTTTTCCGTCGTTGCCTGTCTCCCGGATTTAAGTTCTTGCATGTTCACTTTTGTAGGTGCGTAGGCTGGCTGGACTTTCTCAAGCTGTGTCCTGGTGACAGGTGGTGCATCAGCCCCCCATCCATCATCGTCAACGTCTCTGTTAACAACTCCAGGTCTCGAGATACGTGGTGCTGGGCTTGACCCGGCAACACCAGTGCGAACCGGAGTAAAAACAGGCTTGGTTGCGATTGGGGGTTTGGGAGTGGGAGTGGCAGCTACCACAGAGGGCTCAGTCGCCGAGTATTTGGAGCCTGACGAATCTGCAACTTTCTGTACGATTCCTTCTGGGGTTAGATCGCCATCGGAACGAGCGGTGATTTGAACATGGTAGCCCTTTGAAATCTGGTCAGTGATCTTTTATATATATAAAGTAACTGGGTTTTTGGGGTCGACAAACATGTAAAAACTTAGAGACAGCCGCCAAGTGGCTAGTAAAATATCCTTTGGTTCGTTCAGGCACACCTTCTCCACACCATGCGATGAGGACGTTTTTGGGAAGCCCAGTGTTCGGATCCCGAACTTTCACAAATGCAAACTGCACTTTCCCCTCTGAGAACTCGTCAATAAGATCGAGTAATTCGCCGTCTTTGAAATAGATGTCAGCCGTTATATCAGCTGTATTGGTACAATGGAAAACTAACCTCCACTGCTCTGAACCTTCAAGACACTCTCTTTGTTTCCGGAATCTTGCTGGAAAACATTGACAAGTGGGGAGGAAACGGAGAAAACAGCCCATTGAGCATACGTTGGTGAGCTTGCAGGACCGGTAGGAAGGGTGGCATTGACCACAGTCTGATAGCTTTTCGATATCGAAGGACCATTGGTTGATAGATTTACAGTCGCCATGGCGAAGAGTTGTTCAACAGAATAATGCTCTCCGAGAATATGAAAGCAGTTAGAAAAATAATGTCATGAAGCGCGAAGAGGTCGACAACTATCTAAGAGTAGATATCTGGTAGTCAGCACAATTGTATGATAGTGCAGGCAGCCACGTTGAGGCGGGGTTGACTAACCAGAGAGGACAACTCTGGAATTGAGTGCTTGTCTTTTACCCAGGCGACAAGAAGGTGATTTCCTGATAATGAAAGGAGCTATTATATGGTTGATTTGATAGTATAGTAGAGTACTGGTGTAGATGTCGGTTGGATAGAAGACTACAGTACATATGTGGCCTGTACGGAGTACATTGGTATCATACAATGATACGGACTCTGACTTCATAGTACCCCATTTTCTCCATCAATATCGAATATCATTGGATATATTTTATTTCCCATGTGTACTGTATTACGCCAGCGTACCTGCTTACCCCTGTCATACTCCGAGCGCTATCCGTACTGTAGTTATTACTATCTATCTATATCTCTCGGTTCCTGTGCTCCGTACTCTATACATGTATCTGGAAACACCTACTAAATAGTGGTGAACTGGCTCATGGACAGCAGACTCTGTACCTACAATACAGAGTCCTATGTGCTCTGCCGAGAGCTTCAATTACTCCTGTCGTACTCAGGTATGTACTTTCATGACAATAGTTGCCACTAGATTGAGGTACGGAGAGTACTCCGTGCTCCGTACGAGTACGGGAGTGCTCCATAAATCCGGACCCATACTCCATACTAAGGTATGTACTCCATGCGAAGTACTCCATACAGTGCCCCCCATGAACATACATAGTACGGAGTACAGGGTGACCGACGAATGTCTCATCCGGTATTTTGTGCACGGAGTAGACTCTTTTGCCCCCTTAAGTTGTCCACACAAATCATTAGTTCTCTCAGATTTCTCTGTGCTTCAGGGGTGCCACTGTTCTTTATTTCGTACACTAGTAGAAGGCGCGGCCCAAATGACAAGCAAACTTTCCCTTAACAACTGATCACCAACCTTTCCTTACCTTATTATTTTCTCATTTCCCTATACGAGTACACACCACGTCCGATCCGATCTTATGAACTCGAGACTTTCACCTTGCTTCACCGAAACGCTCCCATCAGCTATAAGCATCGGCAAAAGAATCGAGACCACAGACATCAGGTTAGAAGGCAGCGATAAATTCGCATTTGAAGAAAGGGGCCGAGTCGGTATCAAATCTGCTCGAACTACCTGCTCGCATACTACAGAGCAAACATTCCGGGCCATTGTTTTTTCGCTAGGTGCATGCGGTATGGAGGTTCCAAAGCGCGACAGCCGGTTGAAACAATGCGAATGAATTACCGACGAGTTCAATTTGAACCAAAACCGTTCTTTCCTACACACAACTTCACACCTACATTTCCACCGAGAAGATTTACTCCCCAGCTCATAGAAACTGCCAGGCGTTCGTTTCGCAGAGACACCTCATATGATCGATATCATAGTGACCCGCCAGAATTGCAGGCAGAAGATACGTATATAGATACTGTCGGTGACCAGTCCTCATGTTCATCACTGGGCCATCGAGATATTCAGAAGATTTACCCAGTCAACATTTCAAGCCTCTCTGAAATCACTTCCGACTATAGCGGGGGTTCCAGCGGTTTAGGTCTACCGTCACTATCTTCATCTGCATCAACAAATGACTCAATAAACAAACCTAAACTTGAAGAGCAGCGTCGAGAGAGCTGTGACGAACAGTTTTCGGCGTATCTACTTTCATTGGCTGCACAATCAACCAACAAGCAATTAAAGGAGCAAATGTTTGCGGCTTTCCCAGATGAACAAGTTTCTCAAAACATAAGTCATTCTTCCATTGATACAAGTTACAACGAAAATCCCGTTCGCTACATCGAGAAGAAGCGGGTTGTTACCTCTCATGGTACACCCTCTGATGACTTGCGGAAATTTCAACACATCTGCCGACAACACATGGGCGAAACGAAGTCGAAAGGTCTGGCCATGGTCGAGGCCAAGGAAGGGGGTACATCGACCGCAGTTCATCAGGTTATAGATACTGTCCGAGAATTCCAGGACGATCATGGAGACTGGCAAAGCCGTGCTACTGTGACGTGCCCTACGAGCCCACCTTTGCTTGGAAACGACATTGTTTTCCCTCGAAGCCTATCTCCTGAAAGAACGATAAATGATATTGGAAATGCTACTCGCCATCAGCGAATAAATCTCGATCAACCATGCCGGGACCATGGGGGATTGTGGAGTGCAGACCTAAACGTTGGTGACAACCGTGGTGATGGTCTGTGGATGGGAACATGCCGCAGAGCCAGTGAGAGTGATAGGAATCTACACAAACTAATCCTAACAGAATCGATAATACCTGTCCGGGGTCATAAGGATGAATCTTCCGCGTCCTCTGATGTAACATCTGAGTACGGAGATCGACATCCCTTTGATCCTTTCATAAGACATAAGTGTACTGATAATGTGGACAGGAAGCTCAACCCCCAGGATGAATTCAACGAGGAGATCCACGATGGGTTTGTTACACAGATTTACAATTACCTTTCGTTGGGCTATCCGTGTGTTGCACATTGCTATGATCATGAGCTCAGCAGAATTTCCAGCATATCTGTAAATGATCTTCGAAAAGATGACTTTCACACTGATTCTAAAGGCTATGTTGGTGTTATCGAAGGCACTTCTGGGAGTATATGGTCTACTGGTCAGACGTGCATGCGCTGGTTAGCTTTACGCGTGTATATACAGAAATGGACAAGACAGCAGCCTTGGGTAGCTGAAGATGACAGTGATATTATCGAGGCGTGGGGTGAGTGGGAATATTGAAGTTGGGCAGCATAATATAATTCCTTTAATTTTTGCATTGAGCATGTTCTTTTCTTTTTCTTTTTTTCACTTTTTTTTCCTTTTCCCTCCCCTCCCCCACCCTTCTCTTTTGGTTGTTATCAGGGTAGCTACTTAGGGTTAAAATCGGTCACATGTACGATTCCCCTGCTAATATGATCATATTTATTGAGATACGGTGCCGTTCAACTTTTAACTATCCTGCATACGCCTCACCGTCTTTTGTCCTTTAATGTCAATAATATGAATTGATATTATTATTGAACGCTGAAAGAACTGTTCTAAGTTGCTAGCTGCTATTGGCATTTTCCATCTTCTGCTACTGGGCGATTGAACCTGCTGCTCCTTTGGGCTCGTTCGTGCACAACACCGGGGAAGATCTTTTGCTCTGGCAAGTTGTCGGTTCCAGTGGATGCTGGCCCTGCAGAACCAGTACCACCGGCTAACATAGGAGATTCACTAAGAAAATGGCCTGACGACTGGGAAGTTTGTGCGTCCTGGCTGAGAAGGTTCGTGGTAGTAACCGGACTCTGAACCCCAGTTTGAGATAGATATTGAGGGTTGTCCAGAATCGATCCAGTACCGGGGTCTGATGAACAGGCTAGGCCCTCAGCAGCGGTCACTTGGGAAGAAGCTACAGATGTCATTCATTTGCCTTGCAGAAGGGTGAAATAGGTGCAACATACCGTGAAAGTTCGGCATATTGGGGATCAATGGAGATGAATATGTAGTCTGTGACAGGTTAATGGGAAGGTTGCGATTTGCCGAGCCTGTTATGCTGCTGGCGACTGTAGAAGCAGAGTATCTCGCAATCCTTGTGAGCATTTAATCAGCTCACTTTACTCTGAACAAGACAATAGCCTGGGATCAAATTGGTAGGACCTTACAGCATCAGCTCTGCAAGTAAAGTATCATGTCTGTATGCTTCGCGTATATCAGGGACATTGCTTTTGGCGACATTGTTTCCAGCAACGCCCGGCAAACAACAATCGTCGCCTAGCCATCTTTCTTTTAAAGACAGCTCGAACCCACTCTGCTCAACTGAATGTTTAGCAAGCTCACACATGTCTACTGCACTGAACTTGTATATCTGTGCAGCAACTGAATATTCTTCAATCAATGGTTCTTTGGTGAAGGCAAATTGCAATGGATCGTCAGTAGACAAAGATATATTCAAACCTCGTCTGAAGAAACTGGCACATGGGTTCTTGTCATAGGTAAGGAACAGCGCATTGTTACTGAGCGGCGACATAGCAATTCCGATCTGATCAAGATAGAACAGGTATTGTAGTAAGGGAACCTTTCGCAATAATATCCCATGGCTGATACTATGGCAGCAAAGAAAACCCACTGCAAGATGATCAGGGTCCCCAGCCTCCCCACAATGCGGCCGAAGGACGAAGGTATTGAACCCGCGTCTTTTACGCCAGATGTTGAGAGACGCGATATTGGCAAACATGAAGTAGATCCAATAGCTATACGGCGGGTTCTGCTTTGTATCCCAGTCCCTTGGCACTGGATATTTCCGGTAGAAACGACGCTCCGCTTTGCTTTCGTCGTCGACGCTGTCAAATCCAACAACGCGTTGAAGAAAAACATGCAGTTTGGGGTGGCTGCGAGGGTCTTTTGTTACCTCGAACAACGGCTGAAAGACATTCGTTATGACTTGTTCGAAATTCTCCATCATACCACTCGCTTTGTACACATCGTAAAGACGAGGGATCTGGATAAGCCAGCGGACATTCGGCGAGAATAACTTGTTATCTATCACCCAGGCAGCAAGCTTGTCCCATTCCTGTACTGATCTTCCGTAAATCGAAATACGCCATTCCACCATTTGATACTTGCTAGATTCCAAGTCGGATATAACTTCTTTGGTTATCTCCGCCAGATAACGGCCTTTGATGTAATTGTCCGTCTTCAAAAAAATCTCACGTAGTCGCGACTCTCCCACAGGATTATACTTGAGGTTGAATTTATCAAATCGGTGGAAGGAATCAGTGTGTGCCTGAAAAGGTCTTTAGCAACTCAATTCCCAGGCCACGTTAATTAGATCGAACTCACATGCATATCAAGCGTATCTATACTCAAGTCATAAGCAGTCAGTTTGATACTCTCAAACACCTCTCTCAATGTCAGATGTTTCCCATCTCTGAAAAGAACAACTTCATCTGGCGACTTCTTCATTTTGCTTTTGATAAATCGAAGAAGATGTTTTTGGTTCATGCAAGCTGAATGGTGAACATGTGTATCAACTTTTCGAACATTATAAAAGTCGCGATGAGGTACTTTCTTGCTATCGGCCATTTCTTGATATTCATTCAACAATGCGTAGAGCTGAAACTTCCCTTCAAGATAGGAAAGGCGTTTGAAAGCAAAGCTTTTGGCAGGCCCATCCGAAGATACATCGATCACGGCCTCAAGATCCATGTAAAAATCACGCAATGAAGGTATTTGCACGATAGGCTCACGCAAATCCGCTGCCTCAGTCGTTTCATAGACTTGGTACACACTGTTCTGATCAAATCTGAAAACTTCGTCTGATTCCCCAGGGAGCGGCATAAGTTCTGCCATGTCAAAATCTTCTCCAATGTCCTGGCCCATCTTCCTTCGCTTTTGACTCCCATAGCAAGGATCCCCAGGGTTCCCTGTATCCTTTTCGCCATCCCAGGCTGGCTCTGGGGGTGGCGGATAAACCCTCCAACCAGTATGGTCTTTCGGGTTATCACCATCCCCTTGTACCGAGAGTCGGACATAATGTGACCTGCGATCAAGCAATCCTCGTATTTTGCCGTATATGGCATTTAACTCAGTCGCGACCGCGTCACTATTAGACCTGAGATTCATTGTATCTTGGGAGGGTCCCAGCCATGGATTAGGTGTCTGAGTGCCACCCGCTGATGAATGACTGGGCTTTTGTTCTGGATTAACACCAGAGTGTGATGCATGAATCTTAGACAGTTGCTCGGCAGCATTGAGGTTCCCTTCAGACTTGAGCGCTGAAGTGTGTTGGCCGGTTGGCGCTAGAGCTTGCAAGGGCCGGACAGACTGCGGTTCAAGGAAGTCACGTATGGCACCTGCAGAAATTTGATCTTTGTTGTCCATAGTCGGCATTTTTTGGCCCTTTGCTTCGATGTTGCCGCTGTGGTGACTAGGGCTCGCTGGAGTCTGCAAGTCTTCGGGGTCACCACCTCGTGACGCCAACTGGTGATGATGATAGAAAAGCTTCGCTTCAGCTTGGCTCATTGATTTCTCATATGTATAGTCATATGTAGGCGTCTTCTGTTGTCTATCTCTTGGCAAGATATCACCAGGCGGGTTCATTGAAGCTATATCGGACCTTCCATGCTCTTCAGGGTCGATTTCATCTTCGCTGGAAACCGTCATCGAGCCATTCGATGCTGTTTCATGGCTTTTTGAAAGGTCCTCGTTCTTGCGATAAACGTCGCGATCAATGTAAGACATATCGGCCTGTGATGGGCTCATCGCATTGGATGATGGGGCCTTTCTTTGCTTGTCAACCACTAATCAGTCCACCTGATCTTTGGTTCTATTCTTGCTATTTTCAATTGAACTGGCTGTGTACCTGGTGTGTAACAATATTCTTGCGTGAATGATGAAGTGACTTGCTTTAACTCAGATGTAGCCAACAATCTTCAACTCTTTTTTTTTTCTTCTGCTTTCCTTTTTTGGGAGATCGGTGTACGTTTATGTGTGTACCAACACAGAATTACACCACCCTTCACAGGCATGAAAACAACTGTCAATATCCCTGTATGATAAACTTCAGAGTACTCCATGCATACATACAGTTAAAAGGGTGCCGGTCATATGATCAACATTCCGTTTACTACATTGTTCTGATTGGACCCATCCTTTACAATGACGTATGCTTGCTTGCTACGAGTACAGGTACAGGGAGCCAAGGATTAGGGCACTGCGGCGTTATCTTAGTTACAGAGGCAATGTATATGTTTCATCTAAGACGCACAATGTATAGGTTGCGGTCCAATCCTGGATTCTTCAGAAGATCGAATTGAGCTGAGAAATTTATTTTCTGATTTGTCATTCCTCACCAATCTGTGCAAGTCACTTGCTCAAGTAGTGGTACACCCTAGTTAACCACTAGATGCATACGTCGCCGCTCCAAAGACTGTTTGTACAATGGGAATAAAAGGCAATCAGGGAAGTATGCAGTAAGAAAATAATTTTTAAGCAGTCTTCATATACGGGATCAGTGAGAGAAGAAGCGCACATAGATGGTGTCAAGTGGCAAACATATTCAAAGTCACATGATGGTATAAACTGCGGCGGCCAATCGACATTGAGCATTGAAAATTCAGATGTCAGAAGCTACTTTAAACTGCGGAGCAAAACTCCGCAACTAGGGTGGTGGAATAATCTGATCGGATAAAAATATCAGATACAGTTAACTTCATTATTTCACTTTTTCAATCTACAGATTTGCGATTGCTCTGTTGGAATAACACTAAAGGTCTCTCCATATTATATCTTTTAAATACGCACTCTTCAAAAAGTAACTTACAGTAGGCTTATAGATTTAGATATCTTACTACTTAAGTCTAGAGAATCCAGCAATAATAAACTGGCTCAAGGATAATTATAATAAGTCTCTTTGAAATAAAATTGAATTCTAATAAAATATTTAGGTATAACATTGGAAAGTTTCCGACTACAATGTGCGAGCTTCATATTCCAGTATACTTGGTACATCGTAGAAAGCTCTCAAGATTATTTAAGTTTAATACAAAGGAACTAGCATATTTAAAAAGTCACAGCTGATATTTATTAACTCTCCAGAAAATAATCTTGTTCTACTAATAGAACTCTTTATGCTTAGTGACTTATTATTACCTATTCAAAAATCACTCTCAAACAATTCTCGAATATAGAAACGTATAAAGTAAATGAAATATTAAAGTAACATCGATTTTAAGAGTTTAATCCGATTTCATTGATTAGACACGTAAGAAAACCCCCCTTTCTCTCTTATAAGTCAGAAATACACATCCTAATTCTCATTAGTTGGTGCAGTGTTTCAATGTCGTTCATTAACATCACTGATCTACTGATATACATCAGCTCCCTCGTCATAGCACCTCCCAGTTGCTCAATCGATTACTTAATATATATATGTAACTCAAATGTGACAATTCCGTAGTCTGTAGGTGCCCATGGGTGCCTCAACACATTCAAGTACCTATATCAGAGGATATGCTTGGGTAGGGGTAATAATTTAGAATAACAAAGAATTCATATAGTGTGATAATGGAATTGTTTTTTTTTTTTTTTTAAAAAAAAAAAAAAAAAAAATCCCGAATTCCCTGTAAACCCTCGCTGGTGAATTCCAGCCAAATTTATAAATATACAAAACAATGCCCTTTTAAGATAAATGTATATAATATCTAGAGAAATAACATATACCGGCTACGTGCAATATATTGAGGGGCAAGGCGGATAATTATACTTAAATACCTCTAAATCTATAATATCTATTTCATAAGTATAATCTAACTTAGACACTTAACGTAATCCACTATCGAGTGGCGCACCTAACGCGAAATGCATCATTCTCCCACACCCTTCCTTTTTTAATCACCCACTATGCAACCAATTCGCTCCCAAAGCTCCCGAAATCCAATAGAGCAGGAGGGCAGGATTTTATTAGCTATAAAGGCTATTAAAAAACAAAAATCAGGTCAGTTCGCGAAGCAGCACGCCGTTTTAATGTGCCAGACCTCTCTACGCCGCTGTCCAAAAGGCCACACAAATTGCGCTGAAACACGCGCCAATGGCCATAAGTTGTTAGAAACTGAGGAAACACTTCTACAATGGATACTCTCTATGGATTCTCGTGGAGCAGCACCTCGGCCTACTGCTGTACGAGAAATGGCCAATCTTCTACTTGCATCGCGTGGATCTAACCCTAACCCCAGTTCAAACAGTTGGTGAGAATTGGGTCTCAAAGTTTGTGAAAAAGACATCCAGAACTTTCAACTTGCTCCTCAGAGCGCTATAATTATGAGCGTGCAGAATGTGAAGATCCAAAGATCATCCAAGAGTGGTTTGATTGTGTAAAACATAATCATTCAATATGGGATCCTTGATGATGGTATCTACAACTTTGATGAGACTGGCTTTGCAATGGGTTTAACTGCAACTGCAAAGGTTATTACAAGAGCTGAATACTATGGTCGGCGAGCTGTTTTACAGCCTGGAAATCGTGAATGGGTTACTGCAATTGAGTCAATTAATGCAACAGGGTTGGCCTTACCTCCATGTATTATTTTTAAAGGCAAGGTCTTTATACAAGCTAGGTTTGAAGACTCAGCTTTACCACATGATTGGTTGTTTGAATTGAGCCCAAATGGATGGACTTCTGATGATATTGGGCTTCGGTGGCTTCAAGATCTTTTTATTCCATCAACAATCGCTCGTACGAAAGGGAAATATCGACTTTTGATACTTGACGGCCATGGTAGCCATTTGACACCAAAATTTAATGAGATTTGCAGTCAAAATATAATTCCAATCTGCATGCCAGCGCATTCATCGCATCTTTTACAGCCGCTCAATATCGGTTGTTTTGCGGTGTTAAAGCGATCATACAGTGGATTGGTTGAAACCAAAATGCGCCTTGGGATCAACCATATTGACAAATTAGACTTCCTTGAGGCCTACCCGCACGCACGAATCTAAGCATTTAAACCTGAGACTATCAATAATAGCTTCGCAGCAGCTGGTTTAAGTGCCTTTTGACCCTGATCGGGTGCTTTCAAAGCTCAATATTCGGCTTCGTACACCAAACCCCCCCCGGAAGCCGGGGTAGTGACTGGGAGCCAAAAACACCTTTGAACTACATGCAATTACAAAAGCAATCCTCATCAATTAAAGCATTGCTCCGTACGAGATCAAGAAGCCCACCAAGTCCACTTATTACCGCGATAAATCAGATTCTTAAGGCCCCGATTGGAAGCCCCAGTAGCTCCAGCACCCCCCCCCCGGCCAAGATGGCCTTCACCATCTTTACAGCCACGTACGCGGCCTCCACGAAGATGTGGAATATGCAGGGTCCCAGGACATAGAAGAGAGACATGTCCAGATAGACCTAATTAGGTAGTTTTCTTAATTTAATGGCATTATAGTTGTTGATATAGATGCATTTAAATACCATAGATATGGGGGCGGGTGCGCCGCTCGGTAGTTGATTACGTTATAAGCTTCTAATAAGTTCAGATATCTATATAGGAAAAGGAAGCCCATATAATAATTATAAAAAACTGGACTGAGCCTGAAATACATTATAATATTGAAGCCTGTTTAAATTATATAAATTTCTATCAATGATTTTATTAAGAACTGTTCTAAAATAACCTAATATTCACTGATCTCAATAAGAGGGATACCAGGAAGGCCATAATATATCAAAATATCTTGTCAGAGTGCAATAAACTGAATAATATGGCATTTATCTGATATCTAAATTCATAGTATATTTATAGTATATTTTTGTACGGGTGAGTTGTTTGCCACCGCCGCTGGGGCAGGGCAGCTGGGCGATGTTATACTTGGGTTGACCACTGATATATGGCAACCATAATAGGTCTAGATTTTAAAAACCAATCAATGAAGTAGCGTGATGTGTTTAGATTAATTTGATTAGTGGCGCAGTGGCAGAAGTTGTTGTAAGGGAAATATAACCATTCTAGAAAATATTGCGGCAAAAAAGACACTAAACATTAGATTAAAAAAAATACAGGTGTAAACGCATTTGCTACTTATTATCCAGCCCTTATTGAGCCTTTTTCTCTTTCTCGCCTGTTTTCTTGTTTTTTTATCATGCTTTTATAACAATTTAGAGCTCTTCCTTCCCTATCAAATGATGTCATTTTTATGGTGAATATCATAGCGTGGGGGTCTTGCAGCTATATATAAGTTACTTCTGTCACTAACTAGACTCATTGTATCTAGTATTCATTAAGCTCCTTAACTACTATGAAATGATAAATATATATGACAATAGTATGCACCGCCCCCCTAGATAGTGGCATTACTATATAAAAGTTATGATGATTGTTCATATTCTTTATTATGCACGTTATAATTATTTTCAGCATAGATTTGTATATCTTCAATATAAAACTAAACGCATTAAATCCTACTAGCCATTCTTTTAACTTGAAATGCCTATAAGAGCAAAATTTAACATATTAATCTGCATTTAAATATAGTCATTAAAATCGAAGTGTACTAAGATAGATGCTATAAGTGCTTCCTAAGCTTCTGGAGGAGGCCTTATAAGCTCTTTCCAGTAAACTTATAATATAATGTTTATAGTAGATTTAGACTGAAAATTTCTACTTATTATCTCCATAGATAATAAACGTAATGTAATCAACCACCGAGTTGCGAATTTTTCCGCTCCCAACATAGAACTCAAATCATCACTTAAAAGATGCGTCAATTTTTCACTATTTTCACAAAAAATGCCTCCTACCCCAAGAAAGCCGGGTTCAAATGGCTATGGATTCCTACAATAATGAAAAAGTTAAATCAATATAGGAGGACCCAAGAGTCATTCAAAAATGGGTTGAATCAATCAATGCAATTATCCAGGAAACATGGTATTTAATGCAGATGATATATGGAATTTTGATGAGACTGGCTTTACAATGGGACTCTGCTCAACTTCAAAGTGATTACTGCAGTTGAGACCTCGTACGGTTATCCAGGGCAACAGTGAATGGTTTACTGTTACTGAAACCAGCACAGTTCAAAAGGAGTTCATATACCACCAGTGATTATACTCAAGGCAAATCTCAGCAAGCTGCCTGATATCAAGAGTCCACACTTCCCAAAGATTGGCGGATTGTAGAGTTGCATTCGAAGCGTGTGGGAGCGGGTTGAGAGCTCATTCCACCCACACCACTACGGATTCAGGTTGAACGAACAAATCCGAATTCGGTCCAAAATTCGTTCTAACCCTACATAGGTAGAAATTGTGATACTCTAAATCAACCACCAATTCACATAATCTGATTCAACCCACACCAAATGGATTC